GGTTATCGTTATAAAGTAAATAAATCAAGAGTGAATGAAATAGAATATAAGAATAATATAAAATAATAACTTTAATCCTATCCTATTATCTGGCCCCGTCGGCTGGCACTTTCCATATCAGTTCCGCCTGCCATTCCGATGGCGAGTGCGAGTGCGAGGAACTTTCGGCCGTGTTCTATATCTCTCGTCTAGGTCGGATCCGATCGGTTTTGGCCCGAGATCGTTCAGTTGTACGCAAACGGTTAATGTTAATGCCCGCGGTTGCATTATTCGCATTTCCTCGATCCGTGAACCGCGAATATCCGAAAGAACTTTCGCTACATTTTAGCTGATTCTTGCGTCTTTCTTCCTTGCAGTCGAGCGGAAAGCTTTAGTGATAGAATTTAAACCATATATACTCAGTTAATCTAAACACAATACAATAAGATGGCTGCTGGTCTGGAACAACTGCAGAGTCTGCTGCAAGCTCTGGGCGAACTCAAAGACTTGCCCCTGAATCGCGAGTCGTGTAAGTTAAATTAATAAATATAGAAAAAAAAAAAGAATTTCATCGACATTATACGAGTGTAGGGTTTTGGTTAGAAATATGAGGGCCGACCGCATGGCCAGCTGAAAATCGAATGAAACAAGAATTTCCCTTGGGGAAATTTCTTTTATTTTTTCTTCACTCTCTTTCCTTCTCTTGCTTTATCACACTCTCTTGCTGTGCGTTGTTTCTAATTGCAGCTATAATTTATTTATAAATATTCTTTTTAATGTCTTAGGGAAAATGTTGAGAACTAAAGGAAAGATTGGGAAAAGTATTTCGGCTGAAAAGGCTGATAGGTCTCCTTCTTAAGTATTTGATTAGATTAGGAAATTGGTGAATAAGGTATTTTTATAATCATTGATAAGTTTTTATTGCCGTTTCACTTTTGATATGTCTAATAAAAAGCTCTGTCACCCACTAGCAATGGTGAGTCTTTTTAATTTCAGATTAAAAACAGAAATTTGATTGTATTTTATTGCCTTAAAAACTATTTTTAATCTGGAAGAGGGATTTCATATGGAATATTTCTGCTTATCACCATTTCCCCCTTGGCAACTTTTGTTGATAAGCCAATAAAGTCTCAAGTGATTCGTCACTCGTGGCACTTTCATGCTGTTTCAGTTGGGGGTGCGACCGTGATTGTTGAGTCAGTTTAATAAAAATTAAAAACTTCTTTTTTAAGGAATTATGACATAAAACAGCACGAGTTTATATCCAATATGCAACGATTGTTGTGTACATATTATTTGTGATTTAAATTTTCTCTTGTCTCGCAGCATTTCTTTTAATTGTTAATAACACGATGGCCTTATGCAATTCTGCAGACCTTTTTGACAATGTCAGGTGCACAAAATTATTGCTTTTGTGTACTTAAGTTTGTTGGCGAGCATTTAGGAATTATGTCAGCGCGAACATCGCTATGATATCATTTGAAGCAGAGCTTACTCATTCAAACGCGCCAAAAAAGAAAAGCAACGCAAAAGCGTTAGAGGTGATTGGGGTTGGATTTAAGTGTTTGTGTTTTGTGGATGATGATGTCACTATAAACGTTTTTTGCATTTCACCAAAACGCAGTTATCTAGCCAATTGCGTTTCGATTCAAGCGGGTTTGAAAATTACAAAATTGCAGTTGTCGTCAAACTGTCAAAGCAAGCAGTCCATTCAACCGACTAGATAAGCAGTGTAAGTCTCGACCTACTCGAATGCAGATTTAATTTATTGATTTAGGCCCATGGTATGTGTTAGCATTTCCCGCATTTCGCCATTGTTGGTCACGCTTCGGATCCATGATTCAACCGCAAAACCCCACCCACTACGTCACTCAACGTAACGCTACGTAAGTCCAATCTTCAATCTTCGGCTAGGCAGCCGAATGGCGAATCCAAGTTCGTGGTTGAGGTTGACACGTTTGCTGACATTTGTAAGTACTCCCTCTCCTCCCCCGCTATTCCAGACTTGTTGTTTGTTAATGCGCGTTATCTTTTACTTTCAATGCGGATCGTGAACGCACCGCTCTCTCCCACTGTCTCTTTTGCTCTTCTATGGAGCTCTCCAAAAGCACAGTGGGTCGTATTGCCTTAATAATCATTGATTAATATTAATTATTTGTGTTCTTAGATATTTGCTTATAAAGAAGATAAAACTAATAAATATTTGTTAAAAATAAAATTTAATATCGATCTAGAAACTAAAACCATTATGTTATTAGTTCATAATAATGCAAGTTTGAAGAGTCATTAAAATTATACCCCAATGATTAATCGATTAGATTGATGTGCTCGCCCACTGTGCACTGCTTGGCGTGGCTCCTACTGCTTTTTTCAATCCAGAAAACTTGTTTGCCGCCACTCTCGCGCCCTCTTTCTGTCTGTCTCTTTCTCACCTGTTACACCCCCAATTCGCTATCCCGCTTACTCTGCCCAAGCAGTCGTTTCCCCATATGCGATGGCAAATTGGAGGCTTGTTGGTTTAATTTGTGCTCAAACTTCTTCCAGTTCTTTTGCTGCGCTCGATTCAGACGGTCGGCCGAATCGTCCCAGTCGTGTGCCAGTGTGTGTGCGTGCCTGTCCGTGTAGCGACTAACTAACTTGCTTTAATTAAACTTAGACACGCGAAAGTCCCACCCGCTTTGCATACATTTTGGCGCCAAGCTAATAACGGTTTTAAATCGAAAAAAACAACACATTTATAAAAAATGGCAGGCGGCAGCAAACGCTACTCACGAAACAATTCCAATGGCAACTTCCAGCCACTTCCCGAGCGCGGACCAGGTAAAACCAAGAACCATAAAATCAGGGAGCTATCTCCGCCGACGTTATCACCTAGCTTCTGGTCCACGTTGTCCAATTTGGGGTCTTAAAGCCGACAAGAACAACAGCCAAACGAAGGTCTTATCTTCGTGGGGTCGTTGAATAAAAATTATTTATTGTGGCAGTGATTGCTGCCAACGTCAGCAGCAGAATATCATCGCCAGCGTGGCCAAAATATCGAACAAATATGTATGTACATATAACCAAAAAGAACCCATGTGAAATCCAGTCTTCACTGTCCGAGTTTCTTTCGTTCTTTGCATAATTCAGCCCGTGCTAATTTTATATATTTATATTTTGCCACGTTGTGAACCTGTGCTTAGCAACCAGCAAAAACAAAATGTTTGCTCATCATCATAATTCCAGCCTGCATTGGCAATTTTTTAAATTTAATTATTAAACAAGTGTAGACATAGCAGGTACTAAATGTTATCAGCTACTGTCAATCTTATCTTTACGCTTTTTTTTGTAATAATTTCTTACTACTACTTTTTTGTTCTTTTGTCTCGATGATGCTGCACTTCACTTTCGACCAAAACGAGTTTCAAGGCAAACCAAACCAAACCAGTTCCATCATCTCTTCAGCGGGGGGATTCAAGTTGCAATTGTAACGAAGTCTTCGATTCAATTGATACTTTGGAAACTTTCTCCCACGAGAGAGCTTTCTCAGTCTTTTTAACCCAGTTTAGGGCCTCAGACCTTGCCATCTCATCACTATTGTCTCCTTTCTAATTTATTTCCCCCATATTTACATAATACCCCTTCAGATCGTGTCTGGCCTGGCAACTTTAGACAAATACGAATCCGAGTCCCAAGCCTAAAACTAGTTTACCCAGCTTTATTGTTAGTTTCTTGTGGGTTTTTATTTAAAATTAGTCTCTTATTTGTTTAGGTGTATTCTATACTGATATACCTAATGGAATGAAATATTTTTTCCCGAAGCTAAGTATTATTAGTGGACTAGTTCTTAAAAGCCTTTCAAAATTTAATTTGTTAGCAAACTATTTTTATCATTCTTATAATTGTTTTACAAAAATAAACGTACTATTACTACATATTATCAACCAATTATAGTACCCGCCCGAAGTCATAAAGGATTGTAAAGTTAAGATTGTAATAATAAAGATTGATTTTAATTATTGTTAATATATCATTCATTAATGGCAACACCTTTTCCGATTTCTTCTAATATTTTTCTACCTGAGAACCCTTATAAATCAGTTTCAAATTAATGACCTATCATTAAAGCCGGCAAATCCAATGGATCCAGCCCTTGAGATGTATTTATAGAACTATTGTTTGTTTTAGTATCTTAATTGGGTTAACCCAGACGACGTGGGGCAGTGACTTCTTATCGGTAAATCCATTGAAAGCGAATGAAGCCGAATCCCCGCTGGCCAAGATACAGTCGGATAGAGGTGTTTACGTCAGCGACTGAATCCAAAAGATACAATTTGGCACGAGCTGGACAATCGATTATTAAGCGATTTCCATTTTTATTTCCGTTCACCACTTAAGCACTCTTTCGCCGCCGCTCTTTCCACTTGGCATAGACTCTTTTTGGCTCTCTTTTGTTTTCCGGCTGGGTCCGGAAAATTTGAACTCTTCTTCTAGCCATTCTTATATGTTCTGCCCCGCGGCCAGCAGACGCTAAATAATATTTCTCTAGTGTGTAGAACTTGGCAACGAACGTCAAACGTAGCACCGCGAACGATCCGTAGGAAAAACCCGAAAACTAAAAATCCGAAATGTCGAACAAATTGTGTGAGTGAAGATGAAAGGGGAAAGGGGAGGAGAAGGAGGAATGCTTAAGGTTTAGAATATAATGAACAGCTTAGTTGCATGCTGCTGAACAAATGCTAACGATTATTACCACCTAAGCAGATGTGCCCGAGGTGCTCTCGAATCCATTTCATCTATTTATCTCATAGATTGCATAATTGCCGCCATCTGAAAAGATATATGTAAATGCGTGCGAGAGATTGTCCATATGTGTGTGTGTCTGTATATTTTGGTATTTTCAGTCCACATTGTCTACTTTATCCCGTCTCTTTTTTCACAGTTTATGATGGTTATAAATTGGGAATGAAAAATCAGATGTATATTTTGCTCAAAAGCATCAAAACTAGATACTAATTGAATCATTTGCTCTTCATTTGCAGTGGAGTCACTCATCTACTGGCGTGATGTGAAGAAATCCGGCATTGTCTTCGGCGCCGGCCTGATTACATTGGTGGCCATCTCCAGCTTCTCGGTGATCAGTGTGTTCGCCTACTTGTCGCTCCTGGCTCTCTTCGGAACCGTGGCCTTCAGAATCTACAAATCGGTCACACAGGCCGTGCAAAAGACAAACGAGGGACATCCCTTCAAGTATGTTTTTGTGGCTTTGATAAATTTACAAAATAGTTAGCTTTTATATAATACTTATTAAAAATCAGGGAATACCTGGAGTTGGACCTGACGCTGTCGCAAGAAAAGGTGCAGAACATTGCTGGCGTGGCTGTGGCACATATCAATGGCTTCACCTCTGAGCTGAGGCGTCTGTTTCTGGTTGAGGATATCATCGATTCGATCAAATTCGGCGTCATTCTGTGGGTCTTCACCTACGTTGGCGCCTGGTTCAACGGCATGACTCTGGTCATCTTGGGTAAGTTGAGGAAGACCTGATCCCCATCGGATTTACAACTGATAACTGTCTATTTGCAGCCTTTGTCTCGCTGTTTACCTTGCCCAAGGTATATGAGAACAACAAACAATCGATCGACACCTACTTGGATTTGGTGCGCAGCAAATTGACAGAGATCACCGACAAGTAAGTTTTACAAGCTCACTTAAATAAATCTTTATGCTAATATTAATCGAAATGTTTTCCTTTAGGATCCGAGTCGCTATCCCCATTGGCAACAAGAAGCCCGTGGTCGCTGCCGAGTCTGACAAGGACAAGTAAAGAACTCGCACTAGCAACAGAAACAACCACAATAAAACATGTTTATTTATTTATTAAGCATTATTTGAATGGTTTTAATATTCATCCAGGCATTAAATAAATAACAAATTTAGCTGCAATGTTTACATATTAATTGTATAATTGCAATCTATACATCAATCGATAATTGTAAATCAAATTTAAAGAAACCCAAACAAGAACTTATCAACCAACAGCTCGTAGCAGTTTCAAACATTGTCCAAGTGTCTTTAAGTTTTTAACGAACGAAACAACAAAATATGAAAAATATTTTTTGTGAGGGAAATGAAAAGAAAAGAAATCGATTATTTAGACGCAGCAATGCAATATTAATTCTTTATGAGTTCCGTCAATTTCCAATTTAAATCCAACTTCATCATTTCGATTTAACTTTCTTAGTTTTCATGTCACCCTTTAAAACTTTGCTTTAGTTTTAGTTTTACTATTTTGTTGATTTTTTGTATAAAACAACAAGAAGAACTAAGATTACTCTTAAAACAAACAAACAAGAAAAAATCAAATAAAAATGAAGTAAAAAATCCACAACTAATGATTTTTGTGTTTTCTAGCATTTTTAATAAAGAACAACAACAAAATATATATATACTATTAAGTAAGCTGATCCGTAAGTCATTAAACACGCGCCTATAACTGGAGGAGAATGCAAACATTAATCATAAATCATAAATCGTAAAAAAATAAATGAATTTCGAGCAGCTTTACACAGCTTCATTTACATAAATGGCCTTGTTTCACATTGTACAATTAATTTGTAAGCATTTTACATGAAATTAAATCAAATATTTAATGCAAATTTATTTGAGGCGAATGCATACGCAAGTGTCATCACAATTGTATCTTAAATGTTCATTATACTATTATTATTGTAACTCTTTGTTGCTTGATTGTTGAAGAAACTTTGCGTTTGAATTACGTATTTGCGTATTTCGATTGAGTCCCAATCACATATAGACGTACTTACATACATATGTGCATGTGCAGTTTAAACCATAACTGTATTTTAGGCGTTCTTTCTAAATCAGACTATATACCAATAGATATTTTTGCAAATTAATACACTTGAAATATTTAAATGTATATGTATACAAATTGTAAGTGAGATAAACAAAGACATCGCCTGAAGAAAGACCGAAATTTTTAAGTGCAACTTTTCGAGAGTTTATCTATAATTTAGTGCAACTTTTACGTATGTAACCGCAAGAATCGCAAAACCAAAAAACAGGAGAAATGACACAAAAATATGCATTAAGTTTGCTATGAACAGAGATCGAGACGGCAAAAAAAACGCTCTAAAAAGTATTTAATTCTATGAATGAGACACAACAGCAACAGCAGTTGGCTATGATCGTAAAGTTTCAATAAAAATAAACTCTTATAAAAGTAACTAATTTGGTGTTTTATTAGCTTTAGGACTTAAGGGTGTTGAGGGGTTATTACCAAAATATACGCTTGTGATCTGGGAAATTTTATAAAAAATAAAACTTGTTTTATCATAACATAATCATAGCTACTTATATAGTAAAATATTATTCCCCAAACCAAAATCCAAGAAACCTAAATAAAACACAAACGACAAACATTTACATTTGAATATATTTGTAATATTTTTAATATGACTTCAATTTTTTATGCTTTATTTCGCCTAGCTACAGATGAAAACTTTCGTATAATGTATAACAATCAATAATCGTTTTAGTTTAATATTAAACTTTATAATACAAATACAAACATTTGTTCATTTACAATTTGAAATATGAAAACTTTTAATTTAAAATTTGTATACGTTACTGACTTGAGATTTTTTGTTTTTGATTTATTTAACATGGTACATTTGATTTAAGTTTGTTTATTAGTAGGCGTATAGGTATAGGATGTCTATAACACTTTTTGATTATTGTATTGCATTGTGTATTTAGTTTTGATTAGTAGTTGTTTAGCAAACGATGATCGAGTCGATTGGAATGCAATGGGAACGTGAATACAAATTTCAATAGCTCTCAGATGAGTCAATCCCATCTGAGAGAATACTATAAAGTTCGATATAATAAATTTGGCCAAATATTTTGCTAGTACACGATTACAACAACAATGCAGATAGTTACTAGAATTCAGTTTTGTTTTTTGATATGATCATGAATCACAACAATATGTCTTATCCAATTTTTATGGAATTAGTTATAATATACAATATATGTTGAGTAGGCGCAATATCAATGACACGACTGTACATAGTTCGAGCTTTCGCTTTGATTATCTTTTTGTAAAATAATTAACAATGGTTAGTTAAAAGTCTGTTTCTAAAAAGGCTACGCAATAGATCAACATAAAATCTTTCAAAAATTTAGAAAATAAAACAAAAATATAAAGCATTCTTTGGAACGATAGCAAAAGCTTGTGGCAGCTTAAAACCGATAAAAACAATGTATAGTTATAGTTTATAGACTTCTGTGTTCTTATATAAGTAAAAATGACGAACGGCAACGTGAAAAGTGTCCGCTTTTTAAAGAACGGCTCAGTCTTCTGCTAAACTCAAAATCGAATGGCGATGATGTTGAGGACGTCATGGGTAGTAATACGGCATACTAGCTGGAGCTTAGGGCTAGGCATTGTTGTTCTCGCCGCAGCATTGTATGCAGTCCATGCAGTTATGCTACCTGTTGCCATCACTCTTTCGGCTCATATTCGATGAGGTCAGTTGTATCTATAAGAAAGCCAAACATTTACTTAGATCATTTTTAGGAAAAGTGTTTAAAAACAATTCCAAGCAAGAACGCGGGTGAAAAGTTTAGAGGCGTGCAGGCAAGGCTCTAGCGTGCGGGCAGAACTGACCTTTAATCCTTGCATTATTATTTGTAGTGTTCTTAAGCTTAACGTGTTTTAACTTTACGCACAACAACAACAGCAAGAAGGTGTGAAGGTGAACATTATAAGGTCAACCAAGTTAGAGACAGTAAAACGGTGAGAAAGTTTGTTTTCGGAAGTAAACCCTCATCACTTAAATTACCTGCAAAGAACGGATGGTATCCAGCAAAGCTTTCTTCTCTTCAAGCAGTATACTGATGTCATCCTGGGCGGCCTTCAAATAAGATCGCAGCACATCAGCCTCTTGTTTGGTCTTTTGCCTATTTGCATTTTGATAAAAATGAGTAAATGCCTTAAAAATATAATAGTTTACAGATTACCTATAGTTATCCGTATTTACTTTAGAGTCGACAAGTTGCCTACGCAGCTGATCATTGTCCAGCTTCATCTGCTGCATCACCAGCTGCATAGAAAGCAGCTCACGATCGCGTTCACGAGGTGCTCCAAATAAGGCACTGCCTAACGCCTGATGCTGCGCTGCACTCATGTTCGTATCTGCAATAGAAAATTCATAATTATTTATAAATAAATTCTTGAATTTGGTAATAGCTATAAGCCACCTAAAGGCTGGATGTTGAGCAATCCGCTCTGGTCACGCTCCAGACGCATGCGACCAATGCACAGATTTATGGGCACTGGGCCCGGTGAGGTAATATTTACGGGTGGACGGTCCTCAAGCAAATTGATGCGTACATTTTCCAGATTTACCTAAGCAAATACCAAGTTATAAAAAAGCGTAAGCAAGGCAGAGAGAATATCTTACGGTCACTGGCATGGGCGGGGAGATGACCTCATCCTCGGCAAGATCACCCAACCCAATTACTGTGCTCATCGACAGATCCATATTGATGTCTTTCACACGAATTTCCGCGTGGTGAGTGATCCAGCTAAAAAAAAAATTATTTATTTCCGCTGTCCAGTTGGGCAATCTATTTCAAACTTACCTCTGAATGCGTTTGCGATCAATGATACCATCAATATCCTTTGGCATATTTAAAGTTTCCTCCAAGCGTAGGCGGATGCAAGGTGGAGCTTCTGGGTTATAAGGCGCCAGATTCCAGGCTTTGCAGCGCGCTCCGAACTTCGTCTGAGTTTAGGGGTTAAAAATTATGTATTATTTTTTTTTAAGCTCAATAATTCTGTGATCTTGATTAGCTACTTTGGAAACAGCTATGAAACAACATGCTAAGCTAGAGGCAACACCTTGCAATGTGGATTTGAGTTGAGTGGGTTTGATTAGTGTTGATGTGGGCGTTATGGGAGAAATGGAATAATTTCCCTTTTCTATTTTTTAAAGCAGCAAGTGTTTTTAGTTAGATTTGTTAGTTTTAACAGTACAGTTGTTAGTCGTTGATGTGTGACGCCAATGTTCTTGGTCGGGTAGTGCTGTATTTATCGTTCTACTGTATTTCTTCTTCGACTGCAGTTGGTGTATGCTTTCAAAAAAACTTCTAAGTCTGTAGAAACCAATTGATTGCAAATCATAAGTCATCAACAAAGCAATACCAAGGAAATTATAAAATAAAACGAAATTCAGGTGGATGGGGGAATCTAGGCATGTACTTAATGTGTTGGAAGATCTAGCAAATATTTGGAGATAGCTTCATCTAACCGGCATCATGCTCATAAATAACATTCGAATGATTAAACCATTTCCAAACAAGTTCCTCAAGAGCTTCTCGATTGCTACAAAGCCAGAATGCTTGAACAATGTAATTTCGGGGGGTATTCACAGTGCCTACCAGCTATGAATTACCCCACGGCAAGCTATTAACTACTTAACTAGAGGCCAAGAACGCCAAAATGCGTTTGCGAACAAGCCAAAAGTCCACTACAATGAAAGGAAAAGGTCGCACCAAAAACCATTAAATTATTAAAAAAAATATATAGTATATACAAAGCGTTAAAATAAAAAATCTTAAGCAATTAATTAAGTAAAGAATTTCAAATTTTGTATTTTTTATACCTTGTTTGCTTGATGCGCGATCTATTTTTTTTGTTGGAGTGTTGTTGGTTGTTGTTTGTAGTTGTTGGTGATTGTTGGTTGTAATTGTTGAAAGTTGTGTGTCATGTAAGGATTGTCATATATCAATTTACAAGTGTTCGTTTCATGTTGATTATAAAGAGTTGAGCACAATTATTGATTTTGAATTTGTTTTTTGGTTTTGGTTTTGATTAGCACACATTGAGATTGATTTTGAGTATATTAAAATATTGGTTTTAAGAGAGAAGAGAGAAAATATAATGAGAAAATGATTATATGATAAGTTATCTTACAGAAAGAATTCGTTTTGCTTTAAATTAATACTCTGGGGTGTTCCCCGACACAAAATATATATTAACTTTTTAAGTGTTTATAATAAGAATTGTTCAGATAAAAGGTATCAAAACATGCAGAAAGTTAAGCGCAAAACATTTAATTTAGCAAAAATTTTTGGAGAAACAAAAGAATATTAATAGAATTAATGTTATTATCGTATTTACAAATCGAACACAAAACAAATGAAAGACAAGAAACTGAAAAGAGATTCCAGCAAAAGAAAATGAAAACTGTCGGAGAAGTCTACCTGCAACTCGTCCCAGGGAATGGCTCCACACTCGTCACAGGAAACGGCAGCCACCTGAAGACGAACAGAGGACTTGGGACCCTCCTGCTGACGAATAAGCTCTACAGTAGTTAATCTGGATATGAATAAGCAATTTATCATCTAATTTCCAAGGAGATTTTAATACTAAAGCAACCTAAAGGTGGCCATGGACACCAGATCACGTCGCCGCCAGGTGCTACCCTCCGAAGGCTCCGATGGCGATGACATGTTTGTTTTGTAGCTGCTCGGCTGCTCCTCATACACTTCACTGGCTACCTCCACCGGCGAGGCTTTCATGTTGTTGTCATTGGTAAAGGGATTTAACCGGAACATGACATCCATGCAATCCATGGTCTTATCATCACCCATCACAATAGCAAAGTTCTCCGAATCGGAGCTTATATCGCTCTGTATGGAGAAAGTATCACTGGCATCGTCATTGGGTGTTCCCGACTTAATGGCCGAGTCAATGGATGTCATGAAGCTCGAGAAACCCTTCTTCATAGACAGCAGTCCCGAATTGATCTCCTTGGTGAGACTGGGCACGGTATCAGCTCCCCCAGATCGAGTAGCTGCACCCCTGCCACTCTTCGAGGCGGACGAGATCGATTGAGTTTGGGACTGCGATTGAGTGGAAATACCCGTATCCGGGCGAGATCCCTGGCTGGGCGTGGAAGAAGCCATCGTTGGTGTGCTTTGTATTTGAACATTGTAGCTGCAATGGTTAATTGATTAATTAAATCGCTTTCATTCTAATTATTTTAATCTCACCCATGCGTATTAGGATTAGATATGTGAATGCCACTGTCAAAAGGTGGGTCATTAGTCACCGGGGATGGTGTCTCTACGCTGCCGAAAGTATTACTCTTCAGCTGGTCCAATGGCGGTGGTGTGGGCCAGGTGATGTTACCGCCTGGTTGGAAATTATCAGTGTTATTTGGAAAATTTTAAATACAAATTAAGGTTTACGATCAGTTTACGATATTAGATATGCACTAAAATTGCTCATTGGGTTAGTAATTTAGTACAAAAAGACATGCGAGATATTTTATAAGGAGTATTTCCCTGAAGCCAAGTGGAAAAGAGTTCAGTTGTAAATGTTTGTATTTAGTCAGGAATGAGTACAAAAACATTATCTTACACAGAAAATATTCCAAGTGGAATACTTTCTAAGTTTTTATTTTATAAGTTTCCACAATACTTCAGTGAAACACAACCTAAATGGAGTGTCTAAGGTCCTAGGTGCCCAGCCTAAACGCATAACAATTTAAAAAGTTAAAGTACGATTCGAAAGCGACAATTACAGCAGCATGTGTAAACTGGCTCCTAGCAGGATTCTAGTTAGTCTGGTGATCTTTGTGAATTAGGGGTTAGTATCTGGGTTAGGACTAAAAACAACACGATATCGGTGACAACTACGTGTAAGTTAGACATTAACTATGATCATGTGATTGTGTTATATCGGAGAGAGCTCACTGGATGGAGATCGATCTGGAGTTAGTTTGTGAATCACTTAACCATACAACTAAAGAGATTTGAAGAAGAGACAACAAAAGATATATAAATTCTTACTATTCATGTGTAAATCATCACCCAAACTAGCTGAATCGGGTACGACACTTTCAGCATCACCACCACTTGATTCCTTACCAGGTGTTGGCGATGGCATCACGAGCGTCACCTCGATCTGCGGCACAACGCACCCAAATATGATAGATTTTTGTTCGTTTTGCTGTCGATTACAACAAAGAATACGGATTAGAAACTTTCCTAAATGAACTCATATAACCCTGCAACACCTACCTTTTGCAATATGCGTTCTGCATCCAGGTTCAGGAAGGTTGACATCTCATTCAATTCTTCGGCGAGTCGCAGTAGGAAGAGCAGCTGATAGTGATCGATCTGCAGGCTGACCAAATTTGAAATGTGCGCAATAGCATGCACATCCGCTGTGCGATCCGGTGCAGGAGCAGGTGGCGAGGCTCCTGAGGCAACGCCGCCGAGACGCACATCCTCATCACTCAGAAAAGGATTGCACTGCTGGAGTGGCGGTAGCGTGGGCAGAGGGGCTAGACCCATGCTCTCCATGCTAACCGCCGTCCCACTCTTTCCCACATCCAGTTGTGCCTGTGCGGAGCCGGAGTGCAGCCACAATGTGATGGGGACCGCGTCGACAAACGGAATGGATTTGTTGGGGCCCAACGAACGGGCACCCAGGAAATCCACCCAAACCGGGTCCAGCTTAATGCACCACACATCCCGCGGCTCCAGCCACATGACATAACGGGATAGGTACTGCGTGGATGCGGATCGGGGCAGTTGCTGACCCGTCGGCGATACGGGTGACATCATGCTAACATCCGAGGCAGCCACATGCGATAGAATCCGATCCGTCACGATGCACATGTCACCCTCTTTGGATGGAAACCCGGATCCGAAAACCAGGGATCCCTCCTGCAGGGAGTGCAGTGCTTGGGCAAGGTCAGCCCTTGAACTGCCCATCTCCCGGATGTTGGTCAACGCAAACCGGGATACCTGAATTTGCATGGTTTTCGGTCGATCTTTTTGGCTAGGAGCATCTAACGCCGCCTCCATCACGACACGCGGCATAATCGCTTCCACCTTGACATCCATGTACATCAGATTTGGCTCCTGATCAACATTGACGGCGGCCATCTGTGTGCCATTGGAGCCATTGGAGGCAACCGAGCCGCGTGGCAGCTGCTGTTTCGGATGCAAGGAAGTTTGAGATCCCACGCTGGTGCGTAGCAGACTCTCGTGCAGATTTAGGCCAAAGGAGTTGAGCCATAGTATTGAGCTTAGATCGAAATGTACCTGAATGGGATTCACATGCACAAAGACCTTTGAAGGAGGCACTGTGGACAACAAGAAATGTGATGAAAATCAAAAAGGATGGAAATAGAATTACGCTTACATGGAAAGACAAAGTCTCCTGGATAGTAGAAGTAAGTATATTCCGCATGGATAATAGGCATCTCGGCAGGAAAGGAATACCGATCTTTGTCACCTGTAAATTTAGTAAGTAGTCAATAAAGTTTCATCGCATCAGTTAAGTTAATATTCATATGCAACATGACATCAGCAGAGTTAGAACCTTTCGTGATATTCACCTGAGGATTTGCTCTTCCTTTTATGTTGCGCTACAAGGGCAACGACAAAAACAATACAACAACAAAAGCGTTTTACATGATTCATGGATGGAATGGATAAGTCAGTTAAAAGCAACGAGAGAAAGAAAGGCCAAAATGTTACATTAGTTGGAGATGCTTAAGGCGCATTTTTATGAACTGACTTATAAGGCGAGCTTTCATATTTCGATTATAGAACAAATTTAGTAAGATTTCAACACTTCTTCACTCCTTCACAAAATCAGTTCATAATATTGAATCCTATTGATTAAGTTAAGTGTTTGTGGGCTGTTATGTGGGCGTGGTTTGTAAGTGATGTCTACTCCATTTATAGATGCATCCATACCCGAGACAAATTCTTTTGGCATCGCCTTCTTTCCCGATGTGGTGACACGATACAAAGTAAAGTCCTCAATTCGTAGGATCACACAAGAGCTCATCAGCTTGGCCAAGTTCTCCAGCGTACTTCTTTGCTGGGCTGCCTGAGAAAGTTGACTGTTGGCGGAGGCAGTACCAGAGCCAACAGATCCTCCCGATCCTCCAGCCAATCCTGCCGCTGTCGGCGTGCTGCTGCCATTGGAAAAGCTGCCAGCTCCATGATGTGAACCCAACATGCTAGCACTGAGCATAATCGGTGATGCAGGAGTACTTCTTTCCAAAGGAGCATGTGTAGCCGGTCGATTAGGCTGACTCAAATTAAGAACTGCTTCACGAAAAGCATTGAGGGATTCCTTGAGCCACAGAGCTGGTGCCACCGAAGCCTCCTTATATTTGGCCCAATGCGAACGATCCGACTTGGCCAGATGATAAGGATAGTAGTCTACCTGAAAAGCGGTAACTGAGACCTGCAAAGCACCACCCTTGTCTAGATCCGGGTAACTCGAGCGTCCATCTCCCTCGTCATCACATAAATGGAGATCGATGCGCTGGCTAAAGAAATGATACGAGGTCTCCCGCACATCAAAGGCGTTGAACATGCGTTGCGCATTCGTCGTGTGAGCAGATTCGGAAAGACGATTCTGCTGCTGCTCCACCTGGGCCTTGTACTCGGGCAGTGTCTAGTAGAATTAAAATCAAAACGGTAGTTTAAAATACAAAATTTAAGGTTATCAACAAACATTATCTCAATCATTTTGAGAAAGGGAATTTACATATAATCATGAATAAACTATGTACGGCTCACCTGCATTTTGCGAGCGGCCTTCGACTTCTGGGTGGCATGTGTGGCCGCCTTAATCAATCCGGATAGAGAGTCTACAAAATGCAGAGCCGCCTTTAGCTGCGAGTCCGTAAGTACCCACAGTAGATCGTCTAGGATTAGGACCAGGCGGGAAGCTAGCAGCGAACAGTCGGAGAGCCGCTTCCGAATCGTGATGCGGCATCTGGCGTGATTGGTCAGCAGGCGCAGCGGGGTTAGCGACTTATCCTGCGTGGAACTGGCTTCGATGCGCACCGTCTGCCAGGATAGCTCCTTAAATATCAATATAATGCCCTTCTGAGCGTCCTTGAGTCGTGTCAGCCGAAGATCGGCATTGGCCCATTTTGGTGTCTTGGATTCGACACGAATCCGGGACATCTGAACGGAGGCAGTAAAGGCGGCGCTCACGAAATTCACGTTTACCGTGTTGACCACAATTGTGATGCCATCGACCACCTTGTGAATAAAGCTGTATTTACCCTGTGGCACTTGTGGCAAAGCAGCGGCGGCTGCGGTGGGAGATCCTGCTCCTCCCGGTCCAGATCCTCCGCCGGCATCGCGTGACGTTGGATTGCAGGTTTCGATGGTGATGCGAACTTCATCTAGAGTCTAAAGATACATTGTTAAAAAAAAAAAATATTTATTTCAAATATATAAAACTTTATGGAAATATTTATTTAATTAAAACTTTAGTATTATTATTAAAAGTTTTAATTTTGCAGATTTTTATTAGTTTCTTTTATCATAAACATGTTTAAATGTAAACATAAACCAAAACAAATCCGATTCGTGTGCTATCGGTATCAAAATTATACGCGTATCTCTTATTTCAGTTTTCCTAAAACAACAGCTGCAAGACATTTTTATTTATTTAAAAAGTTGGCAAGGGACCGGTACTGGCTTTCGCTTATTACTCTTAATCCAGGGGATTACTTACCAGCGTTATGGGGACGCTTTTGAGCTTGGTCCAGCTAATCCGGAAAGAGACATGATTGCACCAAGCGGAGGTGAGGCGCAGCCAGCTGGGAAGCTCCAGCAACTCGGTGAGCACCCGCTCGTCCAATTCCAGATTCGAGAGTTCGCCCTCACCGCGGAAGGTGCTTAGATTAATTTTGTCCGAGGAGAGGTTCTTCGTATATCTAGAATAAGAGCAAGGAATAAAGATGAGGGAGGAACCGACTTGAGTCCCCTGCCTGTCCTGGCAATTATATCAGCTTCGTCGCACACGTCACATTGCATTTACAAGGGGGTTATAGAAATAATGGCGCATTGAAAGTAAGAAGGGGTTTCGAACTATGAGTGAAAAAATGTCGGCGCCAGATGTTTGCCACCCAATTGACCCATTTCCCGTTAATGTCGGGGCATAATTGAAATCGAAGTGAAGACATTGATTGGCCAAAGTGGAGAAAAGTCCACGGTACCGGAATTCCACAACTTGTTACTTAAGAACTTTTTTGCCAAAGCATTATGGAAACTCAATTCAATCCCCTTGGCAATTATAAATGCCGATCAGGTTAGCTACCTTTTCAACTTGAAGATAAAAGAAAACAGCCTCGATGGGGGAGATATATATATAAAGCTTTTCCATAACTTTTCCCCCCACAAGTTGGGCAACAAGTTTGCTTTGCATTTACACTTTTTTAGCCGTGTTATGTTATAAACTTTGCTTGTTTGCAGCCTAATTGCGTGGAAGAGTACGGAGCTTAAGGGATGGTGGCAAATGGGACACAAAAGACATCCACAATGGAGCCAAGACAATGCCAATGTGTATACGAGTAAATATGCCTTTGTTTAAGCAGGTGGCAGGACTTGACATATTAAAGTTCATGCGTGGGGGCCAAGAATATAAAAATAAATGCTCGCCATCGAGCATGAAAACGGTAGCTTTCCGACATTACATATTTCCTTGGTAACCGTGTTTGAGAGGTAATTAACTATGCTAATAAACTGCACATAGAACAAAGGTAAAAAGTTTGACCTTTAATGTTAGAAGCTGCCTAAAGCTGATTTTATATTCATAAAAAATTTAACAAAATTTTCTATGGCATTTGTATTCAAAGGTCGAGTTGAATAGATAATTAATTATATATTATTTAATATTTATTATTTTTATTACTGCAGCTGACTTATTTATTACTATGCCTAAAGTCATGCCTAATTCAAACAGGTAATTAAAAAAGTTTCTAAAAACATTTGATCTGATTGGAAGTAATCTCGATAAGCTTATTAAAATCAGGAAATGCGTACTTAAAAGTTAGTGCTTTTCGTATCTTAGACAGCAATCTTTTTAGCAAGTTAGTTTTTTTCGGTGCATATGAAATAACCTTACTAAACATTTTCGGGGATTCCCCCTTTGGGGCGCATTGTTTGTAATTGAAAGTACGCAAATAAACATTTGATTTTGGTGTTTGTGTGGCGTCGTCTTTTGGCCACAAAAGCCCTCTTTATTTTCTTGGCATGGTTATCAAGTAACCGTCTAAAGTAAACCATATTGCGGCGACGAAAAGACGGAAAATTAAATTTCGCATGTAAATGCTGGAAAATGAGTAGGGGGGGGATTGGGAATTCGATTTCGCAAAGACGACGATGCCGCGACAGAAAAAACAACAGTGAAAAAGAAGTTAAGGTGCGTGGGTGGAAATTGGCAACCCACTTGTTACTTTAAAAACTGGCGAAATGGTGTCGCAGAGGGCGGTAGTATGAATGGGTGGGCGAATTAGCATGGGGCCAGACGAAAGATAAACGATAAAGAAAGCATAAAAGCAAGACAGTACAGGTGGAATAACGGTTCTGTAAAGGGGGTGGGAAGCTGTGAAAAATATACACACACACAAAGGCATATTCACTCGAATTGCGGAAAAGTGGGAAAAATCAATTTAGTCTCCAAGTTCTCCACTTTGCAAGCTGTTTCCAACTGCAGTTTTAATTAAGTTTCGTAATTCGATTTGCTGTTAGAGATTGACTTAGGGCACAACTTACATGGACAAATGTTTGAGAAGTTGGTTCTTTATCAGCGAGACCATCTTGCGACGTCACCAGAGAGCAACAATAAACAAAAAAAAAAGGAAAACAAACAAGCAACTGGGCAACCGGGTTGAATAGCTCAGCTTATTCCGCGCAGCATAACTCCTTCAAAAATCATTGAGATTTTTTGTTGTATGCAAATGGCACTAGGATTTGTAAACTCAGAAATTCACTTTTAATTTTTCACTCCTTTGCTCTTGAATCGAATCTGATTGGAAATTGGGTGCTGTCGAACTGACTTTGATTTTCTTCGATTCGCGACGCTCACATATTCACGGTCATTGCGCGGGTGGGAAGACTTCCGATTAAACAGAGCGGGTTACCGGATTAGTCATATTTTGGGAACCCTTCGATTCCGAATCTTATCTTGATTTTCGCGTAAGAGACGCAGACTTTCTGCTTTTGCTTCTGCTGACTTGATTAGTGTTGCAGAACGATTGACAGAAGCAGTGTTGACTGGCCGTTCCAATTAGATTGCAGCTTTCTCGAAGAAGGTGGCGCGTATGACGTCACAAATTGAATGGTGTTTTAATAATAATGCTAAACTAATATATTTATAAAACCATTTGTCGATCCAAAAATATTCCTTATTCAGCTAAAACAATAAAAATTCGTTTATAAACGGAATATTTTTAAAGTTTTATCCAATTCTTACTACACTATTTTTATATCAGTTAAACTAAGCTTAGATATTACTTTCCAAAATTTTTCGTTTGTGCAGAAACATTTGAAGATTTTTTTATTTTGAAAGTGCTCCTAATCGTAAGACGTAAAATACTCAACTGGATAAAATTTTCTTTTCGCAAATTACATTTATCGATAAGTTAATAGTTGCCCGCATAAACACTGCATTTTCTCACAGCTGTGCGGTCGCATTTATCTGTCCCTGGAAAGTCGCTGTCTTTCGTTTACTCGCATTTTCCCGACCTCGCATCTTTCAAGACCACCTATAACAGTATCCTCCAGAGTAGAGTCATGTCCAGTAGCGAGGCGCCGGACGCGCTGGTGGAACAGGTCGTCGAGGTGACCGCCTGCACGGCTGACGAGGCCAAACATTATTTGGGAGCCTGTGCCAATGATGTGTCCGCCGCCGTGGCTCTGTTCTTCGAGCAGGCTGCCTCCACATCGTCGGCGGCGGGTTCTGGGTCTGCTTCTGGATCGCTTCCCATTCTAAACGACGAGGAGGAGGTAAGAGCGCCTATTGCTCCGGTAAGGGAGCAATTAATCCTACCCGAGGACGACAACTTCTTCGCGTCAGGGAGTAGTAGTCGGCTATCGCGCGTCACTCAGCGCGTCAAGGTGTATCCCTTGAGGGACTTTGCCCGAGAGGGCGCTCTGATGGAGGAGCAGCTTCAGGCCACCGGAGTCTATGCCGATCCAAATGCCCATCGATTACGTCGTGGACGAGCCGCCCAGATGGTGGTGGCCGGCCAGGCCATGGCACTTAACAGCCGGTCCACAACGGGTGCGGCCACCAGCACATCCCGCCTCGGAGACCTGTTCCGCCCGCCTACAGACATACTCTACTCCGGATCGCTGACTGCAGCCAGGGAGTTTGCAACCAAACGACAGCGCTGGCTGTTGGTCAACGTGCAGGACGACAGCTTCCAGTCGCAAACCTTAAACCGTGATGTCTGGTCGGACAAGGAGCTCAAGAAACTGATACGTCGTCAGTTCACCTTCTGGCAGGTGGACAACGACACTTCGGAAGGACGACGCTTTGTGGCCTTCTATCACTGCGTCACTCTGCCTTACCTGTGCGTGATCGATCCCCGTACAGGCGAGGAAGTGTGGCGCAGTGCAGAGCCAAAACTGGAAAATATCCTTCCCGATTTAAGACAATTTTTAAAGGAGCACCGCGACTTTATACAGGATGATGCACCTGGCACTTCAAAACGGTCGGCCACATACATCGATGATGATGATGATGCTGATCCGGAGGCCTCATGCTCCTCGACAGCTAGTTCTAAAGGAACTCCAAAGAAGCGGGCCAAGCTTTTGGAGTTAACCGAAGAGGAGCAGATAGAGTTGGCAATCAAAAATTCCATAAACGAGAATGGTGGCGGAGACACTCAGAAAGATAATGATAATACCGAGGGGGCTAGCGATAACGAAAGCCTAGAGGAGTTTGATGATGATGAGCTCAAGGGCGTAGCCGCCGCTTCCTATGAAAATCATTTGGGTGAGGCTAAGAGTGAATTGACTGCATTGAAGTTGCGCCTGCTCAATGTCGCCGGAACAGATGAGATGGTCCAGCTGCGCTGGCCCTCGGATACAAAACTGCAGACTTTAAGGTTGTACATCAGTCAAACGCACAAGCATATCCCCCAAGAGGGCTACAAGCTAATATGCGCCTTCCCGCGTAAATCCCTCGAGACGGAGCACAATGGCAGCTCACTGAAGGAACTCGGTTTGCATCCGTCAGCAAATCTGCATCTCACACTGGACGACTAGGCCACTGGGCCACAAGTCGAGCAGTAAAAGTTTTCATGTGTATGTTTTATTTATTTTAAAATTGTCATACCATTGTAGTTCCAATAAAAAAAATCCATATGAATTAAAATTCTGTCTTATAATAAGTTAAATGATATTGAATAAAATGAACTAGAAATACTACTGTCAAGGTTATTAAAAAATCTCAATTGCATTTTATTCGCTCTTCATTCTTACCTTCAAAATACATTTGCGCAGTCCATACATAATGTAAAGAAATCCCTTATCAAGTGGACGCCACTGATCCAAGCTAACTTTTGAAGTTATAACCACCCTGCCTTTAATTTCGCGCCTAATCTAAACAGAAAACAGCTGATTGTGCACACATGCTTTAGTCTCGCTTTAAATGTTGTCACAAATTGTTTAAATTAAAGGACAATAGAAACTGGTTTAACATGTCAAAACCAATTACCTTTGTTACCGGTAACGCCAAGAAGCTGGAAGAATTGGTTGCCATCTTGGGTCCGAATTTCCCGCGTACAATTGTATCCAAGAAGATTGACCTTCCGGAATTGCAAGGTAAATAATAAACTTCTATAATAGGAAATATTTAAACTATTAATATCGTACAGGTGATATCGATGAGATTGCAATCAAAAAGTGCAAGGAGGCAGCGCGTCAGGTGAATGGTCCTGTACTTGTAGAGGACACCAGTCTGTGTTTCAATGCTTTAGACGGTTTGCCGGGTCCGTACATCAAGTGGTTCTTGGAGAAGTTACAGCCAGAGGGACTGCACCGCCTGCTCCATGGCTGGGAGGACAAATCCGCAAAGGCTATCTGCACCTTTGGATATTGCGATGGTGTGGATGCAGAGCCTCTAATCTTCAAGGGAATCACCGAGGGCGTTATCGTAGAGCCTCGTGGGCCCCGGGACTTTGGATGGTGAGTCACTTGCGTAACTAACCTGATAAAATAGCCCTTATTAATTAATTTTTTTTGATTAACAAAGGGATCCCGTTTTCCAACCAAAAGGCTATGATAAGACCTATGCAGAACTGCCTAAATCGGAGAAGAACACCATATCCCATCGTTATCGCGCCTTGGCGCTGCTGCAGCAGCACTTCGAGAAGCAGGACAAGATAATAAACTAAGACTCAATTTATTTAAAGTGCATATTTGTTCTACAATGTCGAGAAGTTGTTGCAACCTATGTTTCGAGTTCAAATTTCTCTTTAACTGTTACTAATCATTCCTTTTTTGCGCCTAATCATCCTTCTTGCTCTTCGGCTTCTTGGACTTAGAATCTTTGGCCTTACCGCCTACAGGCTTGTTCCAGTAATAGATCAGCTGGCCCAGTATAACCGAATTGGCAAAAGTGGAGGCAATGAAGGTCAGGATGATCATGGTGTCACCCGTCTCCTGGATGGAGGTAAAGATGCGTGCCACCGAGCCGGCGAACATCATAATCACAGTGGCAGCGGACAGCTGACCAGTTGATCCAGCCTTGTAATTGGTGTACGCCTGCGACAGCTTGCCCACCAGCAGGATGGGAATGTTGCAGCTCTGGATGGTGAAAAGAGCCGTCATGGGCGTTAGTCCTGAGTTAAGGACATACATTAGCAGGACATATCCCAGAAGGAAGAGACCCGACTGAGCCTTGCGACCGTTAAAAAACAAAACCAGAACAGCGATGGCTACGGTCTGGATGGCCAGGAAGGTACTATCACCCCAGGCACTGAACGGATAGCCATTCATAAAATTGTAGGACAGGTGAAAGGAAATGGCCAGCAGGTCCAGCACTACGCCCACTATGTTAATTCCCTCGCCAGATTTGCTGTTAAGAATCTTCAACACCTGGGGGACCTTGACTAGCACAGATCCGGCGATAATAGCCAAACCTAGGCCCTTACTCAGCAAAGCCTTGAAGCAGGGAACTGCAGGAAAGATAATTGGTAGTTAATAGGTCTGAAATCCATTTGGATTACAAGACACTTACTGTCCAGGAAGTTGTGCTCCAGGAAGTAGTTATCATAGCACTTCTCGCTCATGAGGAAAAGAGCTCCCTGTTTGATAAGATCCGTCATTTTTGTGCTGCAGACAATTGCCTTTTTTTTATCACGGAGGTCGTAGTTGTATTTAATTAGTAAGTGCTCTCTGAATTCACTATGCACCGGTGTTATCAAGCTGGCCGGTCGATCCAAGAATGAAATGGAAAGCCACCGTTCAGCGCACGTAATGCGGATTCTGAAAGAGATATTGCTGCCCGGTGGTGAATCGGCTTGGGAGTGGAGGCGGAATGATAAGATATAGGTGGTTGTGCCAACGTTATGTTATTTTCGTCTAACTTTCGCTGTAAGGTATGCGCCAAAATCGCTACGTGGTTTTTTGCGCTGTGCAGCACTAGCGCACAGTGGGACCATGAAGTGTGAAAAGTGCAATTGACTGAGTAGGATACCATACAAAAAACATATGTATTTTCTTAAAATGGCAAATGTGCCAAGAGACTCAACATTTTGTATTGTTTCATTCTCTATATAACAAGCACCCTCACACCAATTTCTTGTAGATTACAGCATATTTCACTTGCCCGACTGTTTTTAACAAAAATGCACATTCCGATATATCGATTACAAGTCGATTATTCTTTTACCTCTACCTGTGCGCTGCAGATAAAATTTGTTTATTCTCCGGGCTACGTCGACTTAAAAAATAAGAAGGTGCATTAGTACTTCCTAAAAATCCGGCAAATTAAAATGTCGTCCTTCGATGGGGCTCCGGAAAGCAAAAGGCCACGTCCTGAAAGCAGCAGTAACGGCAACATGGACCAAAATGGATCGGCGACCGGTGCCGGAGGCGATTCTCGTGATAAAGTTGCGCTGATAACAGGCATAACGGGCCAGGTGTGTAAATGATGGATTAGTCACTCTGGTTTCAGGGGCATCCCTACAATACGGTGGTTACGTGTTCAATGTGCTTGATAACTACTTATTGCCTTCCTCTAGGATGGCTCCTATTTGGCGGAGTTCCTACTTAAAAAGGACTATGAGGTGCACGGCATCATTCGACGGGCTAGCACCTTCAACACCACACGTATCGAGCACCTTTATGCCGATCCCAAGGCGCACAAGGGTGGCAGAATGAAGCTGCACTATGGCGACATGACCGACAGCAGCAGTCTGGTCAAGATTATCAATATGGTGAAGCCCACGGAGATCTATAATTTGGCGGCACAATCCCACGTCAAAGTCTCCTTTGACCTCAGTGAGTACACAGCGGAGGTTGATGCCGTGGGCACGTTGCGCATTCTAGATGCTATCCGTACTTGTGGCATGGAGAAAAATGTTAAGTTTTACCAAGCCTCTACTTCGAGCTGTATGGTAAAAGTAGTAGAAACGCCCCAAAACGAACAGACACCGTTCTATCCTAGATCTCCATATGGTAAGGCAGTTGACTTATACTTTTTAAATAGCTCATAGAATCTCATCTTCCGGTCAGCTTGCGCCAAGATGTACGGCTTCTGGATAGTTATTAACTACCGGGAGGCCTATAACATGTTTGCCTGTAATGGGATCCTCTTCAATCACGAGAGTCCCCGTCGTGGGGAGAACTTTGTAACCAGGAAAATCACCCGAAGCGTTGCCAAGATATATCACAAACAAATGGAGTATTTTGAGCTCGGCAATCTAGACTCCAAGCGCGACTGGGGACATGCCAGCGATTATGTGGAGGCCATGTGGATGATGCTGCAGCGGGACTCGCCTTCCGACTACGTAATTGCCACGGGGGAAACTCACAGTGTTCGCGAATTTGTGGAGGCCGCGTTCAAGCATATTAATCGAGAGATAAAGTGGCAGGGTAAGGGTGTGGACGAAGTGGGCGTGGAGAGCAGCACAGGTGTTGTACGCGTTCGCATCAATCCAAAGTATTTTCGGCCAACGGAGGTAGATCTGCTGCAAGGCGACGCCTCTAAGGCCAACCGGGAGCTCAACTGGACACCAAAAGTAAGCTTTGTGGAGCTGGTCAGCGACATGATGAAGGCCGATATTGAATTAATGAGGAAAAACCCCATTGCCTAGGGCCTGGAAGCCCAGATTGGGTGTTAGTACGGCACAAAGCTCTCTGCCCGTTTGCGGAGCTATCCAATAACCATAATTCTAAGCGAAGCGTGATTAGTGATCACTGTATTTGATTTGTCATCGCTGTGTATGTATTTCTGTATTATCTTGGGGATTTGCAATCATTCCTTTTTATACTTTGCCGCGTACGTTCATGTTCTGTGTGTGATCCTAATTGTTTTTATACACTTTACCAAATCTAACGAATATTTGCAATAAATACGTTTAAACTAGACTTTGAAACTATTGAATTATAACAAATGTTTCCGAAATTATGTTTATTCTTTCGAGGCTAAACACAAAAATCAAAAACGAACGAGGACAGGTGGCCTAGGTTTCTTTCTTGCCGAAAGGATTAATCTTAGACAGCCAACTGGAGGAGGGTGAGGATTCCCTGTAAAATATATATATATATTAGAAATACATATATTTAAAAATTTTGTATTGAAACTTACAGCTTAGTTAGCGCTTCGATGTCTGAATCCTTGTGCTCGGTTGAAGATCCCGAAACTGCATCCGAATTCTCTAGCTTTCCTGCTTCGCTTATTCCAGCTTGCCGCAGCTGATCAATCAGCTTGCTACGGAACTCTAGCTTATGCGGCAGTACCTTTTCCGCCTCGCGCAATTGTATTTGCAGCTTGCGTATTGCCTCCAGGTAGGTATGGCCGTACCAGTCGATTTCCTCGGGAGTATAAGACTCCAGATACCGTCCGTACTCCTTTAGCACTTCCTTCTGCCGATCGGGTTCATCGGCCAAGGCTGGAACGCCATTCTGCAAGGATTGTAGGACTTCTCGCTTGAGCTTCAAGGCGAGAGCCGAGCGAAGATCGCAGGCTCGATTCTTAAGTAAATAGTGATCGAAGCCATGGCATTCGTGGATCTGCTCCAGCGTGCGCTCCGTCACCACCACGGACATGTAGGAGTCTAAAACATGGCTGTGAACAACTGAACGTCGAAGATTAGGCACCCAAAAGTGGGGAACGCGACGCTTGGTCTGCTGGCGCTTCTGGAAACCCTTTATTACTGCCTCTCCTCCCCAGATGCCCCTGTGCGACTCAGGGGTGTCGATCAGGGGCAATGGGATGTTTTGCACCGGCTTTATGGCGTGCGTCACTTCGTCGCGTTCCCACTCGCGCTCCTTTGGGATGTAATGAACAGCAGCCGGCGTTGTTAGCTTCCACTCGCGCCAGAACTTCCGGTACGCCTCAGGCAGCTGGGCACCCAATCCCTTGTCAAAGCGACCCGGACGCTTCCATCCGTTCAATAGCTTAACGCCCTGGAAATGGATTTGTTATTCCATGGGGTTTACAAAAGTTAAGGCAGCTATTGCGTCACAGAAACGCGGCGCGCAACAAGCATCTTTTACATATTTGGTTCAGCTGCTTACCTGTGATGTGGCGTGTGCCATTTTTCGTGGAAAAAACTAGCAGTGTATGGTTGTTATTATCTAAAAACTATATAGGCAGTCTAGATTTTACAATTAAACTATATTTTCCCTGATTCTGGCTAGGCCAACTTCTTACAGCACTCTTCCTCTTCCTGTTTGGAAAAAACAGCTGTTCGCATGTGAATGGCTAGCTTGCAGAGTTGTCAACTTTTTAAAAGTAAAAAAAGGCTAAATAAAGTAGTTGATTCCAAATTCGAAATTTTTCTGTTTTAAATTTGTTTTGCTTAAATATTTTGAACCATTAACTTAAAGACTCAGAATATAATTCTTCTAACGTAAGCGTTTTATTTTGACTATTTATAAAACTTTCGCAAATGCAACTCATTTTTTGGAATTTATATGTCAGGATCCAGTATATCTGGTCTAGCCTAATCTCGCCTTGACAGTGTTTATCTTAAGGGGCAGCAGAGTAAGCATTTCGCGTACAACCCCCATCTCTCCCTGAAGCGTTTCTGACGCCTCCTTATGCAGCTGACAGCCGGCATCAAATCTTTTATAGTAGGTATGACAATTGGCTAGGTGCTCTAACTGTTGGAGGGGATGGGCGCTAATCAACTTATAGTAAATGCGACCGATGTGGAAGTGGGCGTAGAGCATGTGGCGCTGCTCCTGGACGTCCATATTAGGTCGCCACTCCTCGCTCTGGGGTTTGGCCAGATAAGATTTCACATAGTTCTCGAAGTGTTTGATGGCTTTCATGCAGCTTTGATTGACCTTCTTAATTTCCTCTGGTGCAGGAGTGCTTGTAGCCCGAATTATATCCAGACGGACATCGAGCACTGCGGCATGGGCAGTCCCGGCTCCATACCAGCACTCCCGACAGATTTTCATGTAGAATATAGGATCAAGCAGATCAAGCAAATCCTCCAGATATTTGGCGCGACGCTTTTGCATCTTGGCCTGGTTTTCCGGGTTTTCTTCAAAAAAGGCAATGTGCTCGTACGCCTCAGCGTAGTCCTGAACGATTTTAGAGTATTCGGTAGCTTCATTTTCGGCCTTGTAATAGTCCTTGGCTATGTCTAGCCACTCGTTAACAAAATGAAACACCAATTTGGCATCGTCAAAGGTTAGACAATACTCGCAGCTTATACGATTTTCGCAGGCGGTGAGATCGAGTCCAGGAAACCGGGACTGTTCCGCCTCGGCCACGCGGAGCTTGCGTATAACCCTTTCAAGATTTTGGGCCTCCACATCCTCATCGTCTCTCATTAACCGCAACTTAGAAGTGTACATCAAATACAATCCGTACTTAGCCCAACAACGAGCCACATCAGCATATCGATGTTTGAAAGTCTCCGCCACATCCTGACGCTGCTTTTCGCTCATCTCTGGTTCCAGCATGTGCACCTCGTACTCCGCCATGATGAGCGTAGCAGCGGCCAAGTGATGTCGCGCTTCCTGGAATCGCTCTTCTCCTATGTAAAATTGAGACAGGGTGGCAGTGTTCAGTGCAAAATCGATGGCGTCATATGTCTTAGACTCCAGTTGTCGGTGTAAAGTTCGATGGCAGCACCTGGCCGACTTTTCCGGCTCCCCTAAATGACCGTACATTTGAGCCATGTAAAAGGAGACAAGGGTATACAGAGATTCCAGCTCCTTGGGTCCAGCCGATGGAGATTCCTGTTCATTTTCCGGGGGATTAAATATATCCTGGATAGCCAGGGGCTCTGAACCACTGGCTTTAAACTCATCATAGCTGGTTCCCGCCTGAATAAGAATGTCCAAGCCCTTCTTGTATTCCTCCTTGGAGGCCATTACAATACTCAATTCGTTGATGGCCCCTATAAAGGGAATAATACCTTCTGGGCGATCTTTGAATGGTGTAACTAGTTCCAGGCATCGATTAAGTAGTTTCTCGCCTTCCGAGGGCTCCTCCGTGTAGATGTAGATCCTGCCCAGATCACGGCAGACGAAAGCCAACAAGGAGCGGTAACACTGGTCATCCTGGCCACCATCCTCCTCGCTGGCCTGGACGGAGACCAGTTGGTCATCCAGCTGCTTCTTCAAATCACTCAGGACTTCACGAGCTTTGTAGTGGGAGCGAAATGGGTCCGTTGGTGGATCACTGCGGCTCTCTTCCTCAACCAGACGGTTGGCCTTTTCGTACAGCTCCTTGTAGTCGCTTAGGATTTCTTTTGGAATGACCATTTTGGCTAGGCCCCGCTTTTGCAAGCGAAGGTTATCTCGAGTTTCAAGAAATTTTATTTTTGTCTCAGCTTTTCTTCTTTCAGTGTGACCGTTCAAATAAAAAAATTAGCTGAGACCTAAACCACAAAGAAAGTGTATATAAAAACTTAAAATATATTATAATAGTTTTAACATATTATTTATTTTTGATCTTGCATACTCACTGATGCATTCATAAAAAGAAGGAGAGGAAAAATAACATATTAAAGGAATAAACTTATACTATGTTTCTTATGAATAAGACCGTTAACAGTACCTTCAGCCGTTTAATGTGACCATACAGTGTCAAGTGTACTTTTTATATTCCTTGCAATCATTTTTGGTATTCTAACCTATCAAATCACAGCCACACAACATTGACTTTCAGATTTTTTTCGCGTCGCAAATTTTTTGGAATATACCAAAATATTTACTAAGACCAGTTATTTAGACTGTTTTTGGCGCTCTTTGTTCAAAGAAGAAATTTTGAATAATTTTGGTAGACAGATCTATCAAAAAACGGCCATGTTAAAAACCTTTAAGACAGAAGACGATAAGAAAGTGAAGCGACTGTACCACCAGCGCTATCGCACCGAATGGGAGAAGTTCCCTGCGTTCTCCAGCTGGCTTTGCTCCAGCAATGATGGTTACTCGGCACACTGCAGGATCTGCGACGCTAATGTCCTAGCCAGATTGGCATCCATTAAGCAGCATCTTGTCACACGGAAGCACCAGGAAAGTTCCAAATGCCACAACATTCTATCGAAGGTGGGATTATCCATTAGCAATGGAAAAGCAGATATTTTAGTCTTTCATTTTGTTTAGTAGTTTTCGGACACAAAACTGAAAAGATTAAAGACTTAAAATCATCTCTTTAAAAATTATAACATGAACAGAGTAAAAGAGAAAGTAAGCAAAGTGAAGCTAATGAACCTGTGACGAATTGGTTTGTTTCCTCACTTAGGATTACTATTTGAAATAATCAGTAATTCTATAATACAATAAATATTTGCTCTTCAAAAGTTTGTGCTTTCTTGCTATTGGATAACTTGTCAACTGCAGTCTGCCAAATCCTTTACTTCAAAATAATAATTTGTTTGGTATTTACACTTATAGAACATGATCAAGGGAGAGCTCTGCAAAGTGGAACATGATCCGGATTTGGCGGCTTCTATTATTTCACCTAAATCAAAATTAAAACCAAAGTTCAAACCGAAGCCAAAAATAAAGAGCAAATTGCAGGTAAAGATTAAGAACGAGCCTAAGGCGGAAAGAATGGAGGAGGACGAAATCGGATCGAACGATTCAATCCTGGATGATCTGCTGAGAACCGACCCGGCGTATCAGGAGCAAGAGTATGTGGTTGAAAACGAGATCGTCGAAGAACAGCACGATTTGGATGATCAGGTGGTCTACGAGGAGGAACTGATTAATATCAAGCAGGACGGAGCAGAGTTGCAAAACGAATTCCAAGAGGACGCAATTTCTGAGGACGTCATTATTAGCGAATTTGACTTGTTTGGGAAGAGCTTGGCGCTGCAATTGAACAATATGGATTTGGAGGACGCTCTACTATGCCAGGAACGTCTGCAAGTTGTACTGACAGAATTCCGCCTCAAGATTCTTAAGCGTAAAAAGGAGTTTAAACGTAGTTCTTAGGCTTACATTTTATATCAATTGTCGTCTTATGTACATAGAAAAATCTTTAACAATTAAATAAATAACTATTCTGCCTCAATTTCGTCTATAAACGCTCGGCACTTCTTCTTCAGCACCTTGACGGCCTCCAGAAATATGATATCTGGCTTGAGTGCACCGACTGACTCCACGGAAAAGATATAGTGATCCCGGACTCGGGCCAATGTCACAGCATCTTTAAGCTGAGGGTAGCGATATACATTCCGGCTGCAGGTGTCGTATCGCTCATCCTTAACATAAGCGTTTTCGTTTTCATCAATACCAATTACTCCGGGCGAGAAACAGCTCTGGAGGAGGTAAGCATCCTTGCCGGATATCTCACGATTAAGTTTGATCTGCGGTAACAGTCGGTAGGTGGCCGTCGCCACCGGGGAAAACTTGGCGTGATCCCGCCCGAGTCCCTTGACCGCCACCAAGCGAAGGTCCAACTCATGACCCGGACGGAGCTGGGCAATTAGAATGTCTTCGTGGATGCAATTTACGGCGCTCTCGCTGTAGATCTGGGCCTGCTTTCCTTTCGGCAACCACTTTAAATGGCCGGAGTACACTTTGTGGTTTTTGTAAATATCATCGAAGTTTGATTGATCCTTGCCAGCATCCCGTCGCCTGGAACACTTCACCTTCAATTCATATTCTAGAGTATCCTGCTCGGTTCCCGCTTCGGTGCTCTCTTCTGTCCGATAGGCAAATAGTCGGGGATCGGCCTTAAGCGGAAGCAGGCCCATCCGATGGGCCAGTACCTCATCTTGGATGATCGAGGTATTGTTGTATATGTACACCTTTTCGATGGCCATGCTGGGCACATCGCTGAGCATCAAGCGACGAAAGGCATTAGCAATGGCCGGATAAACCCCAATCAGATCAAACTCTAAGCCCTCCTCGTCGTTCCTGCAAGAGAAGTTCCGACAATCCTCTCAAAAAATCTTTATTTACAAAACCCACCTAACGATGATTATATGCAGTTTTTCTTTGAACGCTTCTATGCTGAACACGTCGTCCGCCAGGCCATAATCCTGCGGATCCTGCTTTACACGATGTTCTTCCATGTACAGTAGTGGTTCGTTCCGCTTCGTGCCTGGCATTTTTCCTAGCTGTTTTGAAGTTAATAACTTAACAAAAATTAACCGCACGTGTTGCAACAAATAAGACCGCCGTTGGGATACAAAAAAAAACCATAATGTTTAAATACGCTGTCGTTTAAATACCAAAATATATTAAAAACTACCCTGTTACTGGCAAATGAAGAAGAAGCAGTAGTGCACCGGCAAGGTTTTTTATTTCTCCAGATTTACGTAAATCTTAAAAATTCGTGAAACAAGGACATAGGATGTCCCGCTCCCTGCAACGCTTAATGGGCAGCTGCCGCCGCTGGGCACAACAACCCACAATCCGCCACTTTGCCGCTCCTGCAGATTCCACCAAAGGCAAGGGTCCTATCTCCTGGAAAAGTCTGGCTGTCATTGGAGCACTTGGAGCCGGCGGCTTAGGCTTTATGTTGTACGTGAAGAGCGAGAAAGATGAGGCGAGGCTGAAGGAGCGCCAGCGCCAACTGGGAAAAGCTGCTATCGGAGGCAGATGGGAACTTGTAGACTCTCAGGGAGCAGTTCGCAAATCAGAGGACTTCTTGGGCAAGTGGTTGCTCATCTACTTCGGCTTCACTCACTGTCCGGACATTTGTCCAGATGAATTAGAGAAGATGGCCGCAGTGGTGGATGAAGTAGGTAAGTAAATCTTGCGTATTAGTTTTCCTTTTGGATTAACCAATTACTCTTAATCACGAACAGAAAAATCCCCACAAACGCCGGCGGTGCAACCTATTTTCATTACCGTTGACCCGGAACGGGACTCTAAAGAGGTGGTGGCTAAATATGTAAAAGAGTTCTCGCCTAAACTTTTGGGACTTACTGGAACCGTCGATCAAATTCGAAAAGTGTGCAAGGCCTTCCGAGTTTATTTCAGTGCTGGACCGCGGGACGAGGACAACGATTACATTGTGGATCACACCATCATCATGTATCTAGTTAATCCAGATGGCGAGTTCGTGGACTATTACGGCCAAAACCGGGACAAAGACCAGTGTGTTGCCTCTATCCTGGTGAATATTGCCAAGTGGAACTCCGTGAACAAAAAGGGCTGGTTTAGCTAGGCTGATTAAGCTGTTTATCCGTTGTATTTACTTTTACGTATAACGTATACTGTTAGAAATATATAAAAAAGCCGTACTGGTATTTTTCTTTTTGGAATTTCTAAAATTAATGGTTTTCTGTTAAAAAAAATCACAATATAAATAATCTTTTAAATATATTATTTATTTAACGATTATTTTTTAGGATTTTTCGTTTTAGTCTCGACGACACTTCGGTCACACTGCTCTTTTGGCGTGTAGTGCTGCGTGGATGTTGTTGCAAAAATATTAGTTTTCTCGCAACAAATAAAAATCTAAAACAAAATGGTGCGTGCATAGATGAGGATTATACACCTCTATTAAGCCCCTTGAAGTTTCACCTGGGGCTACCTAAAACCGATATTTAGCGTGCGAAAGACGGGTGAAAATTCCGGACTAAACATAACCTTAAAGGCGGTCTTAATTGTTGTTAAAAATAATGATTTTTTTTTAACTTCACAGCGTCCGTTGATGCTGCAAGGCCACGAGCGTTCCATAACGCAAATCAAATACAACCGTGAGGGCGACCTGCTCTTCTCCTGCTCCAAGGATCAGAAGCCCAATGTATGGTACTCGCTGAACGGAGAACGTTTGGGAACGTACGATGGTCATCAGGGTGCGGTTTGGTGCTTGGATGTAGACTGGGAGAGCCGTAAGCTCATCACCGGTGCCGGTGATATGACCACAAAAATCTGGGACGTCGAGTACGGCACAATCATCGCCTCCATTCCGACCAAGTCTTCGGTGCGTACAAGCCACTTCAGCTTCTCGGGCAACCAGGCAGCCTATTCAACGGATAAGGCGATGGGACAGAGTTGCGAGTTGTTCCTCATCGATGTGCGCAACGCCGACTCCTCGCTGTCGGAGCAGGAACCCACACTGCGCATTCCGATGACTGAGTCCAAGATTACTTCGATGCTATGGGGCCCTCTGGATGAGACTATCATTACAGGTGAGTTTTCCCTTAAAAATAAGATGTGGAATCCATCAATGTGAAATAATCATTGCTTTCAGGCCACGACAACGGAAACATTGCCATCTGGGATATCCGCAAGGGTCAGAAGGTGGTCGACTCCGGATCGGATCACACAGGCGGCATTAACGACATGCAGCTCAGTAAGGATGGCACCATGTTTGTCACCGCTTCAAAGGATACCACCGCCAAGTTGTTCGATTCAGAGTCACTAATGTGCCTAAAGGCTTACAAGACAGAACGTCCTGTGAACTCGGCAGCCATTAGCCCAATTCTGGATCACGTCGTTCTTGGTGGCGGTCAAGATGCGATGGAAGTGACAACAACATCTACGAAAGCTGGCAAGTTCGACTCCCGCTTCTTCCACCTGATCTACGAGGAGGAATTCGCCCGACTAAAGGGCCATTTCGGACCAATCAACAGTTTGGCCTTCCATCCAGACGGCAAGAGTTACGCCTCGGGCGGAGAAGACGGTTTCGTGCGTGTCCAGACATTCGATAGTACATACTTTGAAAACATCTTTGAGTAGTTTACTGTCAGTAGTCAATAGGAGGAAAACCAGAGCCGGTGGACTGTAACCTAACCTTTTCATCGGCGCCATGTTCGTTTGCTTAGGGAACTATCAAATATACGCGAGGACAAAACGAAATGAATCGCATCATTTATTTTTATAACATTTAGGGGGCTAACAGAAATACATTCGAGTAATTTTTGTATCTAATGTACACATATTAGAAAAAGGAACGCTTCTTTTGTTTCAGAACCACTGGCTGACCTTGCATGGCAGCCCACTGAGCTGGTGTGGGCATGCAGCCCGGAGGAGGAGGCGGAATGACAACGTTTCCAGCAGCATTCGTCCTTACCTCGGCGCGCGAGTCCAAGTGTAGGACCTGTGCGGCAGCAGCTCCTGCTGAAGTACTGGGTCCAGCAAGGCCGTAGCCATTGCCATGGTGCATCCCATAGTTGGGCTGGCCATTGATGGGAATCTGCTGCTGGTGGTGACTGATCATGCCATAGTACTGATTTTGGATTGGCGTTGGAGCTCCTTGTGCATATACATAGCTCCCTGGCCCTCCACTTCGCTGACTTTCTTCATACGTTGGTGGGGGGGCTCGCTGAAAATCAGTCGTTTAAATGGCGATTCTTGATTACTAATAGAATAATCTACCATGGCCATGGCATCGCCGGAATTGCGATAATCATAGGCGGGTGCACTTCCATCACTTGGTGTGCCAGATTTTGATGGCTTCGACATTCTTATAGCTTGTTGAGAAATAAATGTCGCACTTTGTTTACTATTAATTTTCTTGACTCAGAAACAGGGTTGTCTCCTATGGGCTGTCAGTGCTGACGCAATATTTTCCCGTCAAATATGGCTTATTTCAATAGGGGGTTTTAAAAATATCTGAATTTTGTGTAATATTATGACTAAAAATACCATTTTATACTTTAATTTTAATTGGACATAAAATCAAAAATGTTATTAAAGGACTAAAAAAAATACTTTATTTAAGTCACCATTTTTTTTTTTTTTAAATTTGTTAAGTGGGCAGGTAATTGCAATAATGCAAATATTTTAATTTACATTAATAGACATGGTAACCACCGACTGTTAAAACTATATTTAATATGTAGTATAAATTTTAACAGAAGTGGTTTTCAGTTACTTTTTACAAATCTAAATAAGATCTACTTTGTCTAAATAAAAATTCCAAATATTTTTTTTTGCAACAACATGAATTTCTTAAAGGCCGAACCACCCAGGAAAGGCCGAGGCTAGAAGGGCAACCCCGTGCTTTGTCCTGGCTTTTTCGTGGCGATTCGCACTGACATTGGAGACTCGCAGCTGGGTTGTTTATATTGGCGCCTTTTGATTAGGTCTCTTTGGATGGAACTGCCCAGTTTGCGAACTGGAATCGCTGTGATCCCGTCAAGCAGATTCTCATTTGCGTGCTGCAGTGTGCTCTGGATGAGCTGTTCCACGGCGATGGCTCGTGGATCCACCATGGGTTCACGCTCCAGCACGTCCACAATCATGCGAAGGGTCTCGTCGGACTGGAACTCCTCCAACGGTAGAACCTCAATCAACTCCTTGAACATGTGTGCCACAATGAAGTGGGTGCGGTTTACAACTTCAGAATCGCCCAGGTTGATATGAGCGCACAGAGAATCCTTGGCATGATCGAAGATTCCAGATATCAGTTCCTCCGTGTTCACATCAGAACGTTCATAGTCAAACACGGCTACCACCTCGTTGAATAGTTTGCGAAGTTCCTCACCGCTAATGTGGATGAAGTACTTCTTGGGGACAATAGTCTGCAAATGATCCGTTATGCACTCCGCAATACGATCCGTATAGCGACCCTATATAATAGTAATTAATACGGGTAAGTACTCATTCTAAAATGATTTAAATCACCTGGAAACTATAGGCAGCTTGGCACAAATAGAGCGAAGATCTTAGGGCGAACTTGCGCACATTTTCAGGGGTAGTGCTTTTCCCAAAAAACCGATTAAAACTCTTCTGAACAATCGTTTGCACGCGATCCATTATAAACTCATCGGGCATGGGTGGCAACATGTAGGCATCCACGTTGAGAATTGCCGGGCACACCATTACATCGTCGTTGGGCAAAATTTCGCTGGCCACCTGTGGCTGAGCGTTGGGATCCAATTCGAATTCATAATTGATCTGCAGTGGTTTGGATTTTAGTCTTAGGGCGCAAATCTCCCGCTCCAGGCACTTTTAAAAATATACATATAATGATTTAATATTAACTTATGAAGCCACAGTAAAGAAAGTACCCACTTCTATCTGCTCCAGCAAGGATTTCTCAATGCCCCTGAGTTTCTCAATATCATAGGAAAGATTAAGTGCATTCGGATTGCTCCACTTAGCATAGTTGCGGCTCTGAATGTCTAACAAAGTTCGAAGGATATTGTTCTCTTCACGAAGCACGGTCATTATGTTGACCTTTTCGGTATTGTTCTGTGTTTCCAGTACCAGTTCCTCCTCACACCGGGAGAGCTCTTTCTAAAATACAATAGTTGGATATTAGAGTTAACTTACAATATACTATTAAGACTATTAACCTGTTTCTCTAACAGCTCCTTTTCGAGGGCCATCAGCTCATCCTCAGCGTTGGTTTCCAAGTCAAAGATGTAGCGCCTTAGCACCTCCTCCTCCAATTCGTCCAGATTAACAATTATGCCAAATTTCTTCATCATGGCCTGACGGATCTCCTCTTCCAGTCGCGTTATTTCGAATCTCATGAATTTTATGTCCGTGTTCATGCGCCTCAAGTGGATAAAGTTTATGCGATGCCAGCGCTTGGTGGCCAGCGTCTCCTCACTTAATTGATCCGCCCGGCGGCGCAGATCCACTAGCATGTCAGCGTCAAAAAGAACGGCCTTAGATAGGTCGCGGTAGTCGGTGCCCTCATAAAAATGCTGCAGTTGGTCCATTCGCAGGACTGCACTAATTTGAACCTTGTTTACTTCCTGCTGGCGATTGCGCTGGAATAGATAGGAGCTTAAATATATATGAGAGTAAATTCTCAATAGAATTGCCCACCCGAAACTGCAGCAGGGCATTCTTCTCGCGTTGGTATACTTCCTCGTGGTACTTCATCTTGATCTGCATCTCGGCGATCTCTTTTCGCTTGTTCTCCACGTCCCGCTGAAGATCCCGTACATTTCGCTCCAGTTCGTGGCGATCGGATCGCATGGAAAAGGCTAGATCGTAAAGAGATCGATCTAACCCCGAGGGACAGGTGGCTTCGTCTAGACGGATGGTGGTCATATCCATTGAATCAAGACTCTTGTTGTCAGCCTGTTCGTCCTCGCTTGAGGACGAAGACGAGGAGGATGAAGAGGACGATTCGTCATCCCCCCTTGCTACCTTTGGTGGGCGCCACTTTTTCTTAAAGATGCGTCGCAGGAAGTCGAAAAACTTGTGGCCCTTAACCGTGGTCGAGAAGAGTACTTGAACTGCTGTGATCTGCTCGCCCAGCTTGTCTATGTTCCGCCTTAGATCGTCCAACTGCCTGTTTGTGGAATTGATTACCACTTGTAGGTCGTTCCTTGTGCTCATTGCCATCTTAGCGTTTAGGAGCAGCTGCGTCTCTATCTCCTCGCTGTCGCGGAGAATAAACAGCTCCTGATTAAGGCTGTTCATGTATGCAGTCATGAACTCTGCGTCCAGTTTGACGTGGAAGCGTCGCACCTGCAGTTTTGTCAGTGCTTTGTCAAATTGTTTTATTTCCTCGTCCACCTCTGTCCGGATCGCAGCCTGCTCTACAAGGAGCCGACGAAGCCAGCGATGGCGTGTCTCCGTCATTAATGGCACTTCGCCGTCCTCATTCATCTCGTAGTGGGCCGGATCACTTATGGGCGGCAGTTTTAGCAGTACCTCGGTCAGCTCTGCATTGGGAAGACTTTTCTTTAATCTCGAAATCTGGAGCATTGTGAAGGCAGAAAACTCGTGCAGTTCGGGCACGTCCAATGCGTTCATACTCAATATGCTAATATTGGTCACAGACCTATTAGGAGCTTGCATGGCGATCACCTAGGAATATAACTGTAAATAAATAAAATATAGTATATTTTTATATATAAGGGCACACCTGATCCACAGTGTTCTCTAGCGTGAGGATATCGTCAATTTCCACACCACAGCCGGGCGTATAGTGCTCGATTAGATTTAGTTCTGGGTACTCTAGGTCCATGTCCGTTTCATAGATCGGTTCCAAGGGCTGGCGATCCGGCTCGGGTAGATAGCTATGAATCACATTAAGCCTATTCCTCTTGGCGTTGATAAACTGCTCCAGTTCACCCTTACGTTCACGTAGCTCCAGAACCATCTGGTTAAAGGCGTCCACCATTGCAAAAAATTGTTCACGGCAGTCTACGACTTCTATGTATTTCTGGGTAAGAGTCTCCGTGGACTTCGGTTCGTAGTCGGCTCCGATCTTGAGCTTGAAATCACCCAGGTTGCGCTTTGCATCCTCGATCTGGGCATCGTCATCCGGATGGTTACGATTGGGGTCCGGCTTCTGTCGTTCCAGTTTGTCCCAGTCAAAGATGCGACGCACCTCAAAAAGCTGACGCTTCCGGTAACGGACCAGGAGTCGCATCATCTTTCTGCTAAAACGGGGCTCAATGCTCTTCGGATCACGCCCGAAGAAGAACGATTCCGGTGGGGGTTCACCAATCGATTCGTCTGATCTTTCGGCGACGACAAGGTCATGAAGTCTGTAATGAATTAGTTATGCAATGAGATACGGGTATAAAATTATAGCTCAACAAATAATAAGAGCTAAATGACGATTAAAGTAAATAAATACTTTTTTTTGAGTGGAAATTTAAGGACTGGTAGTGCGTAAATGGTAATAAGAATGTAAGGCTTACACTTCTGGTTGTTCTGCAACACGATCTTCCCTGTAAAGGCTGCTTGTCGTGGATTTAAGATTATAATTTTTTGTTTGTGTGGTTTATGAAGTGTCCCAGATTTGATTTCGGAAATTTCCCACTTACCCCATATCGTGCTCTTGTTTCAGACGCTCCTCTATATCACGTTTAATCTGGGCATGTTCCTCGCCCAAAGCCTGTAGACGAAATGTGGACACACCCGGTACTTTAGCACTGAGAAGGCACGAATTAAAGCAATGGTATTTGTAGGAGTAATTTTACTAACCGTAAGGAATTGACGGTAAAAGGGACTTGAACGAGATCCTTAAGAAAATGGTTGTATAGCTTCGAATGCCCCACCTGGGCGAATTCCAAGTCGTACGCCAGATCCTCTCGGACATCATCCAACTCCGCCTGTAACTCATCTCGAATCTGTTTCGTAATGCGGTTGTCCAGCAGCAAATCTGTGTCTTTCACCCTCAGACCCACAGGAAGGTCTTCGTTGACTTTGATTATGTCGAAGTACACGTTCTGAAGCAATCCGATTTTGTTAAGAACATCTCGATCATGCGCCTCAGCTGCTTCCTGTTGGCGTCGCAGCTCTGCATTGATCTTTTCCTGTTCCAAGGATGGAGCATCTGTTTCAATTTCAGCAACTTGGCTTACTTCCTCAGGCAAAGGTGGTAGCTTATCTCGCCGCTTGTTCTTAGCTATTTGCACTCCGTTCCACTTATGAAGGAAAATATTACCATCATAGCCAATGGTGAGCAAGTGCTCGCCAGAAAAGCTGGTCTCGATTTTGGGAATGGTGCCCTTCAAAGAATCATGCATTGGATAGATGCGGTACTCGGAGAGGTCTGTAAAATTGTCCGGATTGATGCGATTTATTCGAAGGCGCCCATTAATAAGGCCAAAGATTAGAAAATCCTCACTAGAAGTTATAATGATGAACTAGTAAAAAGATTATAAATAAAAGAAATAAAAAAATAACTTACATAATACAGTAGGACTGTATCTCTATATCATCACCATCCGCTATTATAGTAGCGCGAGTGGGCTCCGGAGCATCGAACTCCAGTTCATAGATATAACCCGCATCGTAGCCTGCCATGGATACCCAGATAGTATCCCTTATCGTGTACCGCAGCCAAATTATGGCATTTGGCACGGCAGGGATGTGAAGCGGCTCTTCCTCCTCATCAGGTTCAGAGTCAGCTAGAGCAGATTCCATGTCGATTTGCAGGCCAGGGTTGGCCTTCTTCAGCTTTTCCACTTCATCCATCTTGCGTTCCCGTTTACGTTCCTTACGTTTTTTTGTGTTTTCCCTATTGATTTCCCGTCGGATGCGACTTTTGATGGAAACAAACCTCGTATGACGCATGCGAGATTTCTCAGTGATGTTGTAGGATAAATAGGTCTCATCTGCGGGGACTGCGGTACGAATATTATACTCGTACAAATCACCACTTTTACAACCCACCAGGACCACAGTGGGTTCTGTATCATGCCAGCAGAAGCAGTTCGGGATCCCCGCGAACTGCACAAATCCAAGTGGATGCATGTCTACTAATTGTTTTTCATCCAAGCTCAACTGGTAGATAAATATGCTCATGTCGGCGCTGCCAGTAAGCAGCAGTGAGCTGTTCCGACTAACTGTTAGTGCAGTAATTGGCGATGTGTGCGCCTTGAAAGCTCTCACCCGCGCCATAGTAGGTCTTTCCTGATCGCTGAGATCCAAATACATCTGCCGAAGAATACCATCCTTGAAGACAGCAACTATTTCAGTTCCTTTTACGGAGATCTGCGTATCTAACCAAATGAAATCGACTCCTTCTGCCGGGAACTGCTTTTCCAGGAGTAGGCGTTGATCCTCGTACTGATAAACAAACAATTTTCCGCTCTCCGACATGCAAAGAAAATGTGGCGAAACGGGGGACATTTGTGAACTTAGTACTTTACCGCCAACGCAAGAGTAAAGTTTTCTTGGATTCTGGGGAACATCGTAGGTGTTAATGTCACAAAACCAAATCCCACCGTTTCCATCTTGGGCGTAGTGGGTGAAGTCCGTCTCGTCGAAAGGATTAATCTTCTGCATGCAGCGTAGCTCCACGTCAGCGATTTTGAACTCATAGATTGGATCGATCTCCACAAACAAATCGTCTTCAGGGGGATCAGCCAAGTCTACCGTCTCCCAGTACCAAACTCGCACATATCCATCCATGCCTACCGTGGTCACTTCACCGTTCTTCATTGTGATTCTGGTTATCGGTTTCGTGTGGCAGGGCTTTCGACCTTTCCGGCAGATCTCGAACTTAATTAGACCCGCCTGCCACAGCAGCATGTTGCCCCAGTCGCTACCAGAGATTACATTCTCATCCGCCAGCATGTACATAGCATATATATCACTAAAGTCCGTCTTGCCAAACCTTCCTAGATCACCTTTTAATTTCAAACCTGTAAATGTATTGGCCATCTTCCAGAACTTGATGTGACTGAGTCCTGAGGAGCAAAGCAATATTGGATTGTGCTCCGAAAAGTGCACAAAGAGGATGTCGCTCTGGAAGGATTTGGCGCGCAAAACCACCTCGGCTTTCTCCCAACGCCAAATGGTTATGATGAAATCTGGATAGCCGGCCTGCGAGGCGAACAACTCGCCGGTTTTATTATAAGAGCCAGCCGTAAAACAACTCTGCGCTGCATTCAGGAGCTTCACTCGAACATCAAGTGAGGGATACTCGTAGATAAAGATGGTGGGACATGGTCCATTCTCGCCCACGGTAAAGAGGTTGGTGTAATCCGGATGTTCGTTTTTCTAAATATATTAAAATGTAACGTAATAATTTAAGGCTTTACGAAAAAAAATCCCACCGTGATAAACCCTATACCGCAGCCGTAGATCGTTTCCTGGAAAGTAATTTCTTGACGCGAAATACTGAAGTAGTTTAGGAAATTTCCTGAACTGAAGACCAGAGTATCCGGATCCACGAGTACCAAGTTAAAAAGTTTCTTACAATCGTAACCGAAAGAGTGTCTGGAGAAGAAATTTATCAGCATAAAGAATTCTTTGAATAACTTATACATACTCTACGCTGATTATATCACGAGGGAAGGATATGTCTGGCTCGTTGTCCAATTCCTCCTCTTCGCCCAGAGGCTCAGATTCCAGATTTGAAGCGTTCATAATAAATTACTGTTTACAAAAGTTAAGATAAGTTGTGTATTTATTTATTTGATACAAGTGAAAAGGTTTGCTTGAGTGTTTGTTTGTCTGTTGCCAGGGCACGGCGCAGAGGCAGTTTGAAAAGATTTAATGAGATGTGGATCATGCGCAAATTAAAATGTATATGTTGTTTTTAATTTTCTGAGGTACACATAATTTAAATAAATTTAATAAACAATATAAAATACAATTGTCTTATCTAAATATCTAACTCCATAAAAGCCTCATCATCATCATCGTTAAGAAAGGCTGCCATATCCGACTTGGCAATAGTATCTTTGGATTTTTCGATATTATTATTCGGTTCATTGGGCGCTTTGGATTGAACAGGCGAAAAATATTGCTTTATGCTGCTCCTCTCCCTTTCAGGGGTGGACTTGGCGGGTGAGAAGAATTCTTCGATTTTATGGGACTTTAGTTAAGAAAAGTTAAAAACAGATTTATTTATAAAAAAAATTAGTATGGGTCTTACCGAAGTAGGTGCCGCAGTGTGTTTAGCCTTTTGCAGATTCTCGGCAAAGATACCCACTTTACTTAGCACCTCTTGCTTATTTTTAAGCATGTTCCATATTGTATCGTCTGCCGTATTGTTTGCCATCAAATAGCGACAAATCACCGGTTTGGTTTGCCCAATGCGATGGGCACGACTCTCAGCCTGCGCAAGGGTCTGAAGGCATAACAAGAGATATTAAAGGGATTCCATTATTTTTTTTTTTTTAAACCTACACTAGGATTCCAGTCCAGTTCAGCGAACACGATCATCTCCGCTGCAGTTAGTGTGATCCCTGAATTGCAGGCTTTAAGGGAGAGTAAGGCAACTTTACAGCTGCGCTTTTTCTGGAATGTGTCTACAAAATCTGATCTGAGATCGCTACGGGTCTGTCCATCTATGCGTATGTAGTGTACTTTTAAGCCACTAAGGCAGTCGCTAATGGCGTCCATCATAACCCGGTGATGGGCAAAAATTATAAATTTCCTTTCCTCCTTAACCAGGGTTTTTAAGTAGGCGCTGAAAACACCATAACCAATTATGTATTCTTTAAATAAGGTTAATAAGGTTACCACACTGCTCGGGCTTTGACTTCAGCAGTTCGCGCATAGAAACGCAGTAAAATCTCCTCCATGGCCCTGCCTTTGCTTGTTTTTAGCTCCTTGTTAAACGCATCTAAGGTATCCTTGGTTTCTTCGTTGGTCCACACTAAGGCTGGATCCAAAACCACAGTTTCACTGCAAATTAAAGGAATCAGTCGGTGTTCTAACAGATACTTTTTATATATAACCGATATAAACAACTCACCGATTCTTTTCAGCGAGTTGAGGTAGCACTTCAGCTTTCGTTCGTCTTAACATGTATTTAGATGTAAGAATAACCTTGAGTTCCTCTAGATTCGATTGCCCGCTAGCATCCCAGCCAAATGTAGACTGTTTACCATCGCAATAACGTGTAGCTGCAAGGATGTTAAGGCCTAAAAGCTTGAAATATATATAAACAAAACCCTTTACGTACTGAATTCCATAAAACTCATGAATTTGCCATCCACCATTTGGAGTTGGCTGAAAAGTTCTAAGGGGCGGGAAAGAGCTGGAGTTCCGGATAATAAAACCACCCGCTTAGCTTGATCCGAAAGCCTTTTAGCAGTTGTAGTGCACTTGGCTTTGCTGTTCTTTAGTGTGTGCGATTCATCAAAGATGATAAATCCGTATTTGCGCTGTAAAAGTTTGTCCTCATGTCGCTCCATCATGTTATAACTGGTGATGAGCACCTGTGCCTCGCCCACGTATTGTTGATTGTTGTTAAGCACCTGAACGTGATGTATGGGTACCTTGGGCAGTAGTTCAACAATGTGTTTGGCCCAGCTGTCCCTTGTAGAGGCGGTGGTGCAGATAAGTAAAGGCCAATCATCCTTAAAATAGTCGGCTACAGCCAAGGCTTGATAAGTTTTGCCCAGACCCATTTCATCACAAATCATAATGCGGCCCTTTTGGGAAATGGAAAAGCTTATTATAAGAAAAAGAAAAGTAAGTACAAGGTTAGTTTTTAACAATCATTTGAACTAACCACACCCCATCTTGCTGGAAGGGCATTAACTTGTCTGCCAGCTTTGGTTCTATGGAAGCTAAAACACTCCTTTCCAAGACTATTGGGGGCTGTCGGCAAAGATCGAGAACCTTTTTTGGAATTCCAACCATCTGGACATTTGGCTTTAAATCCGCTGCATGGGTCTGCAGTGACTGGTAATCCGAGAGATCGAAACTCCAGGTGCGCGTTTGGCTTTCGTAAATTCTGCTGGGCATATTTTTGAACACAGCTATAAGCTTTTCATGATATCCCAAGGCTTGGGCAATGAAACGATGTGTGCTGACCATGTAAAGGTTGCAGGTGATAGAATTTCCCAGTAGCACAGCTACTGGTTTCTCATTTTCCGGAGCCAAAGAAAGTGTGGGTCTGTTCTTTCCATTCTCTCCATTCGGCCGTTGGTATGGATGTGCGGCAACTCGCGACAATTCCCGCGTGGAGGTTTGTTTGATTGCTTTTAGAGCATTCAGAAAGGACGAGCTCTTGTTGTTATTAGACGAGTAGGTAGTCCTGGTCATCTTCTCTTGCGCTGCAGGCGGCGAACGGTAGAAATTCAACGGAGACTTAGCCTGGGGTTGTTTTGGATTTGGATTTCCATTCCGAACTTGTTGCTTCCCACTTGTTTGATCATTGGATTGTGATTTTCCATTGGAGGTAGATGTGGTAGACAGTAATTGTGACTTCTTGGCTTGCAGCTTAGCCAAGGCAATGCGCTTCTTCTCCGCTATTTCGGATGAACTGCAAGTGGACATGCTGCGACACCAATAAACAAAATTTGGCGGAATAAATAAACAAATGCATAGCGCAGTGTGACCAGATAAGATGATCTAAAAAACTATGTACCAAAATGTATGGTAAACGAATTTAAAAGATTTTACATTGTCCATGTAAATGATCATGTAAAATCCTTTAAATCGTAAATGGGAAAAAATGAAATGTTGTTGCTTTTAAGATAGTAACTAGTATTAATTTCTTAATCAATGAAATAAAGTAATTATAGAACTGTTTAAATAAAGTAAACAACGTTATATGTATATGAATTAAGATAACGGTTTAAAAAGCTTATCACACACTTGTAAACTTGTCTTCAAGTAGCATTTGAATATGCCATATAAAATTAGCATGTTTCTAAGCGTAATCAATATATTTGCATTGATTTCTTCAGAGGGCAATTCGATGAACTCCTACAGATAGGATAAAACCAAGTGGGGGCACTTTACGCAGAGATATGGAAACCCAATAAAAGCTGGTGAACGTGTGGAAGGAACACAAGTGATCCTATAAGCATGAAGGTGTTCGTTGTTTTGGTTCTGGCTTTGGCCACTGTTTCCGCCGATACAGTAAAGCAGGTCTATCCGAAGGATCTTCCTAAGGATTCTAAAATTAAGGGCCGTATTGTGAATGGATATCCGGCGACCGCGGGCAAAGCTCCCTACACTGTTGGCCTGGAGTTCGTGGCACCTAATGGTGCCTGGTGGTGCGGTGGCTCTATCATTGCCCACGATTGGGTTTTGACTGCTGCTCATTGTACCAACGATGCTGTTCAGGCAACCGTGTTTTACGGAGCCACCTGGCATTTCAATGCCGAGTTCACTCACACCGTTAGCAGCAGCGAATTCATTCAGAACACCAACTGGCCCAATGAGAACGGCAATGACATCGCCCTGATCCGTACCCCACACGTGGATTTCTATAACATGGTTAACAAGGTAGAGCTGCCCAGTTTTAACGACCGGTACAACATGTACGACAACTGGTGGGCCGTGGCCTGTGGTTGGGGAATGACCACCGCTGGATCTCAACCTGATTGGATGCAATGTGTCGACCTGCAGATCATCAGCAATGCTGAGTGCTCCAACGTTTACGGCTCCCAGCCTGAAGGAATCCTTTGTGTGTCTACCACTGGTGGCAAATCGACCTGCTTTGGGGACTCTGGTGGACCTTTGGTTCTGCACGACGGTGGCCGCCTGGTGGGAGTCACTTCATGGGTTGCCGGAAACGGCTGCGACGCTGGCTTACCCTCTGGATTTACCCGTGTCACCGCTCATTTGGAATGGATCCGAGATAATTCCGGGGTCGCTTACTACTAAGCCATTTTTAAATAAATGAAATGCATTAAAAAACTGGTGGAGTTTTTAAAGTGTTTTTTTGGATCATGATCTAATCTTCTTAAGTAAGTACCAAAGTTAAAAAAAATGTTTTTGATAAGAAGATTATTTGCCTTTCTGGATGTTTTTTGAATAACTTAAGGATTCAAATAAGTCAGTGGTAAAAAACGTGTTCCTCAACTTTGAAATATTAGACATTAACATGCAAGTTTAAGATGCCGTCACCAAGTTTTTGAATAACTAGTATAACTGTATATTATATTAAAACGTCCATGGTCGAGAATTTAAAATCTCCGTTGTTTTTGAATAAGTCTGGAAATCCTCTTCCTAATTAATTTCTTTGTCTTTAATATAAGCGAATATAGTTTGATTATAACATCATGGGCTTATACTATTTTGCACTGCCAGATTTGTCCATGGGTCCACTAAAAATTAAAATTTGAGCTATCTAGATTTTCTTAGGTATATTATCAATTAATTATCATTGATAGCAGCAGGCGAAATCGTGATGAACTCTTATAGATAGGATAACGACGAGTGGGGGCTACTCTACAGTAAGATAAGAAGGCAATATAAAAGCAGATTGAATTTTGACAAGGGACACAAGTGATCCATTCACCATGAAAGTGTTCGTTGTTCTGGCTTTGGCTCTGGCCGCCGTCTCCGCTGAGACCATCCAGCAGGTTCACCCCAAGGATCTGCCCAAGGATACCAAGATCAATGGCCGCATTGTGAACGGATATCCGGCAACCGAGGGCAAGGCTCCCTACACGGTGGGTCTTGGATTCAGTGGTAACGGAGGATGGTGGTGCGGTGGCTCCATCATTGCCCACGACTGGGTGCTGACTGCTGCCCATTGTACCAACAATGCCGGACAGGTGACCATCTACTACGGTGCCACCTGGCGCACAAACGCCCAGTTCACCCACACTGTCGGCAGCGGCAACTTCATTCAGAACCACAACTGGCCCAACGAGAACGGCAACGATATCGCCCTGATCCGCACCCCTCACGTGGACTTCTGGCACATGGTCAACAAGGTGGAGCTGCCCAGCTACAACGACCGTTACAACATGTACGATAACTGGTGGGCCGTCGCTTGCGGATGGGGATTGACCACTGCTGGATCCCAGCCCGACTGGATGGAGTGCGTCGACCTGCAGATCATCAGCAACTCTGAGTGCTCCCGCACCTATGGCAACCAGCCCGATGGTATCCTTTGTGTGTCCACCTCTGGCGGCAAGTCGACCTGCTCTGGCGACTCTGGCGGCCCTCTGGTTCTCCACGACGGTGGCCGCCTGGTGGGTGTCACTTCCTGGGTTTCCGGAAACGGATGCACCGCTGGCCTTCCCTCTGGATTCACCCGTGTCACCAACCAGCTGGATTGGATCCGCGACAACTCCGGTGTCGCTTACTACTAAGCTCGATTATCCGTTTTTTAATAAATGAAATGCATAAAAAATAATCACTTGGGTTCGATTTGTATATAGATCTTAAGTTCATATTTAATGCTACAAAGTTTTTTAGGTAGATTTTAAAAGAAATACGGCTAAACGATTGAGTTCAAGAAAAATTTGCTACAAAAAGACCATGTTTAAGGAAAGGAATTTTCTTGAGGGAATGTTCCAAGGAACATAAATAAGAAGTTCTAATTATAATAATAATAAGAGGAAGACTAATTATAATCGTTCATCTATAGGAAATGTTATAATAAAATATTTTTGGTTTATAAATTAAGTGCTGGTACCAATATAAACATAACTAAATATTTAAGTTAAGGCAAACATGACAAAGAAATTTTCGCTAATAAGAGCAATTACTTATTCCCCTAAAGTATTTGATTAAAACGATAGAAATATTTTTAAACTAATTATAGACTTCTATAAGTTCTCAGTTAGAAAAGTTATTCTAGAACCTGGATAAACGTATTTCACTCTTAGATATATTATGTATTTAACACAAATACATAGTATTTACAAATATTTTGCAAAATATCTCCAAATTAATAATAATATATTCTCAAAACTAAAATCAAGGAGTTAGAAAAATAGTTGTTTCAAGAAACCATTTAACTTTAAGTGGTTGGTATTTTCATCATAATATATTTTTTTCTCAGAATATAAAATAAACAATCAATTTTAAATATTTTAAATAAACAAATAAATTTTAAATATAAAATTTAAATATATAAACTCAAATTTCCTTTCAAAATATTGACCTTATTGACAAGGACTTGTTCCTTAATCTTCCTGTGCTTCTGTTCAAGTGGGCCATTTAGTCGAGAATCTGTGCTTGAATGGGTGCTTATCGGGACTTATCAACAGATCTGCTCCGAGTGGACGCACGTTCCCGTCGATAAACTCGCGTAATCTTTTAATGAATGAGTAGCGGTGTGGGGCTCTTCGAATTGAGTGGCAAGACATAAGCCGGAAAGTGTGTGGATCGGATAGGGAGATGAGAGTACGCTGTAATGATAGTGACGAATATTGGAGGCGTGCGAAATTAATTTGATAAGATTGTCCCGACGAAATGGATTGAACTTTTGAGTGGCGAGTAAGATCTTCAACGATATGACTATTGCTTTGGGGGGTATATAAATCACTCCTAGACAGCAGAGTATTCAGTTGTACTCAAGTAATCAACATGAAGCTGTTCCTAACTGTCCTGGCCGTGGCTGTTGCCTGTGCCTCCGCTCTGCCCCAGAAGGTGCAGCCGGTGCCCCTGAAGGATGCCGTCACTGGATCCGGATCCGGCTCGATCGAGGGTCGCATCACCAACGGTTATGCCGCCTCCGAGGGCAAGGTGCCCTACATTGTCGGTCTTGGCTTCAGCAGCGGTAGCGGTGGCTGGTGGTGCGGTGGCTCGATCATCGGCAACACCTGGGTTGTGACAGCTGCTCACTGCACCCATGGCGCTGACTCCGTGACCATCTACTACGGTGCTCTGTGGCGCCTGCAGGCCCAGTACACCCACACCGTGGGCAGCGGCAGCTTCCGTCAGCACTCGAACTACAACACCAACAACCTGAACAACGACATCTCCCTGATCAACACTCCCCATGTTGACTTCTGGCACTTGGTGAACAAGGTTGAGCTGCCCAACGGCAACGAGCGCTACAACAACTTCGCCGGCTGGTGGGCTGTGGCTTCCGGATGGGGCAGGCCTTGCGACAGCTGCGGCGTGTCTGATTACCTGAACTGTGTGGACTCCCAGATCATCGAGCGCAGCGAGTGCTCCAGCGTCTATGGAACCGATGTGGTCACCGACAACGTCATCTGCACCTCCACCCCCGGCGGCAAGTCCACCTGCGCTGGCGACTCTGGCGGCCCACTTGTCCTCCACGACGGTGCCAAGCTGGTCGGTGTCACCTCCTTCGTTGCCGCCAACGGATGCACCTCGGGACTTCCCGATGGTTTCACTCGCGTCACCAGCTACTTGGACTGGATCCGCGACCACACCGGCATCTCCTACTAATCAGCTTGATTTCGTTTTTGAAATAAAAAGTTTTGCATATAATTAACGTTTGTTTTTACTTATACTTGTTTATAAGAAGTGATTGATAACTTATAATAGGATGACGGTGAGGATGCTCTATGAAAAACCTTTCTCACAAGAATGGGAGGTCTACAGAAATTCACAAGCCTTTTCCAACCTTCTTTGGTGTTAATAATGCTTAAAATGGTGGCTTTGGAGAAAATAATATTCAAAATGAACATATTAATAATAATAAGAATATTTTATGTTCGGACTTTGATTTCATTTTTATATCTATTTTTAATTATCATTTTAAGCGTACCTTAAATTTTATTCATAAGGCTTGATTGATAACAATATAAAATATTCTCATCAGTCTTATTTGTTCTTAATCCTTATCTGTCCTATTCCCTACTTACGCTTCCCTACACTTATCTAAGTTATAGGTACTTTTGATTAAATCTGAGGGATTTGTTTACTTTTGGGACCTACCGTCGATAAGATTAAGGTTTTTGCACACGCAGGCAGAAATCAATATTATTAACTTTATAAAATTTGATTAAACTTAATTCTTCAAACTTTCCACACTCTTATCAATTAGATTACTTATCACTTTCAGGAATACTTGTAATCATTAAAAACATAAGTTCGTGCTTACCGATAAACATATCTGTGACTTAAAATAATGCAAGCTCATCACTGGACAAATGTTTGAAGAGTTAAAATCCAAAATTGCGGATGTTAGATTGGAAAAGTTCGTTGGATTTATATTTAATAAAAATAAAGGACATAGCAATGAGACTTTTAGGAACTATCAGCTAGTTTAAAAGCACCAAAAGGAAGCCATAAATAATGATAGAAACACAGGTTTAGTTTACAGATTGGTACGGGGCATTACCCGTACGGGGCATTGATGTACGATTTGGAGTTGGCTATAATCTAATCGAAAATGACAGTTTACTTTTAATTGAGCTGTTCCAAATTCGGTGCATTATTATTAAATGCGATCACCATAAATATAATGTGCGCTTTTGCAAAATCTTACATATAATCTCAACTTCTAATTTTTGATTCTACTTGTGCTTTGACACAACAATAAGGGTTTACGGGACTTCTGGGGGCCACAGAAATTGGTTCCCGTCTTAGCCTTATCACTGACATCATTTATGACTATTTCGAGGGATATTTATGAACTATATTAAATTCCAGATAGAACTTTCAGCTCTAAAAACTGTATAAAAGCGTCTACTTCGGGAACAGAAGCCAGTTTCGACATCAACATGAAGGTGTTCCTAGCTATTCTGGCTCTGGCCGTGGCTTCGGCCTCCGCCTTCGATGAGAAGGTCTTCGTCAAGGACCTGCCTAAGGCCACCAAGATGGAGGGCCGTATCACCAACGGATACGCCGCTCCCGAGGGTAAGGCACCCTACACTGTGGGTCTTGGTTTCAGCGGAGGCTGGTGGTGCGGTGGCTCAATCATTGGTCACGAATGGGTTTTGACTGCCGAGCACTGCATCGGAGATGCCGCCTCTGTGATCGTCTACTTCGGAGCCACCTGGCGCACCAACGCTCAGTACACCCACACCGTCGGAAACGGCAACTTCATCAAGCACTCCAACGCTGATATTGCCCTGATCCGTATCCCTCACGTGGACTTCTGGCATATGGTTAACATGGTTGAGCTGCCCAGCTACAACGACCGTTACAACAACTACAACGAGTGGTGGGCTGTGGCTTGCGGATGGGGCGGTACCTACGACGGCAGCCCACTGCCCGACTGGCTGCAGTGCGTTGACCTCCAGATCGTCCACAACGATGAATGCAGCTGGACCTACGGAAGCGTTGGCGACAACACCATCTGCACCCGCACTGTTGACGGCAAGTCGATCTGTGGAGGAGACTCCGGCGGTCCTCTGGTCACACACGACGGCAACAAACTGGTGGGAGTCAGCAACTTCGTTTCTTCCAACGGTTGCCAGTCTGGAGCTCCTGCTGGATTCCAGCGCGTCACCTACCACTTGGACTGGATCCGTGACCACACTGGCATCTCTTACTAATTTTTAAATAAAACGATCATTTAAAAAGCTATCCATAAAAAGTTTTACATTCATTTAAAGAATATTTAACAATAAAAAAAGGGGGTTCGGGACAAACTGGTGGTTAACGCGCTTTGTTAGTACAACATCTTTCTTTTTGATACGTAATCTTTTGTTTAAGTTATAAGTTACTCAAGATTTTGATCCTTTTTATGATCATATTTTATGGATGTACTGAAAAACATAATTTTTACGTGCTAACAGAAAATTAAAATATATGTGATTGGTAATAGTAAATATTTCTAAAAAGGTATAAAAATAAAATTATTTTAAATCTTAAAATTAAAGGATCTGCTGAATATGTCACCAGAAAATGTTGAAGAAGACTTTATAAATGATTTATTTTGATAAAGATCAGACAGTGAGTTGAACATGTTTTATAACACACTCGACTACAATGTTTGTTTTTGTTCAATTATTAATTGCTGACACTTCACAGACTAATTAAATAGGAAGAGGCGAGGATTCTTCAGATTTCCTCGGCAACAGCTTGTTTTTTTTCCATGAATATGAAAGGTAAAACCAACCTATGAAAGAGAATGGTTATTCTTATCAAATCATTTAGTAAATACAATTCACTTTTTGAGACTCCCAATGAACGTACGATTTCCTAAACCATTGATGATATATACAATTTGTGTAAACATTTGTTTAATAAACAAATAATATTGAAAATCATTCATGTCGAGAGATCATTGTAAATTCTTAAGTGTTAAAAATTATGATTAGATAGAATGGTCTACACTGCTAGACAAACATAGTTATAAATTATGATAAAGAAAATTCACAACAAGTTTGAATAGACCCATAATATTGTGCGCAACGGGAATAAATTATTTTCTGAATACAATTTTGCAATCTCTAAAATAAAGTGATTTGCAAAATAAAATAAAACAAAAACCCCCGCAAAGTATTTCTTGTTTGAATTTTACTGGGCTTATCGAAGACATCGTTTATGGGAGGCTTGAGGAATATTTACGAACCCATTCAAGCTGGAGATAGGGATATTTTAAATAGAGTTGTGGGAAGCGTATAAAAGCGGCTACTCTGGAAACAGAAGCCAGTTTCGACATCAACATGAAGGTGTTCCTAGCTATTTTGGCTCTGGCCGTGGCTTCGGCCTCCGCCTTCGATGAGAAGGTCTTCGTCAAGGACCTGCCTAAGGCCACCAAGATGGAGGGCCGTATCACCAATGGATACGCCGCTCCCGAGGGTAAGGCCCCCTACACTGTGGGTCTTGGTTTCAGCGGAGGCTGGTGGTGCGGTGGCTCAATCATTGGTCACGAATGGGTTCTGACTGCCGAGCACTGCATCGGGGATGCCGCCTCTGTGATCGTCTACTTTGGAGCCACCTGGCGCACCAACGCTCAGTACACCCACACCGTCGGAAACGGCAACTTCATCAAGCACTCCAACGCTGATATTGCCCTGATCCGTATCCCTCACGTGGACTTCTGGCACATGGTTAACATGGTTGAGCTGCCCAGCTACAACGACCGTTACAACAACTACAACGAGTGGTGGGCTGTGGCTTGCGGATGGGGCGGTACCTACGACGGCAGCCCACTGCCCGACTGGCTGCAGTGCGTTGACCTCCAGATCGTCCACAACGATGAATGCAGCTGGACCTACGGAAGCGTTGGCGACAACACCATCTGCACCCGTACTGTTGACGGCAAGTCGATCTGTGGAGGAGACTCCGGCGGTCCTCTGGTCACACACGACGGCAACAAACTGGTGGGAGTCAGCAACTTCGTTTCTTCCAACGGCTGCCAGTCTGGAGCTCCTGCTGGATTCCAGCGCGTCACCTATCACTTGGACTGGATCCGTGACCACACCGGTATTTCCTACTAACTTTTTTAAATAAGTATATAAATCATTTGAAAAGCATTGTTTTCTTTGAGTATTTATTTAAGTGAAGGATATATCGTTAGAAACTTAATAAGAATCGGGGTCATCAAGCATTACATTTGATAGATTTAGTTTTACACTACATTTTACATTTTGGCACCGGAAAAATACCAGCTATTAGATTTTACATTCGGTGCAGCCATCAGCTGTTTGTTTTCTAAGAACGGAAAAACAACAGCTGAGAACTTCCAAGTAAACAATACAATTACGCCGTGCACTTAAGGATTGCATTGGGAGTGCTCTTTGGTGGGCAGATCTCGAAATCGGAGGCGGCAGCATGTGTACTCTGCATCCCGAAGAGGAAGCCCACCTGGCGGCAATGGCTAGCGGTGTGCCAAAAACCCGCACACCCAGTCCAAGGCCACTTTTCTCCTCTTCCCCCCCGCGATCACTTTTCGATGTCTGTTGGGACGATGTTCTTATACCGAAGGTGGCCGTCTACTTGTCGCTAAAGGATCTCTTTAACCTGCGCTGCTGCTCGCGTACTGCGTATCGGTTTGCAGAGGCTGCCCTGGAAAAGAGACAGGTACTTCATTTATCCGGAAATAATACAAGCAATATTGATGTGGGCTTTCGAGTACTGGCCCGCTGTTGCCAAAGGCTGGAGGTGCTTCATTTGGCCTGCTGCCGATGGCTGACGGATGAACTTCTGCTGCCATTGTTGGCTAACAACAAAAAGCGTCTGTGGGCCGTCAACCTCAACGAGTGCGTCAACATTACGGCCCTTTCGCTGCAGCCAATCATCGTGGAGTGCAAGAATCTTCGCGTTCTGAAGCTTTCTAAGTGCCAGTGGTTGACGACTGGAGCCGTGGACGCTCTGACACTGCATCAGAGCAAGCTGGTGGAATTCGACATCTCTTATTGCGGGGCCATTGGAGAGCGCTGTTTGATCATTTTCTTCCGGAAACTTAATAAGCTCACCGTTCTGTCGCTTGCGAATACTCCCAGTGTGACCGACCAGGTGCTTATCCAGATAGGGAACTATTGCCGCGAACTGGAGCACATCAATCTGATCGGCTGTGCAGCCATCTCCGACTATGGAGTGCAGTAAGTAGTCCTTTAGAGATGTGCTTTTGTTGTCAGTAATGTTGTGCGTGCCATGTGTCTGTGTGTTTCTGGGAAAACATATTTGCATCTGCATCCGCATTTGCGTATTTTTCAGCGCTTTAACAGTGCACTGTCTGCGTCTTCAGACCTTGCTTATTCGTCGTTGTCCGCGGGTCACGGAACGCTCCTTGGCGCTTCTCCGTCAGCGGCGTCTGTACATCGATAGGCCACAGCAGGACTTGGGGCACAACGCGTACAACCTGAACGACTTCTATCCCAGCGACTTTCTTGTATACTAGCCTCTACTTCGTTCTCCCCTCTTTCGCAGCGCCTTAACCCAGAGTTGCCCGCTGCTGCAGTCCCTGATGGTGCAGCGCTGTCCACTGGTTACGGAACGGGTGCTTGCTCCACTCCGTGGTCGTGTCCATATAGATCGTCCCGGCATGGGCTACATGCCGACCGTGCAACACCACCGCCTATTCCTTCAGGTGTGAGATTTACTCTGATTCCGGACCAATTAACCCAATGTACCAAGGAGGCTTTCGAGGCTATCCAATGTTTTTGCTGTAAATACATGCCTCAGCATGGACGCTTTAATTTAACTTTTAGCTTAATCTTACAAATTGTTAACATTAATTTAGGCTGTACAATAAACATATTATTCATCTTTCTCTCCAAAAGCTCGAGCTTTTCGCATAAAAATACGGGTAAAAAAGCGTGGCTAAAATGCGGCCAATAAAAATACAATAGTGTGCTTTAACATTTCCCTTCGATATTGTGCGGATTCCCATCATTGTGCCGGGATTAATGGCGAGTTAGAGGTAGTCGTTTTAGTGGAATTCGCTCCGCTACTTTTCGTCAAATGTAGTTGTTGCTTGGTAGCCGAGCTTAGACCGAGGTCTTCATCGCCTCGACCATTTTCAGATCGCCATTGCTCGTGCAGGTGCTGCAGGTGAGCGTAGGCTGCCATGGACATATTCAAGCTGGGATTCACAGCACTTAGACCAGGTTCTCCCGTAAACGCCAAACCGCAGAGGCCAAGGTAAGTGTGAAAAGGATCTGGTGTTGCTTGAGGCCACTTGGCAAAGCCGCCAATTAGCTTGTCTTGTGTGCTAAGAATAAACTCCCGGTTTTTCGCGTAGTCAGTTAGCTCAAAACTATCTAGAATACAGAGAGAAGCACCAATCCAGAAGGAGTAACACGTGTCCACTGGCTTATTAGGGCGTCCCTGGAATCCATCCATCTGCCGGAAGATAAGCCAGCGTTTCATACGCTCCACGGTTTCGGAATCCAGACGATGCAGCTGACCACTGAGATGAAGTGCAGCTAAGGCACAGAATGTAGTGCCGCCATGAGCCTCACCCTCAAGCTCCTGACTAAAACCGTAATCGTACCGCATGCTCCGAATTATGAACTGAAACATGGCCTCCTTGTTTACATCGCCCCAGTAGTCCAGCATATAGCAGATGGTGGCGGCGCAGTAAACAAAACGCATATCATCTTCACTGCCATCGATACAGGCGCTAAAGCTACCCTCCGCCTTTTGAACTGCAGCTACTCCGTCCACAATGCTCTTGCGATCCAGGCGGGATAGATCATCGCCCAGCGTGACCAACACTGCGACGCTGGTGTACGTCATGGCCAGGTGACCCCATTGATACTTCCTCATACACTCCAAGATATCGGCATCATCACTTTTTGGTACCATAGCACGGCAACCCTACAATGAGTAAAATTGATTGATTTATCTATCTCAAAGTGGTTTTGCATGTTGCTAGCGTCGCTGATAAAGCGTGGAGCGATAAAACCGAGGTGGCGATGGGGTGGGGTGTAGTCTGGTAAATCAAGCTGCTGCGCAAATGGAGAACTTCCCTACAATTATGCATATTTAAACAGTAAATGCAGCAAAAATAGTAATGTAAATTCGATTCTACTTAAAAGCAGACTCGTTGACTTGAGATTCAAATCAATTATTTAATTTAAATGTTTTAATGTCTGTTGATAATCTAAAATACTTAATATTGTAATGCGATTTATAGATTTATGTTTTTAAATTAATAACTCTAATTACATAAATCATTTTTAATTATTACAATGAAGTTAGTTGACCTTTTATAAAATTCATGCACAAAACGAGCAAGTATTTAGAATTCAACAAGATAACGAATTTCTTAAATTGCCATCTTTGAGATGCTGTTAATTCAGAAGCTATTGTTTGTACATGTAGGTAGAATCAGATGAATTAGAAAAATTACGTGGCGCAGTAAAAAAGGTCTAAACAATATTTTTTAATTGTTTTGTATTCTCAGAAAGAATGGCTTCGGTATTCCAATAATAGCCATGTGAAATCTCTTCGTAGATTTTTTCACCAAGGAAAATATGAATGCTCGCATATCAACTGAATGAATAAATATTGGGGATGCGGCAAGGTCTGTCGCAGTCTCTGCTGCCTGGCCACGTATGGAGATAAGGAACTCAAATGGGCGTGGATGGTGGGAGAGAAAGCGGTTCTGTTTGGATTGTCAACGGTTGTTTATTCACCTGACAGACTCAAATTTATGCTCACCATGAAACCGCCGCAGTTTTTCTCGTTGTCGCGTGGCACAACTAGTCCTCCGTAGATCCAGTCAATGATGTCCTGCCTCATTTTTGGCGGCACGAGATGAAGGGAGTTGAGCACATCAAGACCACAGACAGCGAAGAACACAATAGTACTCCTGTAAAAAATGAGTAAAATGCTAATAAGGATAATGTCAGGATCAACTCACCTGGTGTTATCATGAGAGGCCATTCGAGCAGGCAGGAGGTTTAGGAATCGCAGTAGGTTTTTGGCGTGCTTGGAGAGCAACACAGGCTCCGGATCGACATGGTCTTCCATATCTATATGATGGGACATATCGGTTGTTATTTTAAAAACTTATGGCTGAACAGGAACTAAGTTATCAGGGTGACTGCTGCGATATGGATATGACTAAGCGTTGCGAGGCCCTTCTCTGGTAGATAGATGGTGCTGCTCTTGGTACGCGAGTGCGTCGTCCAATGGAGCTGCGCCTGCACGTGCACACACTTATATAGTCTAGCATTTACCTTTTGTTTATAATAAGCCGGTTTGCATCGCAATTTAAAGCTGTTGCGAACGATGAAAAACCCAAGAACACCACAAATAACAGCTGCTTCTTCTTTGATGGTTTGCCAATCGTGGCGAACGGCATTCACACAGTGGCAGTCCTCGAATTTGTAAATCATAGTACTGAAAGAAAAAATTTAATATAAGAACCATTTTAATAATTAAATATAGAATATTGTATATAATATATTATAAATATTTTTAAATTATTTTCTTAAACAAACCCTTTTGTTTTATATTAAATAATAAAAATAATAAATAATAATCAACCATTAAAACAAATATATGTGTCAACGTTCCATTGTGAATGGTTCATCTTCAGGTTCGAACAGCTGATTGCAAGCCGCATTTAATTTCTTAATTTTTGTAATTGTTGAATTAAAATTAGAGAATGCGAATAACACAATTTTTGGGCAGCAAATTGAAGAACTTCTCCAATCTTCCCAAAGAATACATCGAGCGCAGCAAAAAGCAGGTAACAGATTAACAAATGAAAATATTTACAATTAAGTACTTGTGCAAGGCGGCTCACGTAACAGATCGCATGGAAAATTTATCCACATTATTAAACAAAAATTGTTCAATGATTTTTACAGGTGTACTGGCAAACTCCAAAAGAAAGAAATTACCTTCCCAGTACGGTGGAGCGCAAGCGTTTCCGCTACACTACAAATCGGCCATGGACGGGACAATTTCGCCAGCAGAACATGCCTGGAACAATGCGTCGCAAGGTGTTTGTAGAACCAATTGGTTAGTTGAAGATTTAATGACATCCAAAGATTCCTGATAAATCATTTTATTTAAACTTTTAGAGGAGTGGAGTTTCTTCCGGGGCGACCGTATAGAAGTCCTCGTTGGCAAGGACAAAGGAAAGCAGGGAATCGTCACTCAGGTGATCCCCGAGCGTAACTGGGTCATTGTGGAAGGTTTAAACTGGCACTACCGTAAGGTGGGCGGTGAGAAGGAATTCCCTGGCATTATCATTAAGTCAGAGGCTCCGTTGCATGTCACCAAAGACATCCGTCTCGTGGATCCTTCAGACTTGCAGGGCACAGATTTTGAGTGGCGTTTCACCGAAGAAGGGGAGAAGGTGCGTGTTTCTATGCGATCGGGCAGAATCATACCCGTTCCGGAGACAAATAACCAGACTCACGATTACAAAACACCAAATGCCTATATCGAGAGGGAAAAAGATACGCCAGGTAAGTTATTTCATTGGATATCTCTCTCTCTCTTTTTGCAATGTTGTTCTACCAATTTCAGGCGCTGTTGTCGGCGAGATAACCTTCCAGCCCAAGCTGTCAACCTTCGAAATGGACATCATGGAGGAAATGGGCATTAAGGAGGAACGCACGCCAGCCAAAAGCTATTGGTACTAGTGTTATATATACTGTTTATTAAAATAATGTACAAAAATCCCAGAATTTCAAGCAAATTAGTTTCTTGTCATTTGCGCACTGTGCTGAACACCTCCTCGCGATGATCTCGTAGTGTCTTGGACAGTCTACATACACTCCCCTCTGCCTTTTCAAAATCAATGCGTAAAGTATTGTTAAATGTCTCGTAGAGCCAAGTGCAGGTCTTAGACATGTTCGATTCGTAGCTGGTGAAGACGCGACTGGTGTGTTCGTACCTAAATTGATTATTATTTTGTATGGTAGAACCTTCTCGAGAAGACTATTTTGGAACTCACCTTGCCTTGTTGGCTATATCTGTGATTAGGTAGGTATTACAGTGCTTGACGGCTAGAACCTGGCGATGACTCATGTATTTTAGTTCCACGTGCGGCAGAGCCAGATGAGCCGCCTCCAGGGAAATCATGGATGCATGCATCAGACTCCGGCAGTCTAGAGCCCACTGTAGCTTCTGTTTGGGATCTCTGAAAATAATTTCATGGTAATAATTACTACGTTATAACTGCAATACGCACATCATCCTGCCCAGCTGTCGCCATTGCTTTAATGCCTGAGTCGAGGAATTGGCAGCTGCTTTTAGTAGTAATCCGCAGATGCGCCACTGCTCCAGGGTGCTGCCAAGCTTATCTCTTGTATCTCTGGCAATCTCCAACTGCTCGTCAATGCTTTCCTCAAGGCGGGTCATGTATGTTCCCCCGCTTATATAAGCTATAATCCCATCTTGTTTCACATACAGCTCGTTTAACTCTGCGTAGCTGTCGACGAGGGTCTTTAGACGCACTTTGGTGTGTTCCAGCAGCTCTCCATAGTATCGAATGCTGAGCAAATATAAAGCAGACTCGCTCAGGTTGGCAAAGAAATCCTCGTGCATGGAAGCCTTGCGGGCATCGCCAATAACGCCCAGGTTGTAGGCAAGCTAAAGAAAAAGTTAATGCTATACTTGAGGAAATTTCATCAAATGCGTTAATGACAGGCCATTAACCTGGGCCAGGTCCTTGGTGGGTGTGTTGGCCACAATTGGGTCGCCCTGCCGGCCCATTGTGTAAGCTGGAAGGGGAAGGGCCTCCTCCGTCTCGTGTTCCCTCTCTCGCAAAGGAGTTACTCCCATGCCCTCGAGACCCAGCATCGCCTGGTGCTTACTCTGAAGGTGTTCTATCCAAGCTTCGGCGGTGGCCATTCGTGGTCCCGGACAGGTGCCCTCTAGCTTGCTGATCTGCTCGTCCAGGCGGACATACTGCTCTACAATATTCTGGTGACGAAATGAAAGGGGTATTGATTTGGGCGAGTAGCTAACGGATTCTCACAAATACCATTACTCCGTCGGCGCCATTCTGGCGAGGTTGCGATTCCGAGCTGACCTCCGTGACGATAGGATTCGTCTGCGTATCCATGGAGGAGCCGCAGCCCATCGCTCAGGCTGTCAGTCCGAAATGTTGCACGAAGTATATCCGCTCCTCCGACGATGACATCTTCCGCCTTGAACCTTTCCAGTTCGCCTGTCCAGCGCTGAATGAGCTTTCGTTTGGTCCGTCATGTCCACTTATGAGGGAAAACACAATAACAAAATTATTTTTTTGCGCGCTAGCCACTGAACAGAGCTAAACCAAATCCACCTCGACCCATTTTGGGAGGTGGGTGCATGCTTAAGCGTTACCCCCATTTGTTCCCATGTGAGTGTCCTTTAGAGTGGACTTTTATTAGCAATAACAAAAATATATATATATTTATTTCTTGCGGGAATTTCCTATTTAATTTTTAGATAAATTTTCCTTTACATTTTAGTATTTAAATATAAGTACGATATATATTATTTTTAAGGTCCACCCCAAGGATCTACTGTGTGCCAACAGCTTGTTATTTGCTTTGCTACCTAGTTTTGTTAGTGTGTGACTATGGTTTGTTGGATTTGTGAATTGGCACACCGTGTGTTTGTATTAACAAGTTAACAAAAAAACAGCAACAAATGGGTAGCCATTAACATCTGCTCATCGTGTAGGAAATGTGCAAGCTCACCTGAACGAAGGACGAATTTTAGTCTTTCTAGAATAGGGTACTAATCGACCCGCAACATAATCCATCAGCAGGATAATAATCTAGATTTTGATAAATTACCAGCAAATTATAGGTTGACTTCGATGAGGAGCTATTGGGCTTTGAATACCCTAAAAAGGAAATCATTTAGTTTCACGTATCTTATATTTTTACGAAATTACATTTTGTTGAGCAATATTTAAGATATTTTTTATTCTTCAGAAATACTTTAACTAATTAATTTTTTTAAGCTTGACATATGTATATATAATTTAGAATCATTAGTTTTTAGTCTTGATAACTTTTGTATGTTAGGCAAGAGCTGTAGATTTTTTAAAATTAAAAAGGTGCTTAAGAATTCAAGAGGTTCAATAAATTGTTCACCCTATCCACACCTCAATCCACTTCGCTACCACCTAATGCTCTATCCCACTCCAGAGTGGTATGGGTCTTGCAATCCCCTTGACAGTTGGTCATTAAACCTGTCCAAATGTGGGTTCCAACCTTTCTGGCCCTTAAGCAATCGCTCAGAAAACAAATATATAGCGGGACCACATGTCGCATGAGCAATGGAGTGCAACCAAACGCAATGGCGTCGGAAAATAATGGGTCAACTGACGACGTTTAAATAAGTAATAATCTGGCCAAGTGTCGATAAGAGTGGAGGAGTGCAAAATGCAAACTTGTTGATGGATGGCGTGTAAGCTTTTATGGGGTAGCGAACGAGCAAGCAAAACATGGACATCCAAAAGCCATATAGGCGCCTGCGCTACTCTGAATATCAAAGGATAGGGTACCTCATCTTTTCATTCTTTGCTACAGGAAACGGTATGAACGAGTTAATGGACATTAATTGATACATTATTGGACCAAACTTTTGGAAAAGTAAATGAGGATATAACCTTAAAAGAAACTACATCCGCCAGACACCTTTCCAAACAAATATCTTTAATATATGCAAGAACTTTAAAACAATCAGAATTAAAACTATTTTAAAAATATTTAAAACTTTATTAACATTAACATTTTATTAACAATTTGGTTAGTTAACTAAAAACAAATTTTAGTTACGCTTGTACAGTTATGCTCGAGGGCACAAACATCTTCTGATAAGATCTTCCTGATACTTTACACCCTTTAATAGGTTTTCGCAAATGTTTTCACAGTCATCGGCTAAAGGGGTCACTACTGGTGGTCTTGGCCACGGCCAGGGCCACTGAGGAGATGGCAATGGTGCCGGCAAGTGTTGAGGAATACCTGGTACCTGAGGCCATTGTGGACTTGGAAGTCCTGGAAACTGTGGCCATTGTGGATTATAGGGGTTGGGCTGCCAAGGCCACACGGGGTTGGGATAAGATGGATAAGGATACCACCAAGACCAGGGCGGGATCTGGCTAGGAGGTTGAGGGCGGCAGGGACAAGGGCGACGTGTCGTGGATTTCGGTCGGGGTGTTGTAGTTGTGGTACACCTCGAGGTTGTGGAGGGAGCACATGTTGAAGTCGAAGTTGTCGGACAAGGAGTTGTTGTGGGCGCAGGCGTTGGTGTTGTCGTTGGGGCACATGTGGAAGGCGTTGTCGGGCTTCTGGTCGTGGTAGTTGTTGGGGCACAAGTGGAAGGTGTTGTCGGGCATCTTGGAGTGGTAGTTGTTGGGGCACAGGTGGAACGTGTTGTCGTGCATCTTGGAGTAGTAGTTGTTGTGCATCTTGATGTGGAAGTTGACGTGCATCTTGGAGTGGTAGTTGTCGTGCATCTTGGAGTGGTAGATGTCGTGCATCTTGGAGTGGTAGTTGTCGTGCATCTTGGTGTGGTAGTTGTCGTGCATCTCGGTGTGGTAGTTGTCGTGCATCTTGGAGTGGTAGTTGTCGTGCATCTTGGTGTGGTAGTTGTCGTGCATCTTGGAGTGGTAGTTGTCGTGCATATTGGAGTGGTAGTTGTCGTGCATCTTTGAGTGGTAGTTGTCGTGCATCTTGGTGTGGTAGTTGTCGTGCATCTTTGAGTGGTAGTTGTCGTGCATCTTGGAGTGGTAGTTGTCGTGCATCTTGGTGTGGTAGTTGTTGTGCATCTTGATGTGGAAGTTGACGTGCATCTTGGAGTGGTAGTTGTCGTGCATCTTGGAGTGGTAGATGTCGTGCATCTTGGAGTGGTAGTTGTCGTGCATCTTGGTGTGGTAGTTGTCGTGCATCTCGGTGTGGTAGTTGTCGTGCATCTTGGAGTGGTAGTTGTCGTGCATCTTGGTGTGGTAGTTGTCGTGCATCTTGGAGTGGTAGTTGTCGTGCATATTGGAGTGGTAGTTGTCGTGCATCTTGGAGTGGTAGTTGTCGTGCATCTTGGAGTTGTAGTTATCGTGCATCTTGGAGTGGTAGTTGTCGTGCATCTTGGAGTGGTAGTTGTTGTACATCTTGGAGTGCTAGTTGTCGTGCATCTTGGAGTGGTAGTTGTCGTGCATCTTGGAGTGGTAGTTGTCGTGCATCTTGGTGTGGTAGTTGTCGTGCATCTTGGTGTGGTAGTTGTCGTGCATCTTGGAGTGGTAGTTGTCGTGCATCTTGGTGTGGTAGTTGTCGTGCATCTTGGAGTGGTAGTTGTCGTGCATATTGGTGTGGTAGTTGTCGTGCATCTTGGTGTGGTAGTTGTCGTGCATCTTGGAGTAGTAGTTGTCGTGCATCTTGGAGTGGTAGTTGTCGTGCATCTTGGTGTGGTAGTTGTCGTGCATCTTGGTGTGGTAGTTGTCGTGCATCTTGGAGTGGTAGTTGTCGTGCATCTTGGTGTGGTAGTTGTCGTGCATATTGGAGTGGTAGTTGTCGTGCATATTGGTGTGGTAGTTGTCGTGCATCTTGGTGTGGTAGTTGTCGTGCATCTTGGAGTGGTAGTTGTCGTGCATCTTGGAGTGGTAGTTGTCGTGCATCTTGGAGTGGTAGTTGTCGTGCATTTTGGTGTGGTAGTTGTCGTGCATCTTGGAGTGGTACTTGTCGTGCATCTTTGAGTGGTAGTTGTCGTGCATCTTTGAGTGGTAGTTGTCGTGCATCTTGGTGTGGTAGTTGTCGTGCATCTTTGAGTGGTAGTTGTCGTGCATCTTGGAGTGGTAGTTGTCGTGCATCTTGGTGTGGTAGTTGTTGTACATCTTGGAGTGGTAGATGTTGTGCATCTTGGAGTGGTAGTTGTTGTGCATCTTGGAGTGGTAGTTGTTGTACATCTTGGAGTGGTAGTTGTTGGTGCACATGTGGAAGGTGTTGTCGTGCATCTTGGAGTGGTAGTTGTTGTACATCTTGGAGTGGTAGTTGTTGTAGACCTTGGAGTGGTAGTTGTCGTGCATCTTGGTGTGGTAGTTGTCGTGCATGTTGGAGTGGTAGTTGTCGTGCATCTTGGTGTGGTAGTTGTCGTGCATCTTGGTGTGGTAGTTGTCGTGCATCTTTGAGTGGTAGTTGTCGTGCATCTTGGTGTGGTAGTTGTCGTGCATCTTGGAGTGGTAGTTGTCGTGCATCTTGGTGTGGTAGTTGTTGTACATCTTGGAGTGGTAGTTGTTGTGCATCTTGGAGTGGTAGTTGTCGTGCATCTTGGAGTGGTAGTTGTTGTACATCTTGGTGTGGTAGTTGTTGGTGCACATGTGGATGGTGTTGTTGTGCATTTTGGAGTTGTAGTTGTTGGGGTAGAGGTGGAACGAGTTGTCGTGCATCTTGGAGTTGTAGTTGTTGTTGCACAGGTAGATGGCGTTGTTGTGCATCTCGGAGTCGAAGTGGTTGGGGCACATGTGGAAGATGTTGTCGTGCACTCTGTCGTGGTCGAAGTGGTTGGGGCACGTGGAAGGTGTTGTCGTGCACTCTGGCGTGGTAGTTCTGGTACAGCTAGAGGTCGTTGTGGTACAAGTGGGCAATGCGGTGGAAGTCTCAGGGGTACAAGTACTAGTAGGAATTGCTGTGGATGTGTCTACGCTACACGAACATGTAGGTATTGGAGTAGAAGTTTCCACGCTACAGGTACAGCTTGAGGTGGTAGTATCAGTGCACACGGGAGTTGTGTCGGTAGAAATTTCTGTACTGCTTTCAGTAGACTGATCGGGACAACTGCCCGTTACTGGAGGACACGTGCAGGTGACTGCATCGGTGCTGGTAGTAGGCGCATCTGTTGATTCCGTGGTCGCTGGAGTGTTCGTTGTTCGTCTTGTAGTTCTTCTCGTGGTCCGTCTAGTAGTTCTTCTTTTTGTTGTTCTACGAGGTTTTTTTGTTGTAGTCCTGGGCTTTCGAGTCGTTGTATAATCTCCACAATCACAAGACTGCGTTGGGTCGGGAGTCCATATGTAATCCCCCCCATCTCCGGGTATTATTTCCTCGACGGGGCCATCTGCGAGATCGTCCCAATTGATGTCAGCTTTAACCTCTGCAAACTGTATGAGCATAATGCTCACTATGAAAAGAGATTATTAGTTAAACTTACAAAACGATTCCGGTAGAAGGTCTATAGAGATACTATTTACCAGCTATGCAGATCAGGGCTAATTTCATTTTGTTACTCCTTGCAATAAGCGTTGATAGTGTTTCGGAAAGTACACGGCGTACGTCTTTTATAGGCTTGAACTCTGCCCAAATCGAGTTTGCTCAAACCCATGCATGTGTGCAAATATTCCTTTTGTGCATTTAACTTTTTATAAATAGGGCAAAAGTTGTTTAAACAGTTTCACTTTTATGTTTGGGCAAGCTTACTAAAACAGCCGTTTTGAACACGTTTCTTGTGTAAACAATAATCTTAAATCGACCCACAGATAACGGTCGTTGCAGGATGTAAGTTTTAAGAATGTCTCGAAAATTTCCATTAAATTTCATTATGTAGTTGTTTTTACTATGGGATACTCATATATCAATTAAAAAATAAAATTTGTAATTAAGTTGTGAGTTACTTTCCTTTCTTAAAGATATATTTCATTTATAAATAATTAGCGTTGGTCAATAAAAGGCTTACAAACGTCACCTGTTGACGGTTGACAGCGGTTGCTAAGAATACCAATTCGTTTATATATACATATAAAGGCCGACCACATGTCGTCTGAGCAATTGAGTGCATCTAAAAACGGGGGTATGAGAATTTAATAATAGGTCAAGTAAATACGTTTGAATAAGTCATAATCTGGGGAAGTGTCGACAATCGTGGGAGTGCAAAATGCAAACTTGTTGATGGGAATCATGACCCCCGAATGAGGCGAGCAAAACATGAGAATCCGCAACAATAACTCAGCGCCTGCGCCATCCTGGAATTTGGTGACTATAATAGCACGTAGAACCGAAGGTTGGGGGGCGTTGAGGGGGCGTTTTCACTTTCAATATTGAAAGCATCGCCGGCGGCTGAATGGAAACCGAAACCCCGCAACTGCTTCGCGTCTGACTCGGATTTATATACAGTCGGGAAAGATTCCGTTCAGTCGCATCGTGCCTCGTGTGCGGCAAAGATGTCCGCTACTGTAACTCGCTGACGTCCATTACCATAATCTCTGGAAAAGCTCCCACGCTCTGCCATCCGATTTCCCATCCTACCTGCTGATTTCCAAGACTATGGGTCTGCGAGATACAATCCGTAATCTACGGCCGGATAGTCCCGGCCGGGACAAGGGAAGTATCGAGCTTCAGCATCGGAGTCCAAGGAGCGTGTGTCATCATAACCAGGTGGCCGCCGTCCAGGTCACCGAGCAGTCGCTACAGGTATGGCGCGCACTGCCAGCCGAAATTCGCCATGATCCCAGCATGGCAAGTTTTCAGATGGAGAACGAACGCATCCACGGTGAGTTAACCCTACTGAATCGGGGACAGGAAGCACTTGAGATATTTAATTCATGGTAAAATCTTGATATGCCCCTCCAGTGCATATAAATCCATATGATTTAAATCAATAAACTGTCAAACATCAAAATAAATGTCAGCTCAATTGCGAGGCCACGAACTTAGCTGGTTCATTAATTATTTGAATGCCACCCACTTGTAGGTTCCTCGGCAGGAGCCAGCGACGATGAGGATGAGGAGGGATATGATGAGGTCAACAGAAAGAATCGTGTTCAAGATGAACCGGGATCGAGTTATGCGGGTTCCGACTTCTTGGACATCAAGACCAGGCCTGGTGATGAGAATGCCACCGATGACGAGGCTACCACCCATTCTGACCACGAACCGGCTAATGGACCGGGCAATGCCAAATCTCAGGCACGGCGGATTCATCACAAGTCCAAGCGCTCTAAGGAGCAGAGACAGCGAGATAAATTGTGGAAACGAGCTGGCTTGCTCCTCTTTTGGTTGCTTGCTGCCGTGGTGCTGATCTCAGTAGGGGAGAAGCATCTGCTGGAGAAGACTATCGATGTGCCACAGGGAGATCAAGGAAAGTGTAAGTTTTTATAATTTGAATTATTATATTTATTATTTCCTAAATATTTTTATTATTAGATTTTAAATTGTTGCAAAAACCCACCGGAGACTTTCGGCTGAAGATCCATGGCGCTTTTAGGGAGCTCTCCACGCTGGATACCCCTGAAAATGAGACTTTGAGCTTTGGATTTCTAACTGTGCAGCCGCAGGTGTCTACTTACATTGGCGAGAATCGCAGTCAAGTGTTCCAGGTGGGTATTATTTTACCTTAGGTGCAAGATAGGCCAAAGTGACTTTATCTACATTTTAAGCTCTTTAATGTATTTTTCCATATTTTAGGACATTCTTCCGGCTTGGCGTCTACCACTGCTCTCTGAAGAGGAGTTGGTACGTTCTCCGGCTGTGGCCAGTAATCGCACTTACCAGATGACTCAGGAACTGAGCGACATCCTGGGAGAAAAGGATAGCGAGTTCCGTTTGCATATCCACAGCGATGTTGAGACGGATTTGGCGATTATCCTAAACTACAATCCATTGATAGTGAATGCCAGAACGGGGAGTATACTGGCTGGTCTGATCTTATTGATCTTCTATGCCTTGCTGGTGTGGGAACTCTTTGAAAGAACTTTTGTGGCTATGATATGTTCTATACTTTCGGTCACGGCTCTGGCCTGCTTTAATGGTGGGTTATTAAATCCTGATATCAGCTAAAATATCTTATTAACCTCTAACTAATATAGATCGCCCAAACATGGATGAGATTATCCAATGGATGGATATGGAACTGCTGACCTTACTATTTTGCATGATGTTGCTTATTTTGATACTGACGGAAACGGGAGTCTTTGACTACTTGGCTGTATTTTGTTTTGAAATATCAGGTGGCAAGATATGGCCAATGATATACAGTCTTTGTTTAGTCACCTGTCTAGTGTCCAGTGTGCTGGACAACATGACAACAGTGCTGCTTCTTACACCAGTAGCTATCCGTTTGTGTGAGGTGATGCAGTTGGATCCGCTGCCTGTGGTGATGGGCATCATAGTACATGCTAATATCGGAGGAGCACTTACACCCATCGGAGATCCCATCAGTATTATAGTCAGCACTAATCACTTTATTGTTGATAATGTAAGTAGGTTATGTGACTTATCTAAAGGGACGTAAAAGAAGTTCTTGCTTTTTTCAGGATGTCACCTTTCCCACCTTTGTGGCCCACACTTTCCCCGGGGTTCTGTTAGCTGTTTTCCAAAGTTGCATATATCTGCGTCTGTTCTATCACAATATCGACGCACTACGTCTCAATGAACCCAAGGAGATGAGTGAACTAAGAAGAGAGATGAAGGTATGGCAGAGGGCCCTTAATGCAGTGGCCTCCTGTTCCAAGGATGCGCAATTAGTGAGGGGAACTCTTCAGGGTAAAGTTAAGCAGCTGAAGAGAACTCTTAGAAGATTGCAAAAGGGTGTGGGATCCTCGGAGGTCTATACCAATACCCTGGATGAGCTTAAGCAAAAGGTAAAAGGTTTTAGTAACCCTCAGGGAATCTCTCTAACAAGAAATCTCTTTTCTAGTACCCGATCAAAAACAAGACTCTGCTATTGCAATCCGCTGGAGCCCTAATGTTCGTCATAATCTGCTTCTTTATTCAATCCGTGCCACATTGGAGGACTCTGCCTCTCGGTTGGGTAGCTCTGCTGGGTGTGATCCTGTTGCTGATCATTCTGAATCGCGATGACATGGAGCATCTGATGCACCGCATCGAATGGACCACGTTACTCTTCTTTGCTGCCATGTTTGTGATGATGGAGTGCGTGGAGCGACTGGGCATCTTCTCCTGCATAAGTGAGCTCACGGAACACGTGATTCTTTCGGTGGGCAAGAATCATCGCCTGGCAATGGCCATTTTCATGATACTGTGGATGTCTGCCCTGGCATCCTCTATATTGGATAGCATTCCGGTGGCTGCCATGATGGTGAAGTTGGTCACATCACTAGTGGCCAAGCCGTCGCTTGGATTACCTCTCCAGCCTCTTGTTTGGGCGTTGACTCTGGGAGCTTCGATGGGTGGGAATGGAACGCTGTACGGAGCATCAGCCAATGTCATTGCAGCTGGTATTGCCGAACAACATGGCTATAAGCTCTCATTCACCCGATATTTGAGGACAGTGTTTCCCATGATGCTGGGCCAGATCACCCTGATGACTGTCTATCTACTCGTGGCTCACGTTGTCTTTGAATGGCATTGAGACTCTTTTCGTATTTATTATCCCAGTCCCGAATTAATAATATATTATTATATCTAATGGAAAATGTTTTTTCACCTCGAAACTATGGTTATTTTGTGTCAGATTTTACTGTAGTTATTGTCCTTTTACAACCGAGTCTTGATGTGTTTTCTGTATTTTGAAATAAATAATAAGAATATCTGTACCTAAGAGTTTATTTGTGATTGGCAAATGAATTAAAATATACATAAAATATTGAAGTATATATGGATTTTCGTTCGCTTGGATAGTTGGCTGGACTGATGGAAATGAAGAATCTTTTCCGGGCCCCTCAAGGCTGTATATGTAATGTCGTGTAAAATGCTCTAATTTTGGAATTTATTGTCTGAGGTCAAAGTGTGGAAATCGTAAAAGTTAATAAGGCAATAAATATTAGGGGATATAGCTTTTATATTGCGATTTCCAAAGGAGCAAATGAAAATTATTAATACACTACCATAAGACTTCTATAATTTTTCTAAATTTCATTTTTAAAAACTATAAAATGCAACTTATAAATTTCATAATTTTCGTATTTCGACACTTATCCCATATGCACCTTGGAAAGAAAACAAAAACAATCGTAAATAATTCTTGAGACTCTGACCATTGCCAAGTTCAATGTTGGCCAGAATATCCGCATATGAACGTGTTTGCATGTATATAAAATCCAGTATATAGTATATAGAAAGACAAACGCTGGTCAATAAATGAGAACAAGACAAAATAGAATAGCAACAAGGGATTTTCTCGGGTGGTTGTTGGTGTTTATTTGCTCTGTTGCTGTTGCTGCTGCTGCGTTTTCCACGCTTTCCACAGCGCTCGTTCCATAGGTAAATTGTATTTTAAGTTCTCAAACAAATGGCCACGAGGGAATGGGAATGGTGGAGGAGAAGGTGACCCGATGTGTCCGCCATGTGGAGAGGAGATTGCCAGCAGTTTTATGGCAGCCACGAGAGGGAAAGTCAGCCCCAGCTAGTGACTGAATTTTAATTAATTTTCGTAAAAGGAATAAAGTGAAAATTGGAAATTGGCTTAGACTTAGTCAGCCTCTTGTGTCCCGTCCTCCGGAGGCCAATAAAGATGTGACAAGTGCTCGAAATTTCGCGAGAATTGTGGTGTTTTTTTACGGTGAATCAAAATGACATCGCCTTATGGATATAGTAAACCCACCTTCATGATAACCGACCACACTCAGGATCCGTATCATCTGCAAACGGGTGATGAGGATGATGACCAGGATGAGGATGAGGAGCGACACTCCAAGCTGCAGGAAATCATCAGTTGGTTGCACTTGAATGCCAAGCATCGGAGTAAATGGTAAGTGAGGCGCATCAAGTATACGCCCCGGGTGGCCCATTCCCATCAGCTTATTTCTATATTACGTATACGCCCCGTAGCGCCACTGCTACTCGAAAAGCATTCGTTGTTTATTTGTTTGCTACCGTTTTCTCATTAGCCTGACATTTAATTGTGGTCGATGAGATGGTGGCCCCAAAACTTTTCCTTTTAATGTTTGACTAAGCTCCTTAATAACGGTCCATCGGTTGGTTTTTGTTTGTTTTTGCTAAAAAGAAATCAATTTGTGTACATTTTATGGATTTTAAGCCTCTGAGAATAGCAACAGATGGTTCCTATTGAGATTGATTACGTTTTATTTGGTTTTTTTGGTTGGGAAGGGAAAGAAGAGACAATAACATTGGTCAGCTTTTATATTTCACTTTATAAATAATCTTGAGTTCTAAATAATAAACGTTAGCCATCCAGCAGAGTGATGAATGTGGTTTTCCAGAAGTTCAGCTTTAAATTGATTTACAATTAGTATTAATAATGTTTTTGTTTTGACGGGGATTTTTGCAGGCTTAACTTACTTCTAAAATTGTGGTTAGAACGAAATGCCAGAGGCATTCACAATAAGTAAACTGGTTGCCATTGAGCAGCTATTGTTGATCTGGACACAAGCTTTCAGCCTTTTTAGTGAATAATTCTAAGAATAGTTGTGGCATATACACGTTTCCAGCTTAAGCCAATCTTTTGTGTTTAGCATTCCGCTTCTGGGAACTATCATTCGATATAGCTTTGTTGATAATCAATAATGTAATACCTTGGACACGTGTGAATTAGCTAAAGTACAAAGAGACTGGGAAATTATTAATAATAAACAATGGCGAATAAATATTGACTTTGCTTTGCATTATATTTATAGTGTTTGATTTCCGTTGGCAAATACGTGATTCACCAGCCTCCGCAGCTGTTCGTGATACTTACTAAGATTTCTAAGCAATTTTCTCTCTCTCACTCATTTGGTCCATATTTAATGGGGCTAGAAAACAAGTGTCTTACTTAAGTTAATGCTTACACTCCCACACAAATAGCCGAGTGTTATCAGTGGAGTGGAAAGAGCTAGTGTAATGAGAATTACATACACAGTTGGTCTTCAATTAAAAGTTCCGCCTTGTTAATTAACAATTAAAGGGAAAACTTGAGATTGTAAATCACTGAGGTCTCTGGTTTATAACGCAGTTATACTTGTTTGTAATTGAGAGGATACTCATAAGTATACAGGGTGAGGGTCTTTTGAACTAACGAACAAGGTCTTTAATTTAATATCCCTTAGTTTAGTTTTTAATCTCACAGAAACTTAATATGAATTGGAAAGTACTTACTTAAGAAATTTGTTTTCACTTTTTTATTTAACAACTTAAAAAAAAAAACACCCTGTATGACATATGGCATATTCTTGACAAACAAACCTGAAGTGAAATGTAATTATATAAGCACTCGGCATTTACATAATTATTTTTTATTAACTCACACTGAGCACTCGCTGTCTCCATAAAATAATGTATGCATATGCTGATGAATTTATTTTACATTTTTGCATCGGCTGATAGCTCTTAATTACCTGCAATATTGCCGATTTTATAGCCTTCCACCAATTGACGTAGTTTATGACCATTAAATGGCATACCTGAAGGGGAATGGATATCCGGAAAAGGTTATGAGTAAAAAGTTGAAGGCTGCTTATCGTCCTTTCTCATTGACAGCTGAACACTTTGATGTGGCTGCCCATTAACTTTGACTTTGACTTGAAAAGTTGTTCATAGTAAACTCTCCACCAAATAGAACCACGTGATCCCGCCAGGACATGAACTCGTTGTAAGTGGTTCTGCGGTGGCCCACATAGTTGTTTTGCGGAAACTTGTCATAGTTCCGTGGTGAGAAGAAGAAGAGGTGCCAATACCTATCCCTGTACATGAGGGTTTTCCGCGCACAATTTTCTCTCAAACTGTAAATACTTTTCTGTTGCCAAGGGATGGGCTTAGGGGCTGTAAAAGTTCCGGCTTTAATATACATGACTTGTGACTGTGTGTGGGTCTATGTGCATTTCTTTGGGGGCCAACCTTTCTGGCACAATTGAGTGGAAATGAATTATGTATAAGTTGTTATTATTATATGGGATTTACTTAATAATAGCTTAGTGATGTATGGAATATTAAAGTAGGTAAATAATCATTAAATTTAAAAGGGAAATTTGATTATTTTAAGGATTTTATAGCAAATAACCTGTTACTAAAACCTGTATACTGAAATTCTAAGCTAATTAGCTGGAACCAATAAAACTGCATGACTACTTAACCCATATAGTTTGTATATCGGCTGCACCCATACCCCATATTATTCAGATAGATAAACCGTAGGGACCTTGAGCCAAGTCACAATCATTATTGGAAAAAACACTGGGAGCACACACCTATTGCGTCTCACACTGAATATAGCTGTTCATCAGCATTATTATTAACATCGTTCTATTGAATGTGGGTGAGGAAAATTGCGAAATAAAAGAGCGTAAATATTAAGCTTTAAAGTCGCTCAAATGTCAAACTGTTTGTGACGAGAACTTATATATATATATAGACACGAGCTCACTTTGTGCTCCTTGGAGTGTGTTTGGATGCCGTTTCATTGTCAGTGGCATGGGTTTCTCGGGATTGCGTACAGAAATCGAGAAAATTGAGATGGGACATGGGGCAGGCACATCCAAATCAGAAGCTCTTTGCATGGCCCGCTTGATAAATTCGCCTTTTGTCTGCCCATACAGAAAATGTGGCACACAAACACACATGCAAAATGGACCGCGCGTGGTCGTCTGTATATTGTCGGAATTGGAGGTTTCGCACTGGGATTTATCATCTTTGGCCTATAAATAAACAAGCTGCTGGTCTTAAATTTGATAAAGCTGCTTCTTTGCAGATTTTACTTTCGTTTCGAGGAAGTCTCGCCGAGACACTCGTCTTGCTTTATTGCCATTTGGATAACTATTTTTAGGTTTTATGACAAGTGTTTTAAATTCGTTCTAATTGCTGTGCTATTTGCTTGTGGATGAATTCTAAAGGCTAAACAATAATAAATCTGCTAATTAATTCTATTACATTCTGATGCTTTAATTAGCAGGCTTAAGCTGAGGTAAACAATTGATTAGTTGGGGTTGAATGAATCACAAATAAAAATTATTAATAATATTAACTTTAAGAGTTAACGTTAAGAGTTATTGTAAGGTTAAGATATTTCACTGAATTACATCGTATAGTACTTAATATAGTTAATTAGTATTACAATTACGATCCTAAGGGAAGTGACCTTAATATGCTTTTACATTTACATAAACTGAGATAAGGGCTCGTGGCTTGAATTTTTTTTATAGAATACCAGCCTTTATAAATTACTATCAAATACAAATGGAATGAATAAATAATATTTAGCTCTTTAAAAAATAAACAAAAATTACTTAAATTACTTAAAAAACTGACCTTTCTCCTAAATAAACAAATAAACATTTTCGAGCTGCCTTTAAAAACCCGCCCAAAAGCCTCAAGTTCAAGTTGTTGGCCATTGGAATACGACCAGTTCCAGGCGCAACAACAACCCCCAAAAAACAGTGGCATTCAACAGCTATTGAAAGCTTCGCGTTCCATTCAACTGCCGGAGGTGCTTTCAATGCGCCATTCAACCGAAAACAGCTGCGACATCGACGACGCACGAAGCAGGAACATCAGTATCGGTATCAGTAGCTATAGCTGCCGCTATATGGCATCAGCATAGGCAGCGGCAGCGACAGCGGCATCGGCATCGGAATCGGCATCGGAATCGTCAGTAACCGGCTGAAATAACTAGGGACGCGGCACCGAGCCCGCAGATTTATTCAGTTTACAACTTTCGCTTGAAACGGACGTGCGACTTGGTCCGGCTATCGCGAGTTCGAGTGGCAAACAATAGAGATACAAATAAATAATAATCAAATAAGTAAATTAACGTGAACAATAAGAAATATATAAAATAAAAAACCCAAAGTGAGCTTATCAATTAATAAGAAATTTTCCTAATAAGAAACGAAGAAGAATTGCCTGGGAGGGTTCAGGGTTGTGGCTGCAGCAGGTTGAGATGGAACAGATAAAAGCACATTTAATTATGGAAATTTTTCCTTTGTTCCACGGGCATTCTATTTCCAGTTTCTTATTACCTCAAGATAATTTTGCTCATTAGGCGGGCCCCCAGAAAGACAAAAAGAGCAATTTCTTAGCATTAAGCGTAGGTAATTAGTCTGCTTCTGACTTTTCTGAGTAATTGCCTAGCGTCTGGTGACTGCAATTCGTGTATATATACAAATTAATTGAAGGATTCCCCAGAATTGACTAACATTTTCTATATGGGAAATGCCCCATCTGGTATTTACAAAATTGTTATTAAATATTCAAACATTTCGATGGCATGTGAGCAAGTCCTTTAGGAAAAATAAGCCTATCAGAGGCTAGCAAATTTTTCATAATTTATGGATGTTGTTCGGGGTCGCACCTTTTAGCCCAACCCAATCAATAATTGACCACTGACAGGCCACGCAAATAAGTCATATATCCACTTCTTTCAAATTGATTCATCAGTATAACATCATCAAGTGGTAAAACGAAAACGAAAAACGGAAATGGAAAGTAATTCCAAAGAGCACCCCCTAAAAAGTAGGCAACACAAAAATGCCGACACACACACACACACATACATGTCTGGCTTTTATGTTAGTTTTTAAAGCTTTGCAAACTTTTCTTGACACTCGTTTAAAATATTCATGTCAGTCTAGATATGCGTGTCCCGACAAAACACATCCTGTTCGTCACTTTTCCTCCCTGCCCCAAAAGCCTGAAACAATATTTATGGGCTGAAGTCAACAAAAATGGCTTTTAAGGAAAACTCAAATAAATTTTAAGTGATTGCTAAGGGCTGCTCTCATAAGACTCAAACTTTTGTGGCGTTAATTTGCCAAAGGATTCTCCGGCACTCAGCCAGGATACGAAAAGTTTTACGGGAAAGTCTGTGAATTAAGCCCTTGGGTTGAATTACTTCCGAGTTCTGAGAGTATAATTTCACTTGCTTAAAATCAATTAGTAATTAGACAAATATGAGGTTTTCAAATGGGAAACACATGTAAATTTATCCAACAAAATGTTTCGACAAAATGCTTTTAGTATGCTTAACCCGAAATTCCTGGAGTGTTAACGTGTTTTCCAACCCCAACATAGATGGCTTATCCACCTTGTTGACACATTTATGTGTGAGCAAACATGTTTTATTTTTTTTGGCCAAATATATAAATATTTCGCTGCTAAGCGTTGACATATCTCTGAAAGCAAATTCCGCTTAATGCACAGGATATTTTCGGCAGCATTTTATATTTATTTTTTTACGCGTTAAACATTCAACCAAATGAGTCCGTGCCACGTGTCGGTTTTGCATTTGACCCTTTTTTCTGCCCACATCCTGTTGTCGGCTAAGTCCCCACCGATGGCCTGCCATAATTTGAAATGTGTTTTTTGGGTTGGGTTTTTAATTATGCGCCCTTCTAAATTGTTTAATGCATGAAAGCTTACGCCGACTAATTAGCAGCAAACACCATAATTAAAGAGAACTTAATATAATGTATATATAGTAAACACATCGGAAATCAACCGATGGAACGTGCTCCATGAACCGCAGACCATGACGTACGTGATCATCCCTTGTCCTTTGCGATTGGGCTTTTGATGTGCTAACTGATTTGGTTGATAGATGAAATGGGGCCATGAGAAACTAAACGAATATTGATTCCCAATTAGCCCTGTCTATGGGGCGACTATTTTTGTCACTCTGGACCCTGAATAATTAATCCCAGCCCTGCGTGACGCAACCATGAACTTTTCGAGGAAACCCAGCTGTTATTTTTTTTGTATTTATCAATTTATTTTACTGCTAGCTGCCAACACTGCGTATGCGTGATTCGTTTATATGAAGCGAAGGCACAAAACCCTATACAACGTCAAGATGTACAAGAGAAAGGCCTAACAGTCCACAAATAAATAATCTTGTGTGATTTGCGATAATAATTAGTATTAATAGATAAGGGTTCAACCCAATCAGAATCCAAAGTTAAAGTAGAAGTCGCGTCTAGACGTCAGTGGACTTAATTAATTTAACACTCACCCAATTCGGTCACAATTGCGCCTGTTCGGGTTCACGCTGCGCCCAGACCCAGCCCCACGACCACTGCCACCCAAAATCACCACCCCATCAGCAACAACAATCACAAGAACAACATCAAGACGACGGACACCGAAGGCACAGTGGGTCACACTGCCGCATCACCCAAGATATCGCGGCGCCACAGTAGAAGTGGCAGTGGCAGTGGCAGGGCGCCAAGCATCCACAAGAAACGCAAGAACATCTGGCCATTTAAGATGCGGGTGAAGGTGACCAAGCGCCTGTGGCCCCACCGACAGGCGTCCACCAAGAGCGACCGGTTCCCACAGCCAAAGTAAGTCAAAATGACAATGAAAATTAATGAATATTTTAAAGAATATTAAAGTAAGGCTTTTTGGAAAATTATAAATACATTTTGGTATAAGTAATCTCTTTAAAAATAGAGATATTTTAATTTCTAAGATGGGGAAACAGTTTAAATAATGAATTCATTATTAATAATGGTTTTTATGTAAACTACATCTAAGAGCAATGATAATTAACAAACTTTTGAAGGAAATGAGGCAGCCATATTTAAAATGGTTTTAATCCTATCAAAAAGCAAAAAGTTTCAAGTAAAGTCAAAAGGCAGAATAATAAACATTAAAAGGATTATACACAGAAACGACAACTAATCAGCTTATAAATGCAGTTAATGAAACCAATTAATGAGTCAATTAATTGATGGCAGCAGTACTATAAAAATTATTTAATTCATTGAATTAAAACAAAAAACTTACACACATAGACTTAAAACAATATCTAATATTCCATTAAAGTAAATAATTAATGCCTGAACAGGTACACTGCATAAGTAATTCAAGCATTTTATACATAAACTTTTCCTTCCATTAAGCCCATTAAAGTAGAAAATTCCGCTATGATTATGAGCTGGTATGCGCCTTATTTCTTCTTTGTCTCAGCTGAAGTTTCCCTTTGAACCTTTTTCGCCATTATAAGATTGCGATTCCTGGGGCCAAGATGCCAAAGTTCATGGGGCGAAACCTGTTTTGTCTTACATCTGCTAATGCAGAATTCCCCTACACTCGTATACTTATATGTTTATATGGGTTTTCTTATGTCTCGGCCAAGAGCACGTGCCCGAAACTCCAACGGTGGAATGAGCCAGGATAGGAGGCAGTTCCGGTGCCCGTCTCGACCACAACATAAACATAAACATGTAATCGTGTACGAGTCTAATTTTCCCTTGAATGGCAGCAACATGTGTCGACCGAAAACGAGAAAAACAAGAAAGAAATTAATGTCAGACATTTAATTTCCGTTTGGCCAAAAACAAGGGACAAATGTGCGGGATCCTGTTTCCGTTGCCATTAATGTTTCAATATAGAACACTTCATTGAATTGGAAAAGAAATACGTTGGCATATTTCATAGAATCAGGTATTGGCATTTGTGGAAAATCCATCCATCAATCGGGCTGCCAAGTGAGGCATGCCATTGGGTCCTCAAAGTGTCCTGTCAACGTGACCGAAATTTCTCGTTTTTATTTTTTCTTTTTTTTGGGGAATGAGATAGAAAGAAGACCGCCTAAGACAAATACTAATTAATTTATATGACCGAATGGCCGTTGGGAAAATCAACAAAGTCAAAAAACAAACCAAAAAAAAAATGGACTTAATTTTCCTGCTAAATTATTCTGCAATTAATTTTCAATTTGTTTGCTTTTTGTTTTGTTGTTTTGGTAGAATATACAAATGTTAACTGCAAGAAGAAAACCAACTTTTCGAAGTGTTAGCACGCTCTCATCGCTCATCCGCCCTGTTGGCCAGGCTGGTGTTTTCAAATAAGCCATAAAGACCATCACCCCCCTTAAATGTGGGTCAGCCAAAAGTGAAAATTCTTTCACATAACGCGAATTACGACAACGACCTCGTCACGCAGCCAAGGTCAAATTCTGGCCCAGTCTCGGTCCCACGATTCTGCATTGTTCTAAGCACATTCAAAATGTGATTATGAGCCCGCCAGGATGTGTGTTTCTGAGTTACGTCGGCAGCGAGGGCCATAAACATGACACATGAATAATTAAAACATTTAATGCCCGAATTGGGTTAGGGCACTGCAGTTGACACTTGTCGGGAAAGACAAAGAAGAGGTCTAAGGAGGCAAACAAGCTCTAAAAAAATCTTTAAGTTAATTAAATTTGTATATTAGTGAACAAAAAGAGAGATCTTGTGGACAAAACGTATTAAGCATAAATCAAACGCAATCAAATCCATCAGACATGATCTAACAGCATTATACAATTCTATAAATAACCCAATCCCGAGAAAACATCAATTTACAAAACATCCCGTAATCTGAATACTAATAAGCTAAATACAAGCCCTCGTGCAAAACAAATAAAATATTCTATAACTGCAATTTGATTTACTCAATTATCACAGACAAAACTATTAGTATGTGGAAATTAAAAATGCAAATAAATACAAGCTAGCACTCCTGCTATGCCAGTAATTTGCATACGACACTCGACTGCAAGTTGAACCTTTGCTTTGTATGGGAATGGAAACCCATTTCCCTCCTTCCCTACTGTTCACTCCACCAGCAACACCCACTACTTGGCCCTGCCCTTGGCGAAATGACCATTCTCAGTCACAGTTCGATTTATGGAGGCGTCGTTGAAACGTGTGACTATGAGCCCATTAGGAACGTGTGCCATTTGCCACTCTGCGGAGCAGCTGTATTCTTCTCTTCCAGGGCCTCAAGCCACGTCGCAAAGTGACGCGTTTTCAATTAATTAACTCACATTTTTCGCAACGGAAAAATACTCGCACGGTCGGCGAAAGATTCAACTTGCTAATCGAGGCCTGCCACCCTCCTCTCCTTGATTTCAAAAAAATAAGACTTAAAGTCACTCACATGCGACTCGCCAAACGCCAAATGCCAATCGTCGGGTGCTGAGCGGTTTCAGGCTTTCAATTTTCTCGAAATTAATGAAGCGTGTCGCACTGAAAGCGCCACATGAATGACAGGCCCACTAGCGAAACGGGAACGGGAAGAAAGTGCACTGTGGAAAAAGGTTTACAAATTTAAAATCGTTAGAAAAATTAAAATAGATGTTATAAATCCAAACGAAGTCAAATTATATTTAGAAACTATAAATCTTAAAAAATCTAAAGTGATTTTTAAAACTTTTAAAAGAGATTTATTAGTAAAAAACTATTTCCATTGCATACTTTTAGGCAGGTATACGAGACATATTAAATTACAGCTTAGCTTGTAAACCTTGCAAAATGTTGTCATTAAATTAAATAAAATATTATAATATCAATAAATAAACATTTTTAATAAATATAAAAATGAAGATTTTAAAATAATTTTTCCCTGTGCACATAAAACATAAAGAGAAAAGTTGAAATGTGAAGAAGGTCCGAGACCGAATGACCGACTGGATAAAATTACGTTTTTTCGGGTCTGTAATTTCGTTATCAACATTGTCGCACAATGACCTATATATGTACGCACATCTCACTCACCGCTCAACATACTTAGATGGATGTGTGTGTGTGTGAGTATCGGTGTGAGTGCGGCTTACTTAAGCAAGTTTGAGTTGATTTAATATACGAGTATATCCCAGCATAAGAGGAAAGCCGTCTGATCAGCGCGTGTTCATTTAATTTATCAAACGGAAAAAGTGCGTGCACTTTCAATTGCTTCGCAGCTCACCCGCCTGAACTTTAATATAGTTCCGAAATATTTCTAAATTGACAAGTTATTTTTAGAACATTTTATTTTTAACAGGCGAGATGAAACAACTTTTCATGTAGCGTTAAAATTGCTAATGAAATGCTTTTAGATAACATATATATATGCATGTAGAGTTCAAATGGGTTTTAGCTGTATTGACTAATCATAATTGAAATAAATTGACAGGGGAATGAGCAAATTACTTAGAAATAATTGTCTTGTCATTTACATGTGAACAATAATGCTTATTCAACTTAAAATTGACAGCAATTAACCAAGTCCACTGAAATATAAATCATCTACTAGTTAGGGTGAATAGATATATTTGAAATAAATATTGGGTATAAATTCCCTTTAACCTTTAGATCAATAAAGAACTGGCACTACTAGCCACCTTAATTACAAAATTTTAGTTAAAGTGTAGCGATCGCTGTGCCATCTATCAAAATGTATTGGGAATTAATCCAATTGTTAGATTGAATAGCACTCTGAAAAGAATCCAATTGGGCTCAGACGGGGCGTGCCCCATCGGCTATTAGCTGTTTTTCGTTGGAAGTGCGCACATTTTGCTAAACGTCGACAACTGGCGCTTCAGTTTTCCTTCGATTTATATGTACATACTTCTATTTCGATTCGATTTCAATGCCATGGCTGTTTAACTTACCGCCGTAATGCGAAACCGTCGAGTTTGCACTCTCGTTTCAATTAAATTGCATTTCACTCGGCCACGGCAAACACTTGTGGCAGCTTGGCCAACAGCCAACAGCCAAGCGTTATAGAGTACTCTACTCTTCATGCTTGGAGACCTTTTTCATTAGCCAAGCTGTGGGAATGGCTATCATTAGGTGGCTGACGGTGTCAGATTGCAATTGTGGCCCTGGACTGGCTTGATTTTCTAATCTATAGTGAGTAAAGTATTACATTACCTGTCGCATTATGCAAACTTGGCAAGAACACCTGTGACGTCAGTGAGTCAGCAGCAGAAGCAGCAGCAGCAAGTGGATTCTGTTGAGTTGGCCAAAAAGCTTAAAATATTTTCAGCTTATACGACAGTATTCGTTCGTTTCGTGTGATATGCGTCTGCCAAAAGTTTTGACAGGCGCCATCTCCCCCGGGTGCCTTTCAATTACTCGGATATATAGAACAAAATTCGCTTTGAAATTTCGCATCACGTGGGGGCGTTCGGATTTGGCTCAATTTCTCAACAGTCGCCCACGAAATTTGCATGCGAATTGGAGGCACCCTTGAACTACAAGGTTTTTGCGAAGCATCCACTGAATACGCCTTCAATTTAGGCGGTCTACGAGTATTTCATAATTCTCAAAGCTTCTTAACAGAATAATTGAACCTCCAGCAGCTGATTCCTCGTCAAATTGCAGAATAATTCTATATTATACTATATACTATGCATGTTGTATACTGAAAACGACTCGAGTTCATAGCTCATCTCGTGTCATAAAATCGTTTAAAACGAGCGGAACAAATTGATGAAAATTGTATCGGGTTGCGGCTTAAAATAGAATTTATAATTGAAACTTTGTCAAGCCTGATTAAAGTATATTATTTGCTCGATTATTACACTTTTAGTGTTTTAATTCAATATTTGTTTAGCTTAATACTAGTAACCTAATGAAGGTACTCATCAAGTAGAGTTATTTTCGAATTGCTTCTTAGTTCAATATTTTATTAAATTTGGCCAAGCTTAAAGGTTAAAAACTCACTGATTAGTAATTTACTTCATAGGCTTGCTAAAATTATTTATTTATGATATGATAATAAACATGATTAAACATGTTATCCACAAATCCCAATACTTTAAAGTTCTTAACTCCCTAAAGAACTATGCGTAGCGCAGCGCAAGATCAAAAGCATCGCAGAACAACTGTCAAATGTGATAAATCAAGTGTAATTGAAAGAAGTGCAAATAAGCCAACGCCAGCAGCAACAACAACAACAATGAACGAAGAGAGCGGAAGAGTAAACACTGAGCGCTAGAAAGGGGCACTCGACGAGCCCGAAAATGAAGAACACAACCCCCGCAGTGCGGGTTGGGGAGAATGAGAGTCTATGCTGGGGTTAAGCTGCACACAAAAAATGCACTCAAAAAATTAGCTATCAAATCTATTAACTTATAAAATAAATATTTTAAATTTTAATTAATAATGATTTTGTTTTAATAACAAAGTTAAAAGTTTTCTCTAAAGTTTGTTTTTTAAATTTAACTGTTAACGTGTTATTTTTCAAAGTGTAAGAACGATGGATCGGTCGAGTTAGTTGTTGGATTTTGAGTGCACTTGCAGTGGCCGCAGAGAAAGCATAAATGCGAATAATGAGCAAAGCGCGGCCAGCGAGAGATAACTGATGATGATGATGGAAAGCGAATGTGAATGTGAATATCAGGAAATTTTATTTCATTTGAGCTCTTGTTGTTGTTTACCTTCTTCTTTGACGTGCTGCTTCGTTGCTGCGACGGCGACGCCACCGCCACCGCCACCGCCAATGCGACTGCATTAAAACCTACAAAATAGGGTAAAAAACTGCGAACGACAGTTAGTACCGCTTGAGCTTTCGACCGCATATATACGCCCGATCCAAGTCACGATCGGCGGTAATAAATAAATAAAGCACCGAAAAGGGCACGCGACAATAAAGAGCGCACTTTCAACAGTCATTCGAGCTGCAACAAGTGGTCAAGGCAACGCGATCCCGCTATTCAATTAAAGATCGGCTCTCTGCCTCGATTTTCCCCATTATCCTATAACTATAGCGGCGCAAAAATATGCGATTAACAAAGGAAATTTCGAATTTTCCCCGGCTTTCATATTAAAGCACATCGCGAGTGTCTGCGAATTTACGTAATAATACCTTTTTTTTCCATTCGCGGATATACTTGTCGAGTGTCACATTTCCTAAAAAAGCGCAGGACTTTTTTGTTCACCCTCCAAGGATGGCTTTCAATTACAACAACAGCTCCGAGGATAACGCATACGAGGATGAGTATGTGTCCTGAGCGGGGAAATGAAAATGAATTGTGTTCTAGTATTAAGAAGCTTGTCATCGGTTTTTATGTGTCTTCACCTACCCTACAGAGAAAGAAATTAAATTCAGTTTCGAAAAGTTCATGCTAAAAAGTTTGAAAAATTGCAAAGATAATACGCTTTTGGAAGTATCATAAAAAACTCAATTAATCGCAAAAATTTTAAGAGACATTTTCATATGATTGATCTTTCTAAGATTTTTATTTCGCTCAGTGAGGGATATAAAAGGCAATCATTATACTTTTTTATCTGTGTAGAACCCAATGAAAAACCCGACAAATTGTCGGGAACTTCAGTCGAGCGGAAAACTCGTTTGGCTCCTGCTAATGATAGCTTGTCTAGCCTATATACAGGATATGCCTATGTTTGTGGGTGTCCTTTTCCTTTGGGTGAATCAATCTTTGACACGAATACTTGTCTTCACTTCAGCTGATGGAAGCCGTGACATAAAGTAGCTGTTCAAAGTATTAAGAGCCATCAACAAAATCATTTAATCATTGCGTTGAGTAGACGGCAACTGGTTCGAGGCTTTGCTCTTTGAGCTGGGTGAAAATTCTTTTCTTGCTGTGAGAAATTTCCCACATACATTACTTTATTAAATTTCAATCTACTTGGGAGGTAGGTAGGGGCTTTAATAGGATGAATTAAAAAGTTGGGCACATATTTTTAAAACAAAGCCAATTTCCACGAACTTGTTTAGCTACCAATTGGGTTTTCTAGGAAACCTTTCCATCGACACATGCTTTCCTTTCGCCTCATCACATGAGGCAATCAACGATCTTATGACTTATGCACGAGCTGTGAAAAGCAAAGCTGTCTAAGCTGAGTATTGAGGCAATTGAGGCAAGTTCAAGCTGAAATGTCGGCTTCGCTATATATCTGCTATATAGAAGTAAGTGTTTATATATATGTGATGAAAATCAGTGTCAGCATTAATTTGGCGGTCTTGTCTTTGTTTCTGATTTTGTTTCTGTTTCTACTTCTGTTTATGACATGACCACATCGCCTCTGTCCATCAAGACAGCTAATTGAAAACTAAGTAAATATAATTTATGACTTATTCTGAGCACTTTTCATCGTTCTAACGCAGGCTTAAGTAAATTTAGTCAAGCCGACTGAATTAAGATTTGTGTGCCCACTTGAATTAAGTGCACAAATTGCATTTATTCAGCCCGCACACGTGATGCGATTCTCAAATGCATTCCAAGAGCCTTCTCCAAATCGTCTTACCGGACCACAGCTGCTTGGGTCCCAGTAATTATGGGCAAAGAGTCATTAAACTCGCATTTGAAATGGAAATGAAACTGAAAACAATATTTTATGGCCAGTATAAATAGAAGTCTTTCTTTGGTCTGATGAGTTTTCCCTCTGATAACGACCTTAAAGCGGCTCTGATTTTCTATATATGTTTGTATATACGTAGCTTGTCAGATCTGGCATTGCGCTTTAATTGAGCTCCGGTTCTGTGATTCTTTGAGAGAATCTACAAATCTTTATTGAAGATGGCTTGACTTTGAATTCGGTCAGGTAAAATTAGAATATAAATTGCTATACTGCTTAGTTATCTTGCGGACTACGTGACGTGCTGAACGTTGCTTTTGGATGCTCAATTATAGCATTTTCAGTATTAGTAACAGGAACTAAGCTACTTAAGAATGAATCATGATTCTTATTCAGAAGTTCGCTATCATGAGTTAACTCTTCTTCTTTTGAATTTGAATGATAACATAACTTAATCAGTGGCTTCTTCAGTGAAGTAATCACAACGAAGAAATACAAATGTATGTATTTATATATGCAAAATACTACTTCACATATCTTTTCCTTGAAAAGTTAACACAATTTCCACTGTGATTACTTTTATTTTGTCAACTAACTCGTAAAAAATACTTACTGAAATCTGATTTTCTTGCAAGTTCCCTAAAAGCCCTTTTAGATTTGTTGTCAATCAGATTTTCTGCTAAGAAGATTTTCATTCACTTCCTTAACCACAAGTGAATTTCCACTTCATGAAGCATAATCGGAGACCCTCGAGGAACCCCTTTTAGGGTAAACAACATCGATTTAAAGTCCTTATAAGAGTCAAATCAAATAAATACAAATTGGTGCACGCACGGGCTGTGGCAACAAAAAAGCGAATAGGAGGGGAAAAATCAATATGGATGTGCTAAAAAATTTATTGAATGTTGTTTTTTTGCCTTGAACGGGGCTGGCGAATGAGCCACGCCCCACAAGTACCTGAACAAACAAATTCCAAAACACAAGTCTGGTAATCTTATTAAATCTTTATTCTCTGCTTATTTTCTTCTCTTTTTCGGCGGTGCGTTTCATTGCTCCCCGATGTGTAACAAAAATCCGGCTCCTGCTCCTGATCCTTCTCCACCTGCTCCATCCTGGTCCACACATGCAGCGAAGTAACAGAAGGTGCCTTACAAGTCTGGCGAACTTTGCCGGAGCGCATTCGTCAGGATCCCAGTCTCGCGTCGTTTCGCCAGGAGCACGAACGTCTACATGGCGGTAAGTTTTGGGGTCTGGGCAATCCGCATCCTCCCCTTCACCTTCCCTGGATCACATAATTTCCTTTTTTTTATGTCTGGCTTTTGCTGCTACCTTTTTTATTGCCGTAATTATTGCTGAATTTTTTATTGCCATTTGCGTCGGCGTTTGCCATTGACATTGGACATCGTCCGGGTTTTTTTTTAGCCTGATTTGCATACCAAAAACTTAAGTCCAAGCTTATCTTCAATTGTTTTGATGGACGCACTATTTGGGTCTTAGGAAATTATGGGTTCCAGTTCGAGGTTTTCCGGCATATGATGTCACTTCGCAAGTGGACATCATCTTGGTGGGTTTTTTTAGATAACAGGGCTTAGAGAATTCGTTCTGTATTTTTAAATTACTATCTAAATTATTTCTTAGAATATATGTTTCGGAAAATTACCCTTAAATTATACTTTTTTTAAGTATATAATTTCGTTAGAAGGAGAATCCTTATTTTCCATTACTACATAGACTTATCCATAAGATATTTGTTTCCTTTATTTATAAAATCATCCTCCTAATCCTCATCCAAATTTGTCAATAAAACGAAAATAACAGTCGAAAATTTCACCATTCGGCTTAAAGTAGTTGCTAGTCCCAAGGGCTGAATTAGCTGTGCAGAACCTTCGAGTTCCTAATGTGTCCTTTTTCCGCATCCTTGTTTCCAGCCATCAGTCAGTTGGCCAATGTGTCCCTCAGCTCGCTCATGGCCATTTATGGGTATTTATAGCCTCGACTCGATTACGGCGCGGCTAGGCCAATAAAATAATGCCAACACGTAGCAGGTGGCTGGGACAAAGTTAATTCCTGGCCAAAGTCGCCACAGTTGCCCGTTAGTTGTCCTTCCGCGAGCAGCGAATGAGTAAATTTTCGCACAAATATTTGCCAATTGCGGGCCAGGGTTAGGTCAACTAGCTAGCTAGCCAGATGGAACTTTATTGGATAATTATTTTTTAAATGAACTTCATTTCACACCACAGATGTTGATCCCTTGCAAGCGGAGGAATCGGAAGTTCGTGTTCAGAATGGACACCACGAGGAAACGGCTTTGGCTAACCAAGCCTTCACACAGATCGGGATTAATGTGACAAACGAGGCGGGTCAAGTGCGAGTTCTCGATGGCAGGTTCGTAGTTCTGTGCTTCTCGATTGTCAGTTACGTAATTAGTGCAACCAGTTTTCTGTGATTCCCCGTGGCCATTTGCAGGGACCTGGAGAACAACAATGACGATCAGCATGACGAGGGCGAACCGCATGCCAAGAGTTTGGTGGGTACATTTGTTGGTTAAGATCCTTAAGAAATATTTACAGTGATTTATAATTTTATCATTTACAGATCCGAAAGTATCTAATCTGGTTTAAGATAGCAGTGCTGCTGGTGGTCTGGTGTGTCTTTACTGCCTTCTTGATGTCCAACAACGAGCATGTGGACCAGCTGAGCCTCATAAGTGTTCCTAGGAATAGCTCACCAAGAGGTAAGAGAATCGAAAAGATTATTAAGGATGATATATAAAGCAAGCCCCTCCTTTCAGTATTTCCCATTCCTACATCCACTCTGCAAAGGATTGGTCTGGGCCTGCGTGGACCATTTAGGCTGCAGGAGAACGAGCTGGCCATCAATGAGAGTGTTCCACTGCCCGTGCTTCAAGTTCAGGTGATGCGTAGCTACTTTGATGGCGAGGGCATGGAGATCTACATCGAGAATGCCAGTCAAGTGTGGGCACTGGATGTGGTCTATCCGGATCTGATCGATGCCACCAGGGATACGAAGAAACAGCGTACCTTTGAGTTGAGTCCCATTGATCCCTTGTGGTTGGCTCAGGCCAATCGCACGGAGTTGAGCTTTGAGTTCACCAGCAGCATCGATGGGGAATTACCGCTCCAGCTGAATGTCGATGAATCGCCTATCTACAAGAGAGATGGAGTGATCTATGCGGCAGTGGTTCTTTGTGGTCTCTATGTGATGATCATCTGGGAGATTGTGAATCGAACTTTTGCTGCCATCATCGCATCCACACTATCAGTTGGAATTCTAGCGGCTTTGAACTCGAGACCCTCGATGGCCACCATTATGGGTTGGATCGATGTGGAAACCCTTCTGCTGCTATTTGGAATGATGATCCTGGTGGCCATTCTCTCCGAGACGGGAGTCTTTGACTATCTGGCTGTTTATGCTTATAAGATAACCAACGGACATGTTTGGCCTCTCATCAACTGTCTGTGCCTGTTCACAGCTGTCCTGTCATCCTTCCTGGACAATGTAACCACCGTGCTGCTGATGACCCCGGTTACGATACGACTCTGTGAGGTGATGTGCCTCAATCCAGTGCCCATATTGATGTGCATGGTCATCTACTCGAACATCGGTGGAGCACTGACGCCTGTGGGAGATCCACCCAATGTCATCATTGCCTCGAATAGCTACATATCCAAGAATGTAAGATTTATAAAGACTTTAATCATAAATATTTAATAAATTTGTATTTTTTATTTAGGGCGTCAATTTCGCTGTCTTCACCTTGCACATGTTGCCCGGAGTTCTCCTGGTGATGGTGCAGACATATATCCAGTTGCGCTTTAAGTTCCGCAACATTAGTGATCTGCAGTTCAAGGACTCTCCGGAAGTGGAGGAACTGCGTCACGAGATCCATGTATGGAAGCGAGCAGCTGCAAGCTTATCTGCCTATTCCAAAGATGAGGAATTAGTGCGGCAGACACTGATGAAGAAGGTCAACCGCTTGAAGAGAAGCCTTAAGAAACGCATGACGGCGGTCATAGAACCGGCACCCAATTACCAGCAAACTCTGGCCAATCTTCAAGCAAAGGTATTGTTTTTTTAAAACGAATTTATATAAGAGATATAAATATAATTATATAATATTTTCAGTATCCCATTCGCAATAAGCCTCTGTTGATCAAGTGCTCTGCCGCCTTGGTCTTTGTGATCAGCTTGTTCTTCTTACACTCGGTTCCGGAACTCCAAAGACTGTCTTTGGGATGGACCGCTCTGCTGGGTGCCATATTCCTTATCATTCTGGCGGATATTGAGGACATGGAGGCAATATTGGCTCGCGTTGAGTGGTCAACTTTGCTCTTCTTCGCAGCTCTTTTTATACTTATGGAGGCTCTGACGGAACTGGGCTTGATTGAGTGGATCGGCAACATGACCGAGGGCATTATCTTGGGTGTAGGCGAGGATCAGCGACTAATGGTGGCTATTTTGATAATACTTTGGGTGAGTTTTGCAAGTAAATGTAGAACATTTAAGAAGAATTTTAACATACAATGCTTTTTCTAAAAGGTTTCTGCTGTGGCCTCTGCTTTTGTGGACAACATTCCACTGACCACGATGATGGTTAAGATTACCATCTCGTTGGCCCAGAATAGCACCTTGAATCTGCCACTCCAGCCTTTGGTTTGGGCCCTGGCCTTAGGAGCCTGTTTGGGAGGTGGGTAACCATAATATAGACCTCTAAAGAATATTAAAATGTTTAATAAATTGTTTCTAGGTAATGGTACTCTGATTGGAGCCTCGGCCAATGTGGTCTGTGCGGGAGTGGCTGAGCAGCATGGCTACAAGTTCACCTTCCTGCAGTTCTTCAAGTAAGTTTGGGCTATCCTTAATAAGGTTTCTGAAGTAATAGAAGATTATCTTTCACCCACAGAGTTGGCTTTCCCATCATGATCGGCAGCATTATAGTCACCACGGGCTACTTGCTCGTTTCGCACTCGCTGTTCGCGTGGCATTGATGAAGGGCCCCCATCTAGGAGTTGACTGTGTCGATTCGCAACAAGGCGCACTTTACCTCGTTACCTAACGGACAGAAACTGTTCCAGATGCCACACACTCATCATGTTTTCGGATCCGAAAACAGCACCAATCTAAAGAGGAATCGATATCTTATGCGCTGGTCATAAGTATTAGTTCTAAAACCAAAAAAAAAAAAAAAAAAAATAAACTCAGAAACGAAGAATATTACATAAAAATACATTTATTTTTACACATCGTTGTTAGTGTAGTGTGTAGTATAAATAACAAAACAAACAACAACAATTACATAAGATAATTAAAATAAATATAAATTAATTATTTACAATTAATAATGTCGCTGAACTGTGAAACAATTGTTAAATGTTAAATGTATGAATACGAATTAAATAAAAACGAAACAAATAAACTATTTAATTTGTGGTATATTTATTTAAGTAAATGTTTAGGAAATATTCGGGTTTGTTTTTTTTTTTTTTTCCTTTTTTAATTTAAGAAATTCGAAGTAGTTTTTTAGTTCAATTTTCAAGTATACATTTTCTAAGAAATGTTAGGCAAAACGCATTTTCATAAAAAGCCCAAAATGATGCTAAAAAGATGAAAAGCTGGCTGAAGCTATTTAAGCCCAGCACAAAAGCTAGCAATAGTTTTTTTCTTTCCACCAGCTACAATTTTAAAATGTTTTTAAAACGTGTTATTAATGATAAAATCTTGCACATATTTTCGCTTTAATATATTTTGTTTCTAAAATGACACTTAGTGGGATTAAGTAACGGTAACTTCGAAATGCTTTGACTGAACACAGCCCATCATTTGAGTTATTAACTTGACTTTTAAAGACTTTTTGTTCATGTGTCAATACCATTTTCATTTTTCTTGTTTGGATTTAATGCATTTTTCGCATTTTCATTTTTTGTCATTGATTTTGATGAATTTTCGCAGACTTACTATGGCAAAGTAAACAATTGGAAATGATGAGAGGAGCCCAGATGGCAATTATGCAGATGCAGCCTCCCAAACTATTTGCACTTCATGCAACGACCGCTTCAGCTTGTTTATTTTTGAACAGCGTCTAACCTTTGTTTCTACACTACGAGAAAATAATGATGTTTATAAGGTGAGAATAATTTATATATAATATAAAATTAATATGAGCAACGTCTTTAATCACTGTCATTTTTAGCCTATATTAAAATAATATAAAAATCATTTTATAATTCCAAAAAAATATAAGTATTTATATAACTTATTTCTTTACGTGCATCAGCTTGTGTGGCAGGCAACGCCTATTACATAAATATTTTGTTAGCATGTCTGCATGTGTATTGGTTTTTATGCCTGGGCAATTAAACAAAACGTACGTACATAAAGTACCGACGTGCGTCTTAGTTAGTTAGACAGTTGGTCGTTAAAGGGGGCGTGTGGAGTTAGTCTATATGTCAACCTGACCTAAGTTATGCAAAATATATACATAAGTCATGGAATCCATATTATGGATGGGCAAACGATCGTCAGGGTTCACTGGGCAGCTTATATATTGAGGTTTTTTTCATGTTAAGGCGTTTGGTATTGACTGTTTCTTATGGTAATTATGGGGTGCACTGAACCTGAGAAATTGTTAAAAAGATAACTGAGGTCCAAAAGTAAAAAGTGTAATTTGTTAATGTTTAACTAATTTGCAAATGTTTCATCTTTTGTAATATATTATTTTCGGATACAGTCGGTTTTATTTTTATCCGATTGTCTTTTTGTGAAGGGTTTATGATGGCCAGCTTCCAGCAATTTGAAGATCACTTGAACATAATCCCCACTGTAGGCGTCAATAAAGTGAACAAAATCCGGCCATGTACCATCTCGATTATTTTCCATCTCTTGTTTAAGAAAAATAAAATAAATAACAAACTGCGGCAAAAATGCCCTGAAGCAACCTTTCACAATGCCGCAAAAATGTGCCAAAAAACAAAATAAACTAAAGAAATTACAAAAGCCCAGACCCCAGAAGGTAAGACCCGAGTCCAGGCAAAGTGCGCCAATTTGAGTCCGAGATGACGTTAATGGAGCAGATGCCAACAGCCGGTCTCAGTTTCGGTTTCAGACTCAGTTTCAGTTTCAAGCGCGGCTCAGTGGAAAGAGAGTACGCAGCTACCGAGTAAAGTTACGTGATTTACTGTACAGAGAGAAAAAATCTTGAAGATATATAAAAAAATAACAAAAGTTAATTATAAAGAATATACATTTTATACAAGTATTCTATAATAAATAAGGAAGTTAGGATAAAACTAACTAACCAAGACTAATTTATGTCAAATATTTTTGAAAACTCATTATTGTCGATAATGTTATTAGTTTAAATCGATAATGTTCATTATTAGAAAACTTCCCAAAAATTTGTATTATTTAAATATTTTTTTAAACATATTTTTCCCCAGTGCAAGTCCCAGCTTTCTGCAGAGAGCCCGACTGCGACGGATTTTTAGCGCGTGTTGCACGACCAAAAACACTCTCGGTTTCAGCTCAGTTGCCTTGCAGACGCGCATCGGACAAGTTGTCAATTGTTGTCAAGACGGTGGGCACTCGCTGAGGAATTCGAATCGAATCGAATTGAATCAAAAATACGTTAGTTTAATTATGCCATTCGTATGTGCGATGTCGGTTGGTTTTTTGCCCAGAAACCAAAATTACGAGTACACTACCGAAAATAGCAACAGACATTTTTGAGTCGACAAACTTTCATTTTTTATATGCGTTCCGAAATTTCTGCGCGATGTTTGCCCAGTTTATTAACATCAATTTGGGATGTTAGCGTGTAAAATGAATTTTACAGCAGTCAAAGAAATAAAAGCCGAAAGAAGCCAGAAATCAATCAAAGCCAAAATGAGACAAGGCCAAACTGTAAAAGAAAAACAAATACAAATATACAAGAAAATAAAAAAAAAACCCAACCAAACGAAGACAAGGCGATCTACGTAGTTACCTTAAAAAATGAAATAAAAACAGCAACAATACGAAGCTGAAGCTCATTGAACAAAAGTGAGAGTGATTTCCAAACCGCTGTGTTGAGTGCTTGTTGTTGTTGCCGCTGCTGCTGCTGTGGATATTTACGCTTTTATTTAAGCCAGACCCAAAAATGTGTGTATATGTATGTGTTTGCATATCGCGTCGGAATCGAAATCGCGTAAACAAAAGCGCCCAACGAAAACTTGGCAACAAAATATTTCAAATATTTATCCAAATGACGCACCTGCTTTCGGGCAACTGACCAACCTCAAGTCGCAATCGGGTTTTCAGAGTGTTTCTGTTTCTTTTTTTCTTTGGCTTTGGCTTGTTGCGCAAACGCCACAATTTGTTGTAAAAAAAAATTCTGCAAAATATTGTAATCATATCTGTGGCATGAAGTAATCGCCTGTGTGTGTATAATTGCAGTTTCTGGGGCTCCACATAAATGCTGACGGCTGGTCATGTCTTGGCCAAAACAATGGGCCAACGCTAGCCTCTGGCTGCCTGTGCTGATCGGGCTGCTCTACAGTAAGTTAATGCCTTCGAAATCGGTCGAAGTGCTTAGATCAGGCGCTTAATAACCGGTCGAACTACTTTAACCGATCCACCGGCGACAGTCTCTCGAGATCTCGAGTGGCTCTAAGCTTGAAACTCCGTGCCAGACTTTGGCCAAGTCAGGCACCCTGAGCTCTCAGACGAGCTCCAACTTGTTGCCGGTCTTTGTGTCAAGGTCGCCGGATCACCGCAGATGTTGTTTTGGCCTGTGAATCGTCTATGGGTCTCATTGTCTGTCTCGCAATGTGATTTGTATTTTGGTTTTATGACACTTTGGATTCAAGTTACTTTATGGTTCTTAAACATATCACTCGCTGATCAAAGTACAGACAGTGAAGTCATTGAGCTTTGTTATTTGAATTTAAAACTACTTTCATAAAACCAAGTTCAGAACATAAAGTGTAGAGATATTACATTATAGGAATTTTATTAATCATTTTATTATGATAAAGTTAAAAGTTCATTTTATTCTGAATGTAGATTAGAAATAATTCTTATGAAGTGATTTTACTAGTAATAATAAAAATACTATCAAAGTGCTTAATATCAGACTTATTTCTTGGAATATGATTAAAGTTTTTCTTGAAGATTTATTTTAGATTTAATAAAAAATATGAAGAGCTCAATATTTTAGTTTGCTCTCTTTTTTAAACGACCTTCAAAGTGAAACGAACCTTAAAGCCGTAGAAACCTTAAGCACACGCATTGTTAGTCATCTGTAAATCTGAAAACCCAAAAACATAAAAATCTTACATAATCCGCCCTGAAGTTAACTGGCCTGAAATTTACATAAGTGCTGGGGCTTGGCCGGCAGAAGAGAGATAAAATCATTGGGCACACCAAGTCTATTAAATATTTTATACTTACAGCACAAAATGCATCAGCTTTCATTGTGCCACGGGAACTACCATCCATATTATCTATAGTTTACTCCAATATACCACCGATTAAAAAGGGTAAGATGTAGTACTTTTAATATGAATCATTTATTAAATGAGATTCCATTAAAACAGGAACTGATTCCCGTTTGGGTTTTGGTTTTCGTCTGGGCGAGCATGCTGACTTTCAAGTGATGGTGGAACTTGGGCCCCAGAAGGAGACCCGACCAATTGGCGAACCCAGCCAGGATGATCAATCTTTCAACAAGCGCCAAGTAAGCCAAAATGATCAGAAGGCTCTGGCTAGGCAGCTTTACCGCCAGCAGGTGCAAGAGGAAGCCCAGAGATTAATGACCTCCACGGAGAGAAATGGGGCCAGCTGGCTGGAAACATGGTCGAATGGCATGAAACCACAAAAGTCGAAATCAAAGGACCAGACAAAAAAGCCAGTGAAAGAAAGTTATGTTGCCAATCAACAGATTCCGCAACCGCAAGATCCCTCGAATGCCATGCAACAGCTTCAGTTGCTCTACAAGATGGCCACCAGTTCCAGCACCACATCCACCACAACAGAACCTCCAGTCTTCACAGGAGGTTCCCTTAACTTGGGTGGACCAAGTGGGTTTAAACTGCCGCCACCTGCTCTAAGTCAGGATGAAAATACATTAAGCAATCCTGGTCCTATCAAGAGCAAAAGTGAGATCACCAAGGAGCTAATGGATGTCAGTCTGGGGACGGACACTTAGGTTGTGCACTTATCTAGTTACTAATTAAACGCTATATACTTGTGTATATGGGTGCTTAGCAAATCTGTGTGTAGTATGGCTTAGCTATTTCTTTGTAAATAAACTTTTAAACTTAATTTAAGTTAGTGGAATATTTCAACAAGCAGCCTAAATGTAGGCAATAAAAAGTTAACTGAAGTGGAGATAATGTCAAGTACATAAATGTAGAATTGTGTTAATGTAAAATAAATGTCGTTAAATAAAATGTGGTAAAAATTAAAGATTTTAATGGTCAAAAATACAACGTATGGGATGTATATTTTATGTTTGGATACAAAAATATTAATTTGTTAAGATTTTTATGACGATAATTTTTCTGGGAGTTTATGGAGCAATTTTTGAATGTGAAAATAGCAGAAAATAGCAGTTTATAATATCCAATTTTTGGACATTTTTTTAAAAGTTTCCTATCCTTTTTTTTTATTTTGAAAATTTCAATAATTTTAATAAAAAGCATTCGAAATCTTTCTTTCTGAGTTACGCTTTATTATGAACTTAGAAATCGTTTAAATTAATTACATAAATAATCAAGTATAGTACAAAGTTACATGTTTTAATCAACTTATCTACACTATCGGCATATCTGTATGTATTTCGCTACTTGCATAAGTATTTTGTTCATCTAAGCTAGAAAATAGGACTACATTAAATATAAAACGAATCATATAGGGCACAGCTGATGATTGTCGGATGTCATTAGGATTGGGTCCTTCCACCAGCCAGCTATGCACTCTGTGGACATACAGAATACTATAAATTTAGGCTACATTTTAACAGATGTAGGCCTACTAAATTAAATATTACTTATAAATATAGTCAATTTCCATTAAGCAGACGGGTGCATCGGTGTACAGTGTTTTTTAGGTGTGGTTTTTGTTTATGGGTATGAGATGTTTGTAAATGTTCTTTTTTAGTGAAAAGAAACTTGGATGTTTCTATAAAAATAATGTCTTTCATTTCATGTTTTTCTCCGTGTTGAGTGTCCGGTTTTCCATCCTGAAGTCCTGACCCAAGTCCTCGCAAATCATAAGTCCCCGTAATCTCATTGGTGCAGTAGCAACTACTATAACTTGTGCGGATGATTGTGTCTGGTGAGATGTTCGATTCTTGACTCTCGATATCTCCAACGCCGGACTTCATTTCCTTTCCCTCATCAGAAACAGTAGAAGCACCGATTGAGGTTAACTTGTAAAGGGAATTCACTTTTCGTTCTTAAGTGGTACACCCTCCTCCTGGTTAACATCATTGATCCTAACGCGCTCTGGAGGATTGTTCCAGGGCTGGAGTTCACCGGAGCCCAGGACAACGAAGACTAAAGCTGCAGAGATATAAGTGCCTGCCAGAATCCAGAAGACAATTTGCCACGAATGGAAGGATTCCTATTGATAAGAAATTAAAATTAAAAACTTGTCTCAATCATTCTCTCTATATTTCAACTTACATCATTGTAGGTAAGAGCTCCCACCATCCACGTGGAAACGTACCCACCAAGGGAAGACAGCGTATTGGCCATTCCGAAGATGGTTCCACCAAAGTTCGGTGCAATATCCAGGCCATTGCCCAAATAACCAGCGGTGACAGCTCCATGGGCAAACAAGGCCAGCGAGAAGATCGTCACGGACCAGGTGGCGTCATAGCCAAGGAACACCTGCGCTATCATCAGCAGACCCGGAATCACCAGTGCTGTAATTAAAAGAATATTTTTTTATATTAAAAGGTTTAATTAAAAACATTTAAATATATAGTTTTCTGAGAAATCTATTTCCGTTGAACTTGAATTTTTTATCTAATCTATTTATAGACTGGATAAAATTTATTGTGGTTTTTAACTTATAATTTTCTGGGAACATATTTCTGGTTTGCTCTAGTTTTCTAGATATTAATTCTAGCTCTAGCCATACGGAAATTTGGCAAATGAAACAGATTTATTTATGATTTATATTTTTCTGATCTTAGGTAATATACTTACCAAAAGTGGTAAAGAGTTTCCTAGTAGCCGTCGTGCTCAAAGTGCCCTTCTTGCGCAGGTAATCGGCCAGATAGGACGAAGCCACAGCCATTACGTATTTACCCAGATAAGGCAGCGATGAGAACAAACCATTCTGTTGGAAGATCAAGGACATTTAGTAAAGATAACAACACAGATATCTTATATTTATCAAACCCACCTGCTTGATATCGAAGTGAAGGATCTTGGCCATGAAAGTGGGAAGCTGATTGACCACTGTGAAGAAACCAAAGACAGCCAGACCATGACAGATGATGATGGCCCAGACGGCGGGTGAGCAGAGCATATCAGCCCAGGGAACGTGGCTGGCGCGCTTCTTGGAGGTGGATGTACCAATGGCTTCCTCAATCTCACGCCTCTCCTCGGATGAAATGCGGGGATGGGTGGCAGGGGTCTCGTAGACAAAGGCAAACCAGGCCAAGGACCAAAGCAGGCCCACGGCTCCTGTCAGATAGAACACGCTGGCCCAGCCAGCTATGGAGATCAGGAAGCCGCAGATGGGCATGGTAATGGCAGCACCAAGCGAAGAAGCTAAAAAAATATTTAATTGATAAAAGTTAGTAATCTAGCTTTGGAATTAAAGGAATGCCTAACTTACCCATCATATTGGACATGAACTTGGAGCGCTCCATGGGTGGAATCCAGACGGCGGCTACCGGGTGAATGGCTGGCCAGGAAGCACCCAGCATGAAGCCGAGCACCACTCGCACTACGATGAGCACCACATAGTTGATGTGCGCCGCCAGCGGCGTAATCAAAGTGAGCAGACTGGCCCACAGCATGGAATGACCAAAGACTCGACGTCCTCCAATTAGCTCGGCAAGACGACCACCTGGCAGTTCAGTGAGGATGTAGCCCCAGAAGAAGCAGCCCAAAACGAAGTTGGTCTGGTAGGAGTCCCACGCAAATCGGTCCTCGTAGTCATCAACTCCGTCCAGGGATAAAGTACTATTGCCAGCTGTACTATTTCCCGCCAATGTTGCATTTCCCGCTGAAGTAGCATTAACCGGGGCAGTGACATTTGGACGTACCATGGCCACAATAGCAATGGTCAGGTTGACTCGCAGGGCATAGTTCAGCATGAAGCCGAGCATGGTCAGCAGGCTTAGCACTTGGCGGCATGACAGGAAGTCTGGAAGAGAAGAGTCAGTGCCCAATTAATAATAGAATCCAATGCAAGGCCGAGCATTGATACTAGCGAAAAAGTCGAAGCTCCCGTCGTCGGGGTCGCCAAAAGGTTAGGCACTTAAAATACGGCTCTGGAATATTTCCAGAACGTAGAAAATCAGGTGACCAGCGACTTGAAAAACCCAACCATTGTATATGGCTGATAACACAAGCTAACTTAATTTAAATTCCAAATGTTTTTTTTAATATCACTTTGAATTCTGCAGAACTATTAAGAAATTCTTGGAAAAACTTCAACTTAACGAAAATTAGTTATTCTACCATTCTGATTTGAAATTAAAACTTAAGCGAAAAAGCAGTTTGATAAGAATGTTTATTAAGGTGATTTTTTACACTCCTACTTTGTTTAAACAAAATGCAATAAATTATTTAAAATTATAAAGATAGTGTTTGCGGACTTGATTGTACAAAATGGAAAAACCCAACCATATACAAAGATCTAATAACGAAAGCTAACTTATTTAAATTATAAAGGCTTTTTATCAGAATTATAAAGAAATTCTTGGAAAAACTTAAACTTCTGATTCAAATTAAAACTTGAGCAAAAAAGGTGTTTGATAAGAATGTTTATTGCTCCAACTTTGCTTAAAAAATCCAACAAATTAGTTAAAATATAAATACAATTTGTTGAGGATTAGATTGGCTTTTATAAATTAATAAAAATCTAATAAACGTTTCGCTTACAGCCGATGTAAACAGAATTGTTATCAACTCACTATATATCCCGCCCACTATAATATCTGATGTAATCTGTTGTTTTCATTACATGATGTAGCCCAGATAAAAGCATTAATTACCCATATTAATGAGCCAATAAAATCGCAATAACAAAAAACTTAACTGGCGTTGTCAGGTGACCTCAATAGCATACAGAATGGGCCATGAATTTGATTTGAGGATCATTGGATTGTGGGTGCAGCTCTTATTCGAGGTAAGGAGCTAAAGAGGAACTGAATCAGCAGGAGATACAAATTCAAAGATCATTAAGTGGTGGCCATAATGAACTCGAACTCCGGCTGTCATCCTTTGGTCGATTATTAAGTGGCAAAGTGCATTGTTCGAGCCGGGTTGAATTTCTCGCAAATCCCAAAAGTATATATATATGATTTTCGAGTGCCATTGAACTCCATTGAACCCCCTTCAATTTTTGGGAAATGTTCGCAAGTGTCGGTGTAAATTTATAAGCCAACCGAATATATACATACATATAGTGATGCATTTTGGCTGGCGGTGATAAACTGGCTTTAAACGACTTTCCCATCAGAAAAAACAAAATTCGCTATCAGCTGGGGGGAAGCGATTATCGGGGCCAGTCTATCGGCTGTCTGGCTGGGACACGCCCACCCCGCTGATTATAATGTCCCAATATCAAGTTAATGTCATGCAAAAAAAAAAAACAACAAAATAACGCCACTCGGTTTGTCTAGACATCGGCGAGCATCATCAAACGCGCGCGGCGAAACAATAAACCGCGAGACACTCAACTTGTATTCAAATTAGCACTCGAATATAGCCGAAACTGAACCATCAAAAGAGCGTTAAACAAAATTTAAAATATCTAGTCATGTTTGCTATAAATTCTCGATCCCATATAACCAGAAAAACGTTCCAGACATACACGAAACGACAAAAAACTAAAACGAAATATCGGCAAGGTTTCACATTTTAGACCAGTTTCTCCTCTCAAAAATGAAATGGTATCGAATTGGTTTGGATTTGGCCATATAGGAAGATCCTGGGATATATAGTAGTATCAGAAGATCTTTGATTAGCTTTGCCCTGGAGGGAACAACAATGGGAAAGTTTGGATCATTAAAAAAGCTGAAGGTTCCAGGAGCATGTCTTGTCAGTCGAGACTCAATACCTCAAATCAATGCTAAAGAAGCGTGTGCCATGGATTACCGACTACTATATATATATATATTAATCGATAAGAAGTGATTTATACGACTTCCACTTCCACAAAGTAAATAAATTCAAATAAATAATTGTCATCCCTCGTCTAGGATTTTAATTTATACAACAGTAAATTAGTTTGCTTATCTTAAACAGCAGCTAAGAATAGCAGCTCAATTTAGACTATTTCTATAAATTTTAATCTTTATTGCCTATGGATAAGGTTTTATACTTTTATTACACTTCAGATTTGCCAAGTCACAGTTCAAAGGAATTTTTACAAAGGTTTTTCCAAAAGAATAAATTATTCATTCCAGTTTTTCAACTTTATCAAATTTAATTTCCCTTACTGTTTATATTTTTAATGATAATTAAATCGAATAAAATTTGTATGGGAGCTCTAATTGATCTAAATGAACTCATCAAGGGTTCTCTAAACGATCTTAGTCATCGGGTGTTGAATTCTAAAAAATCCTTAATCTTTAATGATCAAAACTTGTTTGCCTCCGAGCAGAAGAGTTCTTGATTAATTGTCGCCTTCACGAGGGAAGTTCTGTTTACCGCCAAACTATTTCTGTTCTTTATTTTTCTAAATATTTTTTGGCAATAAATTAAGTGAAGGCCAAGCTTGATGTTTACAAGCCAGAAGAAGATGAGAGGGCAGACAGAAAACCGGCTAAAAAAGCTCAAAAATTGTTTGGGTTTCACACTGCCGGGTCAACTGGATTTTTGACAAACTCTTCTCGGAATTTCGGTTGCCTCGTGCACAAATGTATTTGAATGGCAGCTTTATTTTTTTTTTTTTTTTTTTTGCACTGATCTTTAGCCTTTATTGGCTTTCGTTGATGCTCTACTTGGGCTGAAACACGTTCCCCACTCCGGGCCAACATAAAAACGCCATCAAAGAAATGCAAAATTTAAAAATAGCCGGCAAGTAAATAAAACGAAATGAATATGGCCAAACGTGATACTTAAATTACGATTTTTATTATTCGGCAACAAGTGAATCTGAGTTCGTTTTTGAGGTTCATTGATTTCTCGTGAAAATTTTTTAAAATTTATTCAACAAAATTGCAAAGTTATTAAAGGCCACTTAAAGATGTTTCAGCTTGAATATCTTTTTTTTAGCCTTTTCAATTATATTCTAAAGACGCATATCCGGCACTTTTGGCTTGACGCAAAAGCAATTTTTGAAATGTCTCGTATATTTCTAAGTACATCTTCTCTTATTTCGTCTATTTCATTTTTGTGTATTTTTCGATTTCGTCTACCAAACTTTCTGATCTATTTATATAGCCTCTCTGTGTCGTCGAATGCGGGCACTGGGTACACACCCACCGATGATAATCTCCCATTCTCGATTCTCTCTGCCGGTTCCTGACCTTCAAAATTGCTCAAACATCCGATGGGCGGCTGCAGGGTGGTGCTGGGACATGCTGGTGGTGAAAGTTAACACACACCCCCCCTCAATATCGTCATCGGCCTCGACCAACTGATTTATTTTCTCCTCTAATGGTAGCGAGTGTGTTTTTTTTCATTTAAGACGCATGTGGATCAGTGTAGATTTTCTTGTTGGAATGTCCTCAATGACTGAGTGGGCGTTTTCTGGGTCTGGCCGAAAATTTTCCATTGTCCAACAAGCGCTGACGTTCCTGGGAAAGAAAGTCCCGCATCGACGTCACACTAATGCGCACTATTTTGACAAGGTGCCAAGTCACGGGATCGGTGCGAACGCAACGTGGCGTATGAGCGATGGCGAGGGCGCGCCAAACTCGAGCCCACTTTTTTAGATTCGATTTATAGCCATTACCCAGCACACGCAATATTCCCCAGACGTAATCACAACTGATATGCGCAAAAATATGTAGAACACTCATTACCCAAAACGGGCAATGCTAAAAATAAACATTTTTGGCTAGCCAGATAAGTTGATTGTTTCTGATCGTTCCGCGTGTTTTTTTTTCAGTGTACGTGCTGTATGAATGTTTGTTATCGATTTTCCTACAAGGGGCGTGGCATCTTAGTGCATGATCATTTAGACCTTCATCTGAGTATACGGAAACTAAGGCCACTAAGGCCATCTCTCGAAATCTGTCCATTTAAAAATGTGATCGATTATTTTCTACTGCGCAGTGGCAAAAATTCAAGCCATTTTTTGCTGAGATTTTGTGAAACGTTTTTGGTTTTTAAAAAATGTTTTAAATTTTTGAAAGAAAGATTATAAACTTAAGAGCTTATTGTTTTTGTTTCCCTATAAAATCAGATATGCTTTTAGGTTATCCGTTTTCTCTCTCAAATAATATAAATAAAAAAAAATGTATAGATTTATTTTTAATTTTATGAAATTTAATACGAAAAACTCATATTTAAGAACCCCCAAACTCACTGTAATTATGCAGAAATATATATATTTTTCCCAGTATAGTTTATCTACATCTATATCTGTTTGTTAGATGACATTGCCGCGTCGCCTTCTAGGCTGCAATTATTGGCTTTGTTGTGCTGGCCAACTGCATTTCCGTTCCTAACTGATTTACGGAACTGGCCTCGTTCAAATCGAGTGGCTTGTAATGTCAATAGTCAGCCTAGCTACATACATAGCTAGCAACTTTGCCGACTCTGTTTTGTTCTCGTCTGTTTGCCTGGCCAATTGCCACTTTCCGTGGAACTGGTTCTACTTCAACAATAAGCAATAAGCTAATTAATTGCTGAATTATTGTGGCAATTGTTGTTTGCTAAATGCATATACAGCCGCACTTATCACTTTTGTTGGGCCATTGCATTGTGATTTATATTGGTCTTCCCCACGTCGGCACTTTCTCAAGGGTCTTTCCCACCACCATAACCATCATCATCATTGTCCTAGATTCATGTTCGTTCCTTTTATTCCGCTCGGAAATCTTCCATGGAAATTTACAATTGGGGCCTGCACTTGTGGCGCTTTCCCGTTCAAAGTGCAATCAGTCTTAAGTAGGAGTGTGGACTTGTATAGATTTACAACGCAGGCCAGACTGATAAGTCCATTGAATGGATTGCCTGATGGCTTTACAGCCGTCAAGCAGGAAATCTAGAATGTTTATTGACTTAGATGGACTCCAAAAAGCACTGCATTTTGGGTTATAAAGTTGCCAAAGTCAACGTCATAAGATCCCTTATCTGATTGCCAGTATCCGAACCACTTTAATCCAACATAAAGTACGAATCTACTCATAAATGTATCTTCAAGTTGTCATTTCCTCTGGCCATATCTCAGACATGCACGTGCCGGCTAATGAAGAGCTTCAGGTTGTAAACAAGTTGTCAGTTGTCTCGAGTTCCAGGCATATGTATACATTTATAGCTGGCATTAAAAATATTTATATACGAGTATGTGCGTTATAAAATGGGGGCTCGTCGCTGAGCTTTCCGAGGCCTTAGAAAAGTAATATTTTGGACCCATTAAAATTATCAAAAATTTATTTCACCAATAATCGAAATACTGAACTTTGTCACTAAAAAAACCAATAAAACTGCCACACTTGTCGCCTTGGCAAAGGACAGAACTATATATATATATAGAAATAATATTTTCCAAGTCATATTTATATTTATGATTTAAGAACCATCAATGGAGGCTTGCCTCAGCTTTTTTTTGGTTATCTCGGGTCTGCCGGTTCAAAGCCATCACATGTTTTTTTTCGTTTTCTGTCTGGGTTCGTTGATTTGATTAATGTAGAAACTCTTAATTGCCGGAATTCTAGATATTTCTGGTTTCAAATTAAATATTAAAAACACTATTCAAAAAGTGTGCCATGTGCAGCGGAAGTACGTCGCAAAGCCTAAAATTATAAACAAATTCGATTGCCTAGCCAGCCTTACATTACCAGTAAACAACATACGAAAATTCCAAGAAATTAAAAACAATTTCGTTTTTTCTTAACGAAAACTGGACTTGACTTAATTAATGCATATTAAGCACATGAGTAGAACAATTGAACCTGTTGGGGAGTTCCAATTATGAGACAGTCATTAATAATAAGCTAGAGGGTCTAGTAAACACATCGAAATGAAGTGGCAAAAGTTTAATAACAATTTATCGTAAGCGGAATGAGCGAAGCACATGCTCATTATTCATTACTTGTGGCTGGGGCTTAGCTGTTTGATTAATTCCAGACGACGACCCGATGTCTGTTGCCAAGGGTGAATACCCGTCGGATTCAAATGTGGTTTCAAATTCTAAGCACTTCCTCCGGGGAATTTTAAATTCAATTTCTGATAAGCCAAACAAATTGTATTTAGTGTAGTGTTCTTTGTTTTTCTCTGGTTTTTAAGCTGAATAAATACACATTGATTTGTTGATTTTAAAAGCTTCTTTTTATAAGCTCGCCTGATCTCATTAAAAGAAATAGATAGCCTGGCTATTGACAAATAATTTCCACTCTATTATAACAATTTTAAAGTTCATTATCATTATCCACTTTGAAGTTAAATACATTGTCTAGTTATACATTACGCTTATTAATTTCATAACAAATTATAATCCATTTTCGTGAATCTTTGACCGTATATCACGGGGCCTTTAAAACAAGTTTGTCATTTTTAAATTTCCTTTTTTATGGAAGCCTCTAAATGACTTAAGCACCTTGGATTTGTTTTTAAACGCAGTGCAATGTCGATAAACAATAAAAACCTATAAAAATCGGTCATGAATCACCCGTTCGCATATTATATTCGATGACTATGGCTAAGAGAGACCTGAGAGAGGCGTGGGTGTGAATTACACGAGTTAGTAATGACTGGTACTAAACTAAATCCTCTAATCGATATGCAATATGGATTTTAATGTACATTGAACTTGTAATCACTTAAAAGGGAAAATGTAAATTAATTTAATACAAACCAAATGAGTTAGTACTCCCCCTAATTAGAGGGCATAAACTAGGGTAGTGCTAACTACGTCGTGAGACGTTTTCCCATCACCTTCCTCCACTGCCCCTATTTGATATTTTCTTGCTAATTGAAGGTTTTGAATTTTTGGTTAGAGCCCAGAGGTTTATCTATCATTCATGTTTGCTCACGGGGTCGGCGGAACGTGCACTCGAGCATGCGATCACAGGCCTTCCTCCCCCTCTAACAGCACCGCCCAAAATCCATACCCCCTCGTTTCCTGTCTGATTGTCGATTGTCTGGCTCTAAAGTGCTAAATACCTCCAAATGTTCGAATTAAATAGCAAACAGTCCGGTGACCATCAACGAAAGGCTATTAAAAATTCGCAACAACAACAAAAGTCTTTCAATTAATTGCGAAATGTACTGGGAATTTAGACCATGAACTAAACTTTCCATACATCAACGGTATTCGAATTGTTTGACAATTCCGATGGGAGGAGGAGCAACTAACTAACGTGTTTAGTTAGCGTGACTGTGCTAATTTGTTTGCATAGTTTAATGCGTGGTATTCCTTGGAAATGTCATAACAATGGCGTCATAAGGTCGCCCAACTACGCAGTCCCAGGTGTCAGCCACAAGGCGTGGGTGTTGGCTATATCTGTAACCATATCGATGTCACCAAACTCGAGGCGTGTCATGGCAAGGATGAATGCGATAGAGTCCTCGAACCAGGCCAGGTGCCAAATGATCGAGGAGTTTCGAGGGGTGTTGCAATTAAATATTTATTATATTCTGATTGACACAAGTGGGTCAGGTTATCAGGGAACACAAACGCTTCAAAATAAGTTCTGTTCTGTCTGATTACTGTTTGTCCTTATCGCTATTTTCAGGATATTATATCAGCAATATGGAACAAGTAATAATATAGATTGGGTAATTTGATCAGTAAATCTTTTAAATATTCTAAAACATTAATAATCTCAAAATTGAATATATAAAAACATCTATTTAGGATCAGCTGACCAGAGGAACCGGAAAACCAATCATCTTTCAATTCAATCTCAGATCGCAATTGATTTGTAACCTCAATACAACTTGTCTCGTTGACACCAATCAAACTGGACCGAGGAGGAGTCAAATCGATTTGTTTATTTTAACCGAGTTTCAATTCGATTGGCCATCAGGCAGGCTATGCCTATGCATATTGTTGATTCTCAAACCGAATAACCGTGGCGCGCCCCATTTTTTATTGCCGTCATGCGGTTTCTGGCCCTGTTATCGTTGCGCGTCTAGAAGCGCAGAAAAAAAGGGGCTCGGCTGGTGGGTTCGGTGCGGTTTTACTTGGGGACTTTTTTCTGGCATTTTCGACTGGCTTAACAGCAGATAGAAATACATATTAAAGTATGGTGGTTATGGAGAAAATCTATATCTAAATCAATTTCACAATAATATTTAATTATGAAAATCAAAAAAAAAAATTAAGAGCAACATCCAAGTTACGAGGAAAGTGGACAACATTTCTTTTAAATATTTCAGGAAATTACAAATACATGTTTAGTATCCTTTGGGTGTGACCTCAAAAACCAACTGGCGACCTTATAACGATATGATATTTTCATATCTTTTTATCTACTTACTTCGCACTCTGTGCAGACCTCCTTTCTCGGTGTTGGACATGACGACTCCTCTCTGTCCCGCTCTGCAAATGGAAATATACCAGAAGTTAGCGCAGGTCTTTAAATTGGAAATGAAATATCGATATGATATGATATGATAAACATCTAGGGGATACGATATAAATAGTCTGCAAAGTTAATGAAACTTTTGTTCCGGAATAACCCATAGATGGGTTTTCTTTTCTTTATTTCTTTTTTTCTTTGACTATCTAATCTTATCTTAGTTGGTGTCTCGTGTTCGTACCTGAACGTGCCCACGAAAGGCGTTTTCACCAGTGGAGGGAATATGTTACTATATCTCTATACTGATATTTGGGGGCAGTGGCGTTTCTGTCCCATGACTCAAGGCAATTATATCACACAGAACGGGCTACCGGTACCGCTTTTTTGCTCATTCATAACTATACCGGATTGCCACCCCACAACCCGGCATTCTGCCCCGTACCGCTTATCGGCGCCCCGTTATCGCCTCGTCTGCGTCTTCAAATGCCGCCGCCCAGAAATCAGAAATTCTAAATATAATGAGACGCAGCAACTCACACGGACACTTGAGTGGCGTCCAAAAAGAGCCGCAAATTTGGCTACTTTCACGTCAAATGGAATTAAATAAAAAAAAAAAACCCTAAAGTTAATCAAATTTACACAAGTTGACATTAGTGATTCATTAACTAAATAGGATTTATGATAAAAAAAAGTATAGGATCCAGAAAGTTTACGTAGGTTAAGATCAAACAAATGCAGTTCCTAAAAGCTAACATTAATCTAATACTTAATCATTGTAACACAAAGTAATATAAATCAAAGAAACTATAACTGATATTGCTATATTCTTATCATTACTTTTTTAAATTAAAACATACGACTTTTTCTAGTAAGATCTTTTATTTTAAATAATTTTTCCAGATTTTTCCTGATTTGTATATAAGTAGACATTTGGCACCCGAACATTTTTCACCGATATGTATGTATGCATTTGACTGTCGCTATCATTCTTTTGTTCAGTTCTGCTGGCGCCGCGATAATTTATTGAAACAACGGTGGTGGAAATGAAAATGGAAATTCGTCAGCTATATGCGATTTGTTGCATGCTAATTATCGCCAGACACGTGCTTGTGAGGCAGACAGTGACTTAAGCCACCGCCTAGCAACATGTTAGACTTAGACCAATCAATTAACTGCCACTTTATATTGCCTTTTTGGTCAATTTGTACTGCAAATATTTGCTGGCGTCTTAGCAACAACAATAAAAACAAAAACAACAAAAAAAAACCTATAACCACATGTTTAAGGATATATATATAGTCGAAGAAATTATTGTCCTTGCCATAGACATTATTGGCCTGTGTGTGCATGTTGCCATGTTATTAGCCCAAATGAAAAGCGGCATCTGTGAGCTGTGTGTGGGCAATGACTATATACGACTTCTATATGGTCACATGCCAGTACGTCATCTTCCGACAACCCGTATATATGGCAAACAAAATACGAAACGTGCGACTTTTCTCGCGGGAAGTTAGCCTCAGCGGCGGAATTTGCTTACAAATAAAAGCAATTACGCATTCTATAATATTAGTCATGCATACTTATAACAGCAAATGTGTTTATTTATTGGTAAATTAAACTTGTGTTTACAATCTACAATGTGCTACCTATTGGTTTCACTTTCCATTGCAAACTATTTTACAAAGTGTTTATTTTTAAACGTCAAAAAAACGTTTAATGTTGTAATCAAAATCAGTTAATTATCAGCTCAATTCATTTGTAAAACACGTTTTTTGTTTTCATATTTAAACACGAATTAATCAAGTATTAAATCTGTATTAAATTGTTAGAAATAGAGCTATACTTAAACCTCGATTAATTGGTTTATTAATTTTTACGCCTTGAAATAAAAATGAGTAATTTTTCACATAGAAAACTTAGTAATTATGACACCATTAACTTTTTAATGATAAATTTTTATTAATTCGCTGGTTAGGTCGTTTATTTAATTTATTTATAAATTGCAGTATTGTGAATAAAAAACTTGTAATAAATATACCTCATCTTAGATATAATTAAGCGCCATTTGGCTATAAATAATTGTAATTGTATCGCACTATTTTGCATTAGGAAACAACAAACCCACCTTGCACTCGACGATAACTGCAGCGACAACTAACAAATGTTAGTTGTTTATGGCAAATTATATAATTTGTTCAGCACAAACCGATAGCAATCTGTATTTGTATGATTGAGTTTACGGCGATTTGCATAAAACAACACACCCTGCGAACGGAAACCGCGTCAAGACCGCAAAGAAACCGCACGTGTGTTTGTTTATTTTTGTCTTTTTCCTTATATATATATTTCTGTATTTTTCTTATGTTTTTGCTTTGTAATTATTTCGAAAACAATTTTCAGTTATATGAAGATCGGAAGAGGAAGGGTCTATATCGCACACACACTCCGGAAAAGAAACAGTTTTTAAAGTATTGGAACGGACAGCTGTTGATTATTTTTGAAACGAAAGCGAGAAAAAACGAAGAGATTTCTAGCGCAAGCGCAGGCAATTCTAGAATTCAGATTCGAGCGGTTTCGAAATCGAAATCGAATCAGTGTTGCTGCCGTGGCCTGATGTTGCTGCTGACGCCGCTAGATGTTGCTGCTGTCGTTCTGGTGTTTCTGCTGTGTGTTCACTTCACTCGGAGCGTTGAAACTGAACTGAAAATGCGGCCGTTCGTCGGCGGCTTTTTCTTTCCTCCGGCCAAAGCGGTTCGCTGGCAGCGAAGCCAGCGTCTCAGTCGTTGCTGATGTTGTTGCTGTCGCTGCTGCTGCTTCTGTCGTTTCTGCTGCTGCTGCTGCTGCTGACGTCCGTCGTTTTGTTGTTCGTGGGATGCAAAATTCAAATTCTTGCGCCGTTTATTTTATTTTTATGCTGTACCTTAATTCGCCGTCTTCTTTTCGCCCTCGCCTCTGACGCCTTTCCCTACTTTCTCGACGCGCTGTCAGTTCGATTGCCCAGCTGCCATTATCCAGATGCGATCGGGCCAAATCACAACGGATAGTTTTAACCCCCTAACGGCACAAATGTCCGATGCGTCGGCAAAAGTACTTATCAGTTTTTTCATTAGCCAGCAAAAGCTGCTGCCAAAGCAATGGCTTCCATACAAAGTAATCGGTTTTGTGGCACTTTTTAGACTTTATTGCCGCCGCTCATTGTTTTGACAGATTTTTTGTTGATTAATAGCTCATTGGAAAGAGATTTGTTTGTTTACCTAATTCAGCTCAAGATGCTAGAAATACAAAGATCACTTTGTTTATATGATGAAATTCAATACATGTTTGTTAGCAGAACTTCGTTATAAATGAAATAGGGCACAGCTTTACGTCTGGGAGTGTCAGTAACAAACCCACTTAATCGCACTTACAATATGGAAATTCCTAATTAATATGGGAAAATAATTTACATTTTATAAGGAATATTTTAGAATTGAAAATTTTAAAAAGAAATAAAACCCAGAAATGAGTCGTATGATTTTAAGGCAAACCTTTATCTTATATATACATAAAATACTTTGAAATTCGGTCATAAATTTTGGGTTTATTCTTTTTAAGAAGTTACTTTCAACAATCATTCCTACAAAACAAATAGATTTAAAGTTTCCAGAATCATGAAATCAAATCGAGAAACGGGTCCAGCGCTCCACGAGACTGGGACGCGGCGAAGCCCGATATCTCTCATCGAAGATGGGGCAAAACTTCTCCGGGAAGCGCATCTGCAGACACCGGATCACAGTTCCCGTGAGATAATAACGCGGGGGCCAGCGGCACTCGCACGGCGGAATGCAAGACGAGCACTCCGCCTGCAAGGCCTTCCACTTGCTCATTGTGGTGACCAGAGCAGGAGATAGGCATCCTAGTCGCCACGGCAGCCGAACATCCCGTTCAGTCCAATCACAATCGCATGGTGGAATACATGTCATGCACATAAGATCTTCAAGTTCCAGATCTGGTTGTTCCTTCTCCGGCTCTTTAACCGCATTAATGCACTTATACATGTTAGCGCGGGGAACCATTCCGATCAGCTCCTTGTACTTGCGCTCCTGCTCGCGGCGCAACCACAGATACAGCAGATCCCAATGGTCCAGATTGCGTGCCCGTTCCCGAAGGATCTGCATTCTGCGGTATAGATCACTTCTGCGCACTTTGTCGTAGTTAAGTCCGGTCTGCGTATGGAATAACAGGTACAACTCATTGGGTTTCTCGTCCGGCAGGGAAATACTGGATGAGAACTTGGTCAACTCGAAATGAAACAGCATTCGGATGCCATAAGCTATATGCTTGATGTGATCGAAGTTCTTGATGTTCATCGCACACAGAGCTGCGGCATCCAACAGGAGCAGCTTACGACCCGAGATCATGTTTACACGGAAGGTGTTCTAGGAAGGAAAATTCTAGGGATAGTTCACAAATTGGTCCATTTATACCCACCATATACTGAGGATAACCGTAGCCATTGATCCAACGCCTGATGTCCATGTCATTCCACTCATAAATAGAAGGCAGTGGCAGTTTGTCCACGACCGAGGCGCAAAGCTCTACGAGAGTATCGGGTGATGTCCTGAACTGTATCGGTATGTCCTCCTTATCGTATTTGGGACAACCCTGAAGGAACTTATTCCGTTGGAATTTGGTGGGAGCCATTTCCGTACGGGCCTTTTTCTTCTCTTTCACCTTCTGGTGAAGGAACTTGGTGTCCGCTATTCCATACAGATAAGGCATCTTGTATTAATTTTGTTTAAAAACTTCGATCTTGTATTTGATTGTGTTAGAAAATTGGTGAACAAAAAAGTTATTAAAATATAATAAATAAGTTGTATTTATTTTGATGCTATTCTAAAACCTTTTGTGATCAAGAGATTTGTTATGTAAAGTGTTTGAACTATTTTCTTATAGAGAAACATAATCCCAAATCCTGAGTGCTATTATTAACCCATTACGATTACTGATTCCAATGTTTTTGGAGCTGGCAATGCCGCGTTTGAAGGGCTTCGTATTACCATTTTGCTACCACGTTTTGTTTGTGACGTTCGTAAACAAGTCGGCAGAATCTGGAGAAATCTGAACACAGCAAGATCCAGGTAGATATGTAGGTAACCATACACATATATATATTGTATATTGAAACCCCTGTGGAAACATCTGTCCGTCAATCAGCACATGCCAAAAGTGAGTTATTGACCAGGTAGTGGAGAATAGATCGATTGTTTCGGATTATGTTATATCGGGATTGGGCTGTCCCGTATACTAACGGTCCTTCGATGCTGGCCATGTGGTAATGTTGGTTGTCAAAACATGGTCAAGGGTAAACGCCTCCAGTTTACATACCTACATATGTATGTGTGCACATTTGCTTACCTGACGGCGAATATGTTTGCGGTTTATTAATGAGCACCGCGGATATATATTTACACATATACGATATATACATTTGTATATATAGAAATCGCTCGGGGACGGATGGGTCGCTGACTCATCGCCGATCCGTTCCGATCGTCTCACGTGACGGACATATTGGAGGTGATTTTTATGGAAACACGTTTTTGGCCATTTCGGCCATTTGTTGTATTGTACTCGCCGCTCGTTCGGCAATCAAGCAAAAGCCTAATAAACCTCATCAGGTTCATTTAGGCGAACGCTTACCTTCATTAGCATGTGCCTGTCAATTTTTATTATCATTTTTGCAACAGTTTTTCGCCTTAAATTTCGATGACAATTCGAAAGGTTTTTTATCTAAAACATCAATTAATTTTTGTTTACAAAAGTGTTTATCATGAATTTTCGTTTTTTCTTTTTGGAAATACTCACAGTGGCCTAAAATTGATATGATATTGGCGTCAGGATGGGGCGTGGGCGTAGTTGGCGACGGAGTGGGCGTGGCTGTTTGCCTGGCTAATAATTTACTCGGGTCGTAGTGATGAAGGGGTAGAAAATTTGTAATTATACAGCAAGAGCTTAGCTAGTCAATTAATGGAGCAGACAGTGTACACTCTTTTAGCTTAAAGTTGCATTGAATTTCTTGATAGCCCAGATTTGAAATAATTGGCTTAGAGTTTATAGAAAATAATAATAAAAACTGAATAATTCACTTTAACGCTAGACCTATTCAAAATATGTGGGCGCTTTTTTCACAAATTTAACGAGCCAATAAATAGAACAAATTAAAATTTACGATTACTTAAAAAATTAAGTACTTTACTGTTATTTACTGCATTTAACATTTCTGTTAAAACTTGGTATTAAATATTTTTATGTTTTAACAGATATTTTGTATTCTCTGGACTACTGTACTCTTAGATCACAGATGATTTCACTTTCGTTTAAGTCAGCGTTTAACTTGCAGAAACGAGGCAAAGAGGGGCGTGTGGATGCGCCACCGTGAAAAATGAAAATGATATAGCCATGTAAGGGCAGCTACTGCCAACTACGATCGAACAATGTAATGGTGGCAACAATAAATTAAGGTTCTATTTTTGTAGCTAACTTGAATTACATACCCGCGTTCCGCGGCAAACTGAAGCCGGTTGCCAGCAACTAGTTAACAAGTTAGACCTAAAATAGAAGATGCCGCTGTCCATGTGTCCAAGCCGAGCATCGGAAGAGAAGTGTAGACGACAGACTTGGCTTGACCAACTTGCGTATGTACACTGGGGAAAATACAATTAACTAAATTAATTAGTTTAAGAAAATATGATGTAATAAAAAACTTAAAAATTATTTAAAGCTCCTAAGTTTATAGCATTTTTATAGTTTAAATTTAGTTTAAAGATATTTTAATAAAAGTTTATGAAAGTATTTTTCTTAAACAGTCTATGTACATATGTTACTTTTCAACATTTTTTTAATGGGAAATTAATCTTGAAAAGAGGGAATACCCAGACCCAATCATTAACAATAGATTTCTTTGGGTGTAGGTCCAACATGAAAATTAATAATGCAAATAAATTGTTAACTTTAAACGCGCAAATTCCAGTCTGCGTACATCCCGAGTGTGAAAGTGTGTGTGTGCTAGCGGAGGGGAGGAATGAGTATGGAGGGAGAAGTGGGGAGGGTCTGGCGGCAGCGACCACTTGAGGTCAGTTCGATCACGATCGCGTCGGCAGAGGCAGAGACTGAGGCAGCGACTGAGGCTAAGGCAGAAACAGCGCAGCAGCCCCAAGATCACGACGAGCCTCCTTCGAAGTTTTCGGTCTCTGCCTCTACCTCTTCGCGCTGTCAAGTGGCGCGTGTGTGTGAGCGAATCGCTACACTTGAAGAAAATACCTTATCTGTCTAGGAATCACATGGTTTTCTCAAGTTTTGTGTTACCCAAATTTGAAATTTCTTTAAAATTAGATCATAAAAAATGGAGATTTACTTTTAAGTGGTCAATAATAACTGTATAATGTGAAGTTTAAGAAGTGAAAGTGCCCTCCTTCTAATTTCTTATACAAATATTTGAAAATCAAAAATATTTCGAAAACATACATATTTTTCCGTGTGCGCCTAATTAATTTCATGCCTAGGTCAGCCCACTTTTTCACCCAAGGAACGGGGACTGGACATTGATGTTCGGAATTCGAGCTGGAGCGCCTGATTACATGCCTGGCACATTTTAATTGATGATCCAAACGCAATGTCTGGGTTTATAGCTTTGTTTGGTATTTTTCTCTCTCTTTCGGTTGCCTTTTTTGCACACTTTTTTCTGGCTGTCTTTATGATTATTGCTTTGACTTGTTATTCGTGCTTTTTTTTATTTGTGCAGTAATGAAAGCTGGTTTCAAGTGCTACTTCATTTTCGAAATTCGTAATATTTCTTAGAAACCGTTAATGACTAACTACCTTTTTTACTTTTTAAAATTTTAGTGAAATCTTTCAAAAAACATTGTGTTTAAATTTTGAAAACCTTATCAATATGTCTTTGTTTTTAAAAAAATTCTATTAAGTTTATTTTTACAGTGTGAGTGCACGAAATATACTTATTTTTTCATTTCAAATGCAAATGACACATTTATTTTGCCATTATTTATTTTGGTTTTATTGGGTATTGTACAAACAATCATACATCCGTTGGTATATTTTTTACAATCTTGTGTTGGCTGCTCAAACTCGTGTTTTTTTGTGCGTCTATTTTCAACTTCTATCCCCACGCCACTTTGTGCCTCTTCGGATCTTCCTCTTTCTCTTCTCTGCGTCACCATCGGACTAAGTCGGGCCCCCTTATGGCATCTATGTGTGGGTCCCCAGCGTTACATATACCCAAACTCAGCCACATGCGCATTAATATGTACATATACACATACATATATAATCTCATACATATAGCCACTCGTATCACAATTTCAGGAGCCGCTAATAGAAGATGATTTTTTCAGATCTGCTGTTGCCAACGTCAAATGTGCTGCGTTCAATCAGAAATCAAAAATAAATAATATTTTCCACTTGCAAACGCCGCAAATAAACAACAAGTAATGAACGGGGCTGCAGTGCTGCATGTGCTGATGCTCGAAAGAAAGTTCAATTTTGATTGACGGCTGCACAACAAAAAGCAATGCGAATCAGATCAATTGAAAATGAACTCAAATTGCAGATGGGAACGGAAACGGAAGAACAATGCTAACGGTTTTCATTTTCAATAGCGATTTAGTTGAAACTCAACCCTGTCTACAGATCCTTTGGTTATTGAAAGCAAAAAGGTTTAATTACATTACAAAGATTTTGTAATTTTCTTGCTATTATTTCATCAAAACAGAGAAACCTAATTTTTTTTTATAAATTTCCTATTGATAAGGAAGGGGAGTCCGAATCAGACTTTGAATCTCATGATCCACTGAACCTAACAAAATCCATATATGTTACAGTACAATATACATATGAACGCACCGAACTGCTCGCAACTGGATTTTGACGTCACAGTTGAACTACTATATTTCACAAAGTCCAACCTGCTAACGCATCTAGACTATATAGATAGATGCACCAGTTCCTACAAATAGACAATTCAGAAGCGTGTGCACTGGGCATGGAAATTCTATTCGTAATCGTCTGATTGGGGTATTCGATTGAACGGACAAATCTCCCAATTAATGGGAAAAACTGCGCACCAAATGAGTTCAATTGCCGGGTTAGCTGATTCGGAAGATGGGCGTGGCGCGTGTGGCCACTGAGGCCTGACATTTGCATTAATCTCAATTGATTAATAACAATTCAAGAGCAAAGCCATTAGACGACATATCCGTAGCAAGTATAGTGCAACAAATGCAAAGTGGAAGCACGACAGAAAAAGATCTGTTACGGAATAAACTTGACACAATCAATAGATTTGAAGGTCATAAATGATCCCTGGCCTTTTTAGTTTGACTGAACCTAGAACCATTTAAAAAAAAATATATAAAAAAATTGTTTCCTTCTTGAGGATCTTTTATAGTCAAGTTTCTTGACTATCGCCACCATATGTTTTATTGGAATTTTAAAAATTATAATATAATCACTGTAACCAAACTGTTAATATCAATTACAAGCTAAATTAGGAAATCAGGCTACACTTTTAAAGTTTTAATGTTTGGCAGTTTTGTTGATCTTTTCCTTGTCGTCAATATCGTTATCATTAGCATCACTCTCTTGATCCTTATCAGTGTCAGTTTCATTATCGTTATCATCCTGAGTTTGCTTAAGAGCCTTTGTGGCCTCGCGATCCTGTTGTGACTTCTCCCATGCCAGCTCAAATGGATACTCCAGGGGCTTAAGTGCGTCCGGACATTCCTCCTGATTCGGAGCAGTGGCCTGGTTAATGGAAGCTCCACGCGTATGAATCTGCTCCAACTGGGCGGCATTGTGCACCTCTGCATTTAGACCCGTAATAAACTCAAAGAGCTGTTCCTTGGTGTAGATGTTGGGCACACCGCGACGTTCGAAGAAGTTTACGATATTACCGCAATCTCTCATCAAAAACTCCAAGGCACTGGGATGCTTTGGCTCAACACTCTGGGCAACGTCTATAAACCAACATTTCCCCTCAAACCACAGAATGTTGTATTCGCTCAAATCGGCATGCACTAACTTAGCCTCGTTATATAACTTGTGCATTGCTGCTACAATCTCTTCGTAGGCGCAACTAACCTCCGCGGCACTTAGCCGCGCATCCTTTAATTTGGGAGCAGCATTATGATTATCTCCAATGAACCGCATAACCAGAACATGCTTCTTCAATACCACCACATCAGGAACGTTCAGACCGATGGCCTGCATCCTCATCAGGTTATGCATCTCCTTCTCCGCCCACATGTTTATGATCACACGGTGGTTTTGCTTACTAAACCGATCCTTAAAGCGATAGTCATCCTTGATGTACCGATCGCGCTGCTTAAACTCGTTGAGCGTGGTCTTAAAGATTTTGATGGCACACTCTCGGGGCAAAAGATGCGCCGGCATTAGCACGCCACTCTGGTGACCGTGCTCATTGCTGCCTGTGTAATTCGTATCAGAATTGGCATGCAAGATTACCGCCTCTTTGCCTGTGGAAATGATGCCGTTGATTTGCTCCAGAATTTGATTGTTAATCAGTTTGTATAGTAGGAGTCGTGTACCGGCATCCAAACCCATCTCAGCGGTGGCAACTTTTTCATGTTTATCTGAGCGACCACGTCGCGAGTGAGCCCTCAGTTGATTAAACACCTAGAAAGTATGTTGAAGTCTCTTTGAATCTCCTTGACATATTTCTTCCTCACCTTGTTTGACAGCTTCATATCGAAGCCTGCAGCATCGCCGGTGGGAAACTCCGGCGGAAAAGACATCACCCTCTGGGCATTGCGAACAGCGCAGAGTTGGGGATCGTGCTTGGTTATCATCTCCCCCTCTTTGTTAACTTTGAAACCACAACGCGGAATAGAATCTAGCTGACGTTCGTTGTCCTCGAAACGATCCCAGTCACGCTTCAGTTGCTCCAACTCGTCTTCTTCGTAGTCATCCTCGGCAGTGTCGTGCAGGAACTCAGCGTCGCCGTCGCGAAGGAACTTGTTGAGAGTAACTGTGACCTTGGACTGCTTGTTCTGCTGACGCTCGATACGACGCAGCTCCTCGTTGTACTCATGGTCAAACTGGGACTGCAGCATCTGGGCAATGACTGCATCGCTGTCCTCCGGCACCTCGAAATCCTCCGGCTGGATGCCGTTGTCATGAAGAAGTGCAGAGTAATCCTCCCATTCCTCAGTATCATTTTGAACCTTTCCCGAACTGCCAGCCACATTGGAGTAACTGGCAGCTGCCGGAGATGTTCCGGTCTCCCAAATGGAAGATACCTCCTCTTCCGGTCTCTTCAGCTTTTCCGTCTGACGTTGCACCTCCTTGTCGTGCAACTTGTGAGCATATTGTTCCGACATAATATCCGCCAGATTTACCTGCTGAACTGGCTCGCTGTTTTTTACCCATGGCGACGACATTCTGCGCAATTGAATGGGACGGTAATATACACCAAAATTTTGAATGTAATTCGACAAACCTTTTGGCACTCAGCTTGACAGGATCGAGATCTATATCGGTGGTAATTGTGGCAGTTTTCGGGTCTATAAACAAACAAGCCTCTGTCCAAGTCCTAACCAGTTGCGGTGGATTTGATGTCTCCGCGGCGGAGGACCAGTGAGATTTAAGGCGCGATCGAGGCGCAGTTCCCAAGAAAGGCAATTGCAATTATATTGCAATAGTATTACCTATCTATTTCACCAAAAAATTTGATTTTCAATGGTTGTGAAATTATTATCCCGTCCAATAGGACCAAGAATTGCCAGAGTGAGAAAATATATATCGGCATGATATCAGCGTTGCCAGAATGTGTACCAAAAGCTTTGCAGATTTAAAAATAAAAAACACTAAAAACATTTTTAAGCATAATCAAAGTAAATTAAGGCTGCATTTATCTACAACACACATTTTACACTTTGTAAAAACCATTATATATATTTTGCATGGAACGTTGATATATATGCCTTTATAATTAAAAGAAACAAACAATTTAAAAAGGTTTAATAAAGTTAAAAAAGGCCAGAAAAAATGTTCATGGCCAACTTGCCTTAAATTTAAAATTTTTTGAAATTATTATTAGACTTAAAAATATATCGATAAGACAGTATAGCCAATTTATTTCTCGGCGGGGCTGCCAGATACACAATCCTAGAGCGGCGTTGCCCTCCACGATATCGATGCCAGTACTCGATACTTTTTGTTGTAGTTGTACATTTTTCGCCAAAAATAATAATAAAAGTGAAAAATTTTTTTTGTTAATATACGTTTTTTTGTTGTACAAAGGAGAAAATGTTACTAAACTGATTGGCCGCCCTAGCATTTTCGTCACCCCCGCTCCAAACACCAAATAATAAACGGCCGCCAGAAACAACAAGGTGCAATAAATATTCAGTGCGCTGGTAAGAAAGATGGAAACAAAACGAGAGACCGAAAAAGCAATCAAAATAGAATTCCGAATTTAGAATATGACAGACTGAAAAAAATTTTCAATTCGAACGCATTGCCGCTGCTGCTGCTTGTTCTTCTTCTTCCACAGCCGCTGTGGGGGGACATTGGGGGTCAAATGCAGAAGATCGGGGCGAAGATTTCGTGAATTTGTGATTTCCGATTTCGTTTTTGCTAATTTGCGATTGCCCAGACCAAAGACACACTCGAAAACACACCGAACACATACACATACGCCCACACCAACAAAAACATCCGCTTTTGGCCGCCTGTAATTATGGTTTTTATTACTCCTGCAGCGCCTTTCGCCTTCTTTAACCGCCAATTGCTCCTGCTCCTGCCCACTAACCAAAAAGATACAAATAAAAAGAAGCGATAACTCAGCCACCAGAGGAAGTGAAATGATAAAGTCCACCACGAATCCACAGGAACAGCGTCTGCCACGCCCCGAGGATCAGCCGCCACCGCCGCCTCCCCCTTCCTCCACCTCCACCGCCGCCCCTGCCACGCCCACGCACCAAGTGGCCACCGTGATAGCGAACATGGACACACTGAAGACCACCTTTCTGCCTAATCTCAGCATGGATCCTAATGTGCACGTCCCGGCGCACTATTGTCCCATGTGCCACCAGCAGTTTGAGCGGCCGCAACACGTTGCGGAACACATGCAGCTGTGCCACGGCGTCACCCTGAATGCCCAAGGTGCCATTACCGCGCTGGAAGGACATCCGCAGGCACAACAACACCTCAAGCCCAGTCACCCCTGCTTCAATTGTGATGAAAAGTTCGGCAATGCCGTCGATCTGGATGAACACCATCGGTTGGCCCATCAGACTTCCGCCTTCCTGGCCCGGTGTCTCATGTGCAGCATCTACGGCATCCACTCGGCAACCCAACAGCCCAATGAGTACAAGTGCACGCAATGCGGTTCCATCTGCACCACAGCTATGCTGGCCGCTGGTCAGCCGAGCTTCATGGAACAGCAGGAGGCGGCGGTGACGCCCGACGACCAGTTGCCGGCGATGGCGCCCCGTGATATGAGACTGACGCCCGAGGAGCAGCACCACCAGCAGCAATTACAGGCGGGGCACCACCACCAACAGCAACAACAGCAACAGCAACAGGAACTGCTGGGGCAGCAGCAACGAGAGATACAGGAGCAGGCGCAACAGCAGCAGGTGCACCATCATCAACAGGATCAGGATCTCACCGCCGACCAGGTGGCGTTGAAGGTGCCACCGCTCACCGTTAAACTGAATAAGAACGCCAATGGTGCTGCTATTGTGGCCCATCCGCAGGTCATCATTAAGGAGGAACCTCTCAGCCTAAGCGATAGTGGCGATGTTGTCAACTCAGTGCCCGTCTATGCCATACAAGCGAATCCAGGTGCTCCCGCCCCGGCCAGTTCTGGTGTGCTCGTCGGCACGCAAACAGTGGCCGCCGATTTGGCGCATAAAATACGACACAAATGTCCGGACTGTCCGAAGACCTTCAAGACGCCCGGAACGCTGGCCATGCACCGCAAGATCCATTCAGGCGAAGCAGAGTAAATCCATTTTATATGCATCCTAAAAACTGGGTATTCCGGCAATGATATTCTTCATAAAATTCAATGCGATATTTAGACTGTGTTGAAATACCTTTATGATCTATTAGATATTTAAATATGTAGATTGCATATCTTCAAAATTTTAAATTTATAATCAAATTCTTTAAATTTAACTTGTTATTTATATTTTATAAAAGTAAACCAATTATTCCTGTAAAATCTTATAACCTTACCTAGTATTTCCACATTGATTGATAGTTGCCGGAATATCCATTAATCATTCTGAGGCCTTTCCCTGCTTCAGCTCTAAGAGAACCATGGTTTATTTGTGGGTTTCTCTTCGGGTATGAGGCGGCGTGATCGCCAAAGCTAACCCTAATAATCTTACCACTTGTATATATATTATTTTTGTTTTCCTTCGGGCCAGCTGGGCGCATGGGCGCGCCCTCGATGCTTTTGGGACGTGGCCCATGCGTTCGTGTGTCGTTTGTTTTGCAACTTATTTTTAAATCGAGTGTTACTAATAATATAATTCGAATTTCTTTCTTTTCTTCCGCGCCCTCTCTTTCTCTCTCTATCTTTCTCTTCTCCGTTTCTGCGCGTTAATTTGTGAATATGAATATGTATAATTCTTAACTCTGAATCTCCACTCTCCGAATCGCAACTCCGACAGCGCCACGCCCAAAGAACGCCCCTACACGTGCTCCTACTGCGGCAAGTCCTTCACTCAATCGAATACACTAAAACAGCACACTCGCATACATACAGGTGAGAAACCATTTAGATGTGGCTATTGTGGCAGGGCGTTCACTGTTAAGGATTACCTGAACAAACATTTAACGACTCACACGGGTGAGAAGCAATATTTTTCAAATCAATTCAGTCAGTCAATCAGCTCTCAATCAACTCAACCAATCAATCGACTCTTCAGCCAATCAATCGATCAGTATTTTATCACCTAAGCGTGATGAGAAAAAAAAGCAATACTCAAAAAAGAGAAACCTCTGTATGCAAGACCATTACCATTTGCCATACACAATTTCGCTCAATCAATCAATCTCAATCAGTACCAATTATCAATCTCTCACCTCTGCCAGCGACGCAGCCGAAGCTCGATATCCTGACACGAGCCGCCGCAGCGCCGGCGCAGAAAAGCACGCAGAAAAAGGCGGCAAAAATTTTCAAACCCAATAGCCATAATCAGGATCTGGTTTAAATGTCACTTGCTAAGATCCATTTTCTTGAAATTAAGACCTAAGAACTAGCAAATATGACTAGAGCATCATTTTTTAAGGCTGCTTGTAAATGAGGAATCAGCTAAAAATCAGATTTCACTATTAAATTTACTGTAAGGAAGTAATATTTATTAAAGTTCAGCCAAATATATCTTTATATTTCAATAACTTATTGTAGCTTGTGGATTTACTATAAATAAACATCAAACCGTTTCGATTAAGGCTGCTTCGTATAAAAAGCTTTTCAATTCGATTGATTATTATAGATTCGAATGAAGTCTAGTTTTAGATTGTGATAACGTAATTTTTGCATTTCCAGTAAGTGACATTCAGGGCCTTGAGTTTTTGCCATCTTCTCTGATTAGCAACCAATAACGAATCGTATGAGTCACTGTTTACATACCCTCACAGAAATAAATATCAAAAACCGCAACTATTATTCATTTTGCCAGCTTTCTGTGAGGGTACCAAAGCAATATGATAATCCAAATCCGTATCGCCCTCCGCCTCATCTCATTACGTAATATGTCTCGAATGCATTTTAACAACACCAACCAAATATATATACACATTTAATATATAATCTATATATATAGTTTGATTACGTGCAAACCTTTTTTGATATGCATACATATCTATTGTACCCACACATCAACCACTCAGTCAATCAATCAATCAAATCAAATCAATCAAAACTTTTGGTACTGCACGCACCAAGCAAACTGGCTTTGTGCTAGCGACAAATGCTAACCGAGTATCCCAACTTTCTCCGTTTTGCCAATTATTTTTGGCTGTTTTGCAGGTGAGAAGCCGTTTCATTGCGGGTACTGCGAGAAGTCCTTCAGCGTGAAGGACTACCTAACCAAGCACATACGGACGCACACTGGTGAGAAGCCTTACACCTGTCCGTACTGTGACAAGCGCTTCACGCAACGCAGCGCCCTAACGGTGCATACGACCAAGCTGCATCCACTCTAGGGCAGGCCGGGCGGTGGCCGCCAGATAGTCGTTCCTGACCCAACCGCTCCTCCAACATCTGCTGATGCGCATCCGACGTCTGGCGATTCGGATTCCGGATCCAAAGAAGCCATCTGCAGCGGCAGCGGCATCAGCATAGATGGAAAGAGGGCGATGGTGCGCCAGCGGAAACGGAAGCGGAAACGGGATGAGCAACCCATAATGAAAGACCTTTTCAAAGACGAGACACACTCACACACAAAAACACACATACACGGGAGTTAACTGAAGCGGATGCAACGCAACCAACGACTGGCAAATCTCTTCACAGTGCTGCTAGATTAAATTACTAAAATTAGATACTTTCTTTCGGTTAACATATACAAACAGAAAACAAAATTGTACTAAATTAGCGTACAGTTCGTAGAATGTTTAAGTTATTGCAATCGATTTTTGATCTTTATTATTACTCTTTGGTTATGTAGATGTTTTGCAATTTTATTTTTATACACCTATTGTATATCGTATATAATATTTTGTTATTCTATGAGATTTTATATGGTGACTCCTTAGCGCACACTCACTTACGCGCGGCGCTATACCCACAAAAACAACACGAAACACACCACACATAAACACACACATCTATTATTTATAAAGAGAGAAAATATTTTTTACTCATATACTTTGTGGCAATATTATTTTTACTACTTCCTAAAACTTGTTTGTAAATGTTATCTAAAAAAGAAAAAAACAGCAAAACAAAGAAAGGTAAAACTCATGTCTACGCGCAAAACTTAAATTATTTCTTAAATTATAAACTTATTTTATTTGAACTCAAAACAACACAAAATTATTTATTTTAATTGAAAAGATTTCTTTTTCAAAATTTCAACTCGTAGTGGAAATGGCGAAGAAGCAAGACGATATTTTAGTCATTTCTGAATTATTTGCACACGAGCAGGATCTCGTTTGTTTTGGCTTTAAAAATTTATTTACTTTTAATTAACTAAATGATTTAATCATTTTAGCTTGTTTTTATTGAGGAATGTTAACCATTGTTTATATTTTAAATTATTTAAGTTGAAAGCGCTGCTTTTGTTTGTTAAACGCTAAACTTAACAGTGAGATTGTATAAAACTAAACAAAACAAAAAGGCATAACTAAGAAAAAATAATTTTACAAAATTTGCATTTTTTAACGCAAGACAAAAAGTATTTAAGGCAAAATCGAAATGAGAAATCTACGCTAAACGCAACACAGCTTTATGCGCCAAACTAGAAGATTAAAAAAAAAAATTAACATAACGATCTATATAATTGATACTTTTGATATAAAACAAAGCTTATAGTTGTTTTTGTAATATATATAAATATGGATTGATCATTTTTTTACAACTACTTAAAGTCGTTTTTTAAAACCAACAAATGATCACTTGCAAGAGTTGTATGTACGTACTAAAACCAACTAAAACTTAAAACTAAAACTGTAGCAAAACCAAAACCATGTACATTTTTATAACATAGTGTTATATAATTATAAAGTATACAAATATATAAACCTGTATCTAATATTAATGCATAATACACTCAAACAAATTGTCTACCTAATGGCACATAGCACAGCAACAAACGATGCGCAGCGCATGTAAAACCAAAATAAATTCTAAGTACTAAACTATTGTAATTCTTTAAGTTTTAAATAAACCGAGATGAGTTGACGATCAAAAGTAAAACAGCAAACAGTAAAATCCAAGCTTAACTAACCGCAACTAAAAACGAAAAAGTAAAAAACAAATTAACTCTGCTGTAAGTGATTACCAATGAATGAATGGCAGCGGCATCACGAAACTAATCATGTTAAATACGATACGTACTAATTACCGACTAACTATTAGATCTTAGCCACGAATCCAAAAATAAAAACGAAGCCAGACAACAACAACAACAACAGACAAACACACAAACACGAAATGTAAGCAAGTGAGTAAATAGAAATTAAATTGTAATTAAAATTTATTATTATTAAATAGATATTACGAATATAAATGTATGTACTTGCAATCTAAATTTACGTGACAAAATCTAGAAAATATTCGAGCAATATTTCAATTAAAAATATATATAAAAAGGAACTATATATAAAAAATAAAGTCCAACCATGTAGAAAGATTATATATGAAAAATGAAAAGGGTCTTTTTTGGAAGAGATTATGTTTTGGCATTAGATTTATCCATCAACCCCATTAAAGTTGTGCACAGTTTTTTTTTATTTTGATCATTTAGTTTAGTTTATTTAGTTTTTGTTTTCTCTTTTAATTACAATGAACGAATATTATGAACACTATCACACTTTCAAAATGTATTCTGTTTATTTTCCAATCGTTTTTTGTAGTTTCATTTGCGCTGAGCCACTAATTTAGTTTGCCTCTCGTTTGTTTTCCTTTTTGGTTTTATTGTAATGCTGATTACACTCATATATATGTATATATATATTTATATATAATATAAGTTAGTTATATGTTTATGTATATGCCATAAATATTTTTTTATACACACACTTTTGATCAAACGCAACCAAAAGTTGGTTTTTACTTTTTTTTTTCTATAATTATCATTCTGGGTTTCGCTTTTTTGTTTTTTTTTTTTTGTTTTTTTTAAATGCTCAATTTGTTGCATGCATGCTGTAAGATTACCTAATTTAACCATTTGCCATGTTTTACTTGCTATATATTTTTCATAGTGTATATAGATATACTTTTTATAACCCTTATAAATGCCCATGTAACTGTACTATATGTTTTCTATGGACTTGTTTTCCCCCTTTTTGCTTTTTTTTTCTTTTCTAATAACGATCGCCTCCAAAAATTTATTGCTGCGTACATTTGAAATGTTTTCACTTTGTGTTTTCCAATACTCTAACACGATCTTTTTTTTTAAATATTTTTTCTTGAGGATAACGAAGTAAAGATGCTCTGGTTTGGGATCTGAAAAATTTCGGAGGAGATCAGCTAGTTGTGTGATAATACTTGAGTTATAATTTGTTCGGCTAATGTAAAAAAAAAAAGTACTTAAGCCTCTATTAAGCATTTTCCTATGATTTTCACTCTCGATCGGGAACTCTGTGTCTTGAAAATGTAACAATTTGCATTCCTTTCTGCACTTCCTCATCGTACATTGTGTATTTACAAAAAGTTTTTCCCTTTCAGTGGTTTTTTCTTTGGATGGTAATGAGTGGGAGTTACAAGTATACAATATATAATACAAATATATTTTAGTTGGTAAGATTAGTAAGACGTAAACGACGTACGATAGTTATGAGGGAATTACTAGTTTTAATGCCTATAAGCTCAAATTTACAACTGATTATTCATGATTTCGCTGCGTTTCCACTCTTTCAATAATCTCTAGCAGTTCTAGAGATTTAGTAGATAGTGTTTTGGGTTGGATTTGAAAACAATAGGCAAATAAGTCGAGTGTTAGTAACTATCAAGGAACTTAGTTAGGTAAACCGAAAAGTCGTGTATTAGGAATAGGTGTGTTATTTTTTATTAATGTTTGTGGCTTTTGTTTATACAGTTTGTTCGTTACCTAGACAGGTGGGCTCTGTTTTACCGCTCTACCGTTCGTACAACTTTGATCTATCCTAATATCGAAATCAATCGAACTCAAGACTGAGAGAGAAAAACAACAAAGTAAAATCGTCTAAAAATTTATCAAAATTTTATAAAACTTGATTCTGCTTTCAAGGTTGTTTTTGTTTTTTACTTTACTCGTTTCATTCAAAATAAAGTAGTGTTTGTTATTGTTTGTGTTTTGTGTCTTTGCATCTTGTTTTTCATATGATTTCTGCTTTTTTTCTTTCTTCGCGAAATTAAAGTAATTCCTTTATTGTTTGTGTTGTTGCGCTATATAATAACTATTTCTCACATACATATACATATTATCTACATATACCAACATGTATCGTACCGTTTAATACTTATATACAAATCTCTCTGTGTTCGCTGGATTATCGGTTTAGTTTATCCTTGATGATCCTGCGATATGATCTCCTTAGTTTGGGGTTTCTTACTTTGAGTGCGAGACAACGGAGTGTGAGACCATCGAGTGGGAGAGCATTGAGTGAGATACACCGGATATTTCCGCATAGGTATCCGTGGGTCCTTCGGCACTGCAAACCGAATCCTCAGGCGTTCGGGAAGGTTCTGCCTCGGTAATCTCAATATCCTGATGATGCTTGTTGCTGCGGTGTTTGGCACTTAGAGCCTGTGGATTTTTTAGATATTTTAGTATGGAACTATATCTACTCGGGATCTGTAATATTTCTTGGTTTCGTGTGCAATCTGTTTTGGATTAGACATGAAGTGCTATCTATGGACGGACACATGCACACACGCAGACACACAAATTGGTTTTGGGGTTTATCGGGGGGGGGCTTGGGTCTAACTTTATATAGACAAACGTGCGAGAAGTTCTTTTAGTTTCGTTTAAAGGAATTTAGTTTACAGTCACAACACAGATATTTTATGGTTTTAGGTTTTTTAGGGTTATTCTAGAAAGCGGCCGTCGGTTCTTACCTTATCCTTGCTGCCCTTTTTCTACATTGAACATTTGGTGGTTAATGTTTTGTTTGGTTTGGTTGTGGTGGGTTTCGAATATATTGTACATAGTCATGACAAGAACAATGATATTTATAGATGTATATTAATATTAGTGGCAAACAATACTGAGAGTTCACATTGGAGGATCAATAGAAATAGAGAGTCAGAGAGACGGGTATAGAGAGACTTTGGGGAGAGAAAGATCTAGGGAGCTCGGGATGGGCAGCATAAGGTTTGGTTTCGGTTGTTGAAGAGTAACAGCACTGAATCCTAACAGCCCGATACCCCAATTGGCCTCGGTGATGTCATGTACAGTGAGCACTATGGCTGGTGGACTACACAAAGGATTTGGTGACACCGACTCACCTGCAGGGAGAAGCGACGGTGACCCGCCTTGCGTCCGCCACGTCGCTTGCTGATGTGCGGATTATCCTGCCTCAGAGTCTTGTTCTTCATTATCTCCAGTTGGGTGTACAGTCTGGAAGAGTTTCAAGCATCATATTAATGGAAAGAATTTGGAAAACCCATGAAGATCTATCTATTAGTAAAACCTTTGAATTATGATAATTCTTTAACATTCTAACTAATAACAATCCGCAAGGTTTGAAGAAGTTATAATAATAAAAAGGGCTATCATTCCGTACCTTTTGAGTTCTGCGCGAATGTCCTCGGGACTCATTTCGGATATGGTCAGCTCACCGATGTCCGGGTCGCCCAGACAGAGACCGGCATATCCACCGCCCAGCCGCTGGCCGGCGTCGTGTGACGTACCCTTGAAAGCATCCACAGGTAAACGTATTGATAGATCATACGCTAGCGAACGAACCTGCAAGCTATGAAGATGCAACAAACACCGCAAACCACACTCAGGAAGTCAAACGGAAAATGTAGAAAGGAAACGGAAATGGAAACGGAACTCAAGGTAAGAGAGAGCGAAAACCGAAAAGAAAAGATCTGTGCTGAAGAGTATGTTTTCGTTATGTATAAAGTATGTGGGTGTTGTGGGTGCCTATTGGTTGTGATTGTTTCTGTTGTGGTGCTGGAAATGAATAAAATAAAAAGAAATAAATTATAAAATAACTCAAAAGTTAAAAAAAAGATGGACGTTAGCTATAAGAAGGCTACTTAGATAGAGAATTTCAGTTAAAGATTATTCGGTTGAGAGACACAAAGACAGAGAAAGTTACAGTGAGAGGCAGTATTTGAGAAAGACTAGTTTAGTTTTTTTGGAATTTTTTCTGGTATGCATATTGGGAATTTTGATAGGAAACCGATTTTTGTCATTAGTTTATAGTTTGGTTTTGTGTTCTTGGAAAAATCATGCAAAAATCAACGCTTAAACATGCAAATCAAAGAGCGTGCTTAGTTAAGTTGAAGTTTAAGTGCAATAAGTTCAAGCAGAAAATAATAAGAGCTAAAAAATGTCAAAACATTCTGACACAAAAACGAGACACACTTGCAGCAACTTCATAGCTTGGCTAAAGTTTCAATTCAATGTTAGCTTAATACTAAAATTATGTTAATTTTCTCAATGAAACCAGAACAGAAACTGAAAATAACCATAACAAAAATGAAAATAATCAATTGTTTTAGCAAAAGCAACAAAGCTTTCGATTTGTGGGTTTCCCCTTCTATTTTTATTTATTTTTTAAATTTTTTTTCTTGTGGTGGCTAGTTATTTTATTAACAAAAATCGTTTCCTCAACCAATGTCAATACCAAATACGGATCTCGATGACTATAATGACGACCACGTCAGCGGCAGACAGCACAAAGTGAACGGGGATGGATACTCTAAGCAAATATATATAATCGATGCCCAACTAGGACGGAACAGTTCCTAATTAAATCTCAATATGTATATCGAACACAAAAGCCGTACTCAAACCAAGAAAACCGAAAGGAAAATAAGTAAATTAAAATGCTTCGAACTCATGTCGGTTACCTGCTTGTGCTGATACCACAACTTTGGGACAAATATCAGACCCAAGGCGAAGCTGTTCGTCAGCTGGGAGCGTACAAACAGGGCCAGCAAAATGGCGCTGGGACTCATTTCCGGCAGGTAGACAAAGCGCAGAAAATAGAAGCTAGACGAGACCAAGAACTCCAGCGTCAAGGCGGTCACCAGAAATTGTCGTTCCTTTTGGAGGGGAAACAAAAAAGAAAATTGCAAAGTTAATTCAGTTGACCCGATTGCCATTTGCTTGCACAATGCCACTTAAGTACAGTTAATTGTCTGATTTTCCTTTTTAAAAATTAACTATGGGCCACATATGTATCGAGGTCGAAATATGCATGTCAAGTTACGTAAAAAAGGTTTCCCTTAGTCCCTGAACCAAACCCCTTCTGATACTTATGGAATTATGTCCTTTCTTTCAAGGTGCCCTTCATCACAAAACTTGAACTCTTTGTATAATTCCTTACCCTGAACTGAGTATTGGCATTCCGGCTGGCAATGGCCAAATGCAGGCCGAAGCACAGGATGAGCATTTCGCTGGTCTGCGTGACCAGTTCCCATTTGAGCGGATGGCAGGTGTTCGTGTCCGCCTCCCTGAGACTCTCCAGCTGGGCACTTTCCAGAAGATCCAGCGACGAGGCCGTAAAAGCGGCCATATAGCAGATGACAGCGAAGACCATAGTGCCCAGATACTTGAGCAGATCCACATCCCTCAGCACCCAACGATGGGCCTTGCGGGTGCGGAAGTCCACCAAATGACGATATAACTTTAGGATGATGGCTCCATAGCAGGTGATGAAGCCCAGCTCACGGAGCCATGGTTCCAGGAGACAGCGCTCGGTGGAGGCGGGAAAGAAATGGACGGCAACCTGTAAGGGAATATGTTAGTAAGCAATCTAGTTAGAAGGACTAACTCAAGGAACACTCACAGATGCATAAAGTAAAACAATGCCCAGCAGTATCGTCTCCAGCACAGTCCACATGCCTGAGGCAATGGCCTAAAAATATCAAGACGATTAGTTTGCTTTTTCAAAAGGATTAAAAAACTGTAAGACTGAAATATGATAGCCTTTTATTTACTAACTGCTTACCTTGCACTTTCTCTGCCGGAAGACAATAACGCCGAGGACGACACAGCACAGGATGCAGGCACCCAGAACGATGGCCACCAGGAGGCGCAGGCAGGCGTCCACATTTAGTACCTCCTCCTCCTGGAAGGTGAGGCAGACGCCGTTGTTATCGCAGTTCGAACATCCTCCAGGGCATGGTATACAGGAGTAGTTGTCATAGCCCTCGGATAGCTCCACTCGATCGCCACGGAATCCCTGGAGCGTGGAGTTGGGCAGGTAATAGGATTCACGGCAAAGACATGTGTAAACATCCCTAGTGGCGGCGGGCTTATTCTCAGTGAGCAGGCAGAAAGTCGTATTCCGATCGCAACTAAAATGATATAGATTTATGTAATTTTAGCAGCTTTAATCATGATGAAGTTTGGCTAATAACTCACCCATGACGACGACCGAAAACTTCTTCCAGACCATCGTTGCACACATCCTCATCGGCGGCAATAAACGCAGCCGCCACAACTCTGAAAATGTTTACCATAAATTACAAGTTATGCCATCCAGCTATATATATATATCGATTCCACTCACTTGATCCTGTGTTCGCTGAAGGATATACGAAATGGCCAGAGCCAGCGTCGTGTCAACAGGTTGCAGTCGCGGAATGGTGCCCCCCATTCCTGTGTGCCATCCGTGCTATTCCAGGCCGCACTGTAAGCGAGAAAAACAAAACATTTATGGGCAACTTTCCAAGACAATACGGCTTATGCATATGAGTATTGTGTGCTTAAGTGGACTATTTAAATTAAGCGATGGATATCTTTTAAGTGAGCTCAACAGCTTATTGAAATAAATTGGCAATTAAAGTTTATGAGCCTTAAATTTGATTTCGAAAATGTTAGGATGGGTTAACTATTAGTGCTATTACTAATTAAATTTATTTGGCTATGTAATTATTTAAGTGCCTTTGTGTCAAAGAATGAACATTAATTAAGGGATTAAAAGGTTTTTGATTATAATGTACAGTGTTAGATTTTAATTTATATATATTTTGAGTTACGTAAATTAAGCTCACTTTGTATTATTTTGGTATTAAAAACTCTACAAAGGACTTTTCAGATATATAAAAGCATACTTTTTAGCGCATCCCTGAAAATTATGAGTACAAAACTAAACTAACCAACCAATCAACTTACCCCAACTCCCTCCAATAGGAACCCAAATACGCCTTATTGTGCACCTGATCCGGTGGTATCTGAAATAAGTTTACTCGATTAACTTGAAACCATTATTGCTGATTAGCGAGTGCATACCGTAACGTTATCCCTGAATTTAACGACCACTGTGTGAATGCTTGGTGCGGCAATGGCGAAGGCCAGGAGATTGTCGTCCTCGTTGAGGGCATAACTGGCGATTCCATTGGCCCTCCGACTTACCTCCTCACGCGTTGGCTCATCGATGGTAATCGGTGTGTTGGCATTTGGGAATTTACTCGATAAAAATTCAATAAACTGGCGTGCAGCATCCTCAGCGATGTCTGTGTAGTCGTAAAACTGCAAAATTCATAAAAACAGATCACAATTAATTTCTGAGAAACCATAAAATATTAATATGAAATGGTATTGTAGCTTCTGGATAACAACAAGAAATTTATAAGTGTTGATTTATTATTTATAATTGAATCTTTATTATACCAAAAATCAATCAAAAAGGCTTAAAAACTAAAAATATAATGCAATAAAACATCAAGAAAGACTTAAACTAACAATCAAGATTCCTACTATAACCTACCACATTTATTGCCAGTTAAAATATTAGAAAAGAAGATCTTAAATAAGTAATTTAAATGACTTCTGAGCCCACAGATATCGTGTGATTTGTGAATGAGAATTTGGCTTTGCGAAAAATTAAGTATACGCATCGGCTGCCCAGTGATTTACATGGACATTTCCCTTGACTTGGGACCATTAATTATTCACCTGGCGCACAGGACACGTTTCACACGACGAACACCTTCTGGCCAAGGAGTGCAAAAAGTTTTTGTTTCAACTGGGAAATAATAGGATTTAATGCCGTCCCACCAGGCCCTGTGGAACTGCAGAAATGTTTTCAACCCAAGTTTGTTCAGCTCTTAACCGACCAAATGTTTGTACATAATTTACACGTTACAAGAAGCTCTCGAGATCTACGCACCAAAAACTGAAGGGAACAACGGGGTGGGGTTAGCTTTGATGACATCATTATGGCTTTGGGAAACAAAAGTAACCACAGGAAGAACCGAAAAAGAGAGAAAGGGAAGCCAGCGGGGGCAAGGACATGTTGTCTGCGGGTGAGTCATGTAGTTGGGCCAGCACCTTTTGGCTTTTAAAACAAATATTTCCCATTAGCAGGGCTCTCGTTGATGAGCGACCACATTGCGTATACGCTACCGAAGCCCCCAAATAAATTGCCAACAAGCAACAGCAATATACAAATGTTTGTGGATGTTGGTTTTTGTTTCGTTTTTTTTGCATATGTGTATGCAAATCTACCGCCCAAATGAACATATCGAGGTAAAAGCAATCAGTGTAAGGTTGCTGGGAAAATGGCACGGTAGCTGGCCCGACCTACTCCAAGATAAAGCTATGATGGAGTGTTCTAAACACTCGTACGAGTATATATGCCGTGTGGCAATAATCATAAACCTTTGGGATACTCGTACTGATAGGGGTAAGAGTTGGAGTATATATGGGTTCTATTGGTAAGTTTGGTATGTAAGTTTTGGGGCTCTCTCTCAGATCGAATAAGTTCTTGAATCTGTACCCTCTAGTAAGAAAAGACTATTTCCCAAACAAAATATTAAATAAAATATTAGTTCAGAATTTCTTAAGCAACGAACCTCCCAAGGAGAGAGAAATCTTTATTTTCATCGAATCCTTTTACAAAATGACTACCATTCCAAACATACCCTGCCATTCACGCCCTTTTTCAGGGTATAAATGTATGTGGAAAACACTTGTAAATAGCGGCAGCAGCCACAAAACACACACCGAGTGTGTGCAATAAAACATGCATACTTATGCAAACATGGCCGAAACAAATGTGTGCGTGTGTGTATGAGTGTATTTGAGCAACTATGCCAAGAGTCTGGCCCAAACACACACACACATACAGAATCCTGACTGGCAAATGAAATCAGTAAGGCGCGTTTTACTGGCTTTTTAATGTCCATTTCCCGCCTTTTCCCCGCATTTCCATCTGCATTTTCCGGCATCGGCATGTACAAAATTCCTACTTATGACCATAAAAATATTTACATGGCGTAACTGTATGCTTCCTCATTGTCATTTGCATGTTTTTCCTTTTATTTTCTATGCTCTGCGCTTAATGAATAAAATATGTCAGCCAGTGTTTTCCTTTTCTTTGGTTTTCCCCTCTGTTTTCTTTTTTCTGTTCCCGTCTTTTGGCTCAACTGCTGTTGACACTCGGCAAATCCAGGACGCACACTCATCCTCCCCGTCGATTACTGACAGGCTTCACTGTACTCTTGCATTCATTACATTATTCAGGACGACAAGGCGAATGACATAAGCTGATTGCTATGGAAGCTCGAAGTTGCGTTCGTGTGTTTGCCTGTGTGTGTGTGTGTCTCTCTACTTTACTTATCGGATTAACATAAATGATTCCGTTGAGTGGCAATGGTTTTTAAATTTATATCTCTATAAATAATAAACGCGGAACTGGCAAGCTTTAAAATTAAACAAATTAGTTGGCAAACTTAATCGGAGGAGTGGAAAACAGAAAGAGTGGCAATTAATCCGTATGAGCATATACTAATTGGGCAGCAATTAAAGTTTTACTAATTGGTAACTTTTTTCGTTGTTTAAATATTATAATGAGATTCAGGGTATTAAATTGCCCAGCTCATGCTGAATTTCGTTATTAAATCTGAAACTCAAACAGCAGCTGCCCCAAGACCTATTTTAAATTGTGTATTAAATTACTTTTAGAAAAGTTTTAGTGGCTGATTAGGTTGAGATTAATGAATGTTTTGTATTAAGTAATATAAGTAGTAGTTCCTTTTAAAGTTCTATTGAAACATTTAAAAATGATTTATTTTAAATTGATTATTTTCCCTTTAAGCTCTCTTAAAGTAGAATAAATTTCCCTTCAAATCAGCAATATGCGTGTCTAGCATCGCCAGCGGAATATAATATCCAAAACAATTATTAATAACTTTGCAGCTTCAACATTGTTAGCAAAACAACACGCACACGTAGATGGGAAAAAAGCAACAGAAAGAGATAGGGGAGAGTGAAAAAGACAGGGAGACATACTCACACCGCAGGCGACAACAGCAACAGCAGCAACATGAGCAGCAGCAGCAACAGGAGCAACAATAATCCTTGACAGGCATTCGACAAGGCGCTCCAAGTTGACCGCAGGGCACAGGAGCGAGACAGGGACCACTATAAGCCAGAGAGGGACAGCCAATGGGTAGGATAATGCCCAGGCTGGCAGCTGTCAGCCGATGTTGATGTTGCTTTTGCTGTTGCTGTTGCTGTTAGCATTGCTATGAACCACATTTATTTATTGTTTCATCTGGCCAGACTCGAGATTCATATCGCTCTGAGGATGCTACACATTTTTATCTACATTTTTTATTTTTTTTGGTCTGCCCTCAGCGTTATTGTTTGCCTTCTAATTACACAAAAGGTCCCGATTGCGTCAGAGGAAACTTAGTCGGGTAATCGATTCGTGCACGTCATGTATTGGACTCTGTTTACACCGCCGACTCATTGAATATTTATACTCGATTCGCTTAGCTGACTAAAAATAGCATCCCAAGGAACTGACAGACTGGCAGACAGTGCGAGAAAATCCCGCTGACTAGGACTGGTTTAAGGTCCTTGGCTGCAATTGTCATGCAAATTCAATTAAAATATTGTGATGTGCACACGAAAAGAAATTGGAAGTTTTTTAAATTCAATTTGTTTTAGGGTTGGGAGATTTATAAAGATGTGGAAAAGGGCTACACAGAGAAAAGATGGATGTATTTTGATTTATCATCATCATTATATTTTTATAAATAAAATTATAACTTAAAATCTTAAATCATAAACTTTTTCCCAGTGCCTTCAGGATGCCACGGTGTATGCTCTACTCACTTCATTAGCATCTCTTAATTAACTTGTACAAGAGGAGGCTTCATAAAGTAAAGGAACTAGACAAGGGAATGAAGGGAGGCATCACACATGAACTGCTGTCAAGACAGGCCGCAACTCTTTCCAAAATCCCGCGGTTTCTGTGTAATACACCGCCCTCAAACAAAAAAAAAAAAAAAAAAAAAGAAAAAGAAGAGGAAAAACTTTTCTTCCACATCTACTTGCGTCAGCCATGTCGTATGCGTAATATTTTTACGACAATCAACAAGGTGAGGGGGAGGTGAAACAACGAGAAAGGAGCACAGATTTGCGCAGAGATTTGTGTCAGCAGGAAAGAGCCGAGCATACCGAAAATGGAGGAGCAACCAGAACACATTATATGGGTTGCTATCTCAGCAATTTTATTGATTATTCGCCAGTGCCGCGTTGGCAATTTCGTAAATTGTCGTTAATTGTCTCTACCTTGGATCGATGCGGTGTGTGTGCAAGCTGCACTCGTTCTCACAAATGTCCGTCAAAAGTTATGAAGGCAACCGGAAGGTGAATCCTATCTCTGCCCCTCTCTCTCTCTCTTATGGCAATCCTTTGAATTTACGTTTGCATTTCTTTGATTGCTTGAAAAGTTGAGGCACTAAATTGTACGTTTGCTTATTGCTGCTCCTGGCTGGAATTGCTTTTGATCTAAGTAGTTCTCGTGACTAAGTGCAAAGCTGAAACTTTCACCCGTCCTCTTATGCAGCTAAATTATAAGGTGGCATACTGTAGCTGTAGTTGCAAAGTTAAACAAAATGTGTACACTTTTCGAACTACAAGCACCATCGGTGGACTCAATTGAAGAAGTTTTGTCTTAGCGTTGAGAAATTCTTAATTTACTTTGGGTGTGAGAAGGAACTCTTGATTGTATTATATTAGTAATTAAAAGTTGATTATGTTTATTAAAAAGTACTTAGGAGGTTTCATTTTACACCAAATGTGATGGATTTATCATAAAATTGTAAAAGCGTTTAAAAACTGATAAACATTTGACTCAAAATTCTATATAAAGTCGAAAGATTGTATCTATCTCTGTAAAATTTGGTTAATTTATAAATTATAGATAGTTGCAAAAAAGATACAAACATAAAATATATATCAAGTGTGGCAACTTACCGGCTCATCTGGCTGCGTTTCCAGAACTTTTGGCTCGCACTTCTCTTCCGGTTTCTTGCTGTTGGCTGTCGCCTCCTTCGATGATGTGGCTGCTGCTGCTGGAGTTGCAACATCAGCTGACGATGTTGCCGCTGTTGCAGCTGCGACAGTTGCTGGCGTTGTAGGCGTGGCACTGCGCTTACGCAAACGAAAACGCTCCGCCCGACTTAGGACAGACACGCTGCTGACGGTGGGCGTTAGCTCGTCAAAGTCAAGGACATTGGCATCGTGATGCAGGTGATACTCATGCTCGTGCCCCGAAGAAATGGCGCCACTCTGCTGCAAATGGGCGCGTTTATAGTAGGCCAAAAGAGCATCCCTCCTGGTCTCGCGGAAAAAGTGAGTGGAGGAGGGATCTGGGAGGCTGGGTTGGGCAATAACTGTGGCAAGGCCGACTATCAAAAGCACCAGCAGCGAATAGAGCGTGTTTAATTGTATGCTTCTACTGGGCTTTCTAATGTTTTTACTACTTTTGATGTTGATGTTGCAGCTGCTGCTGATGGTGATGCTGCTGCTGCTGTTGTTATTGTTAAAATTTGATGATGACGATGTTGCTGTTGCACTATTTGTTCGTTGGTTTTGTTGCTGCTTTGTCAGGTGGTCTCGATCTCTGTGGCTGCTGCAATTGTTTTGCTGAGTGCTCTGTACTTGAGTGTTTGTTTGATTTTGGTGGCATTTCTTTTGATAGTAGTTGCTGCATTTGCTGCTTTGCTGCATTGAACTCTGAGCGTTAACCGTTTTTGACTTTGTTGCTATGCACAGTTCCATATCACTGATGTTCTTGCTCTTTTTGTTTTTGTTTTTCTAGCTCTTTTTGTAGTTGTTGTTGCAATTGTTGTTGTTATGGTTGTTGTAGAAAAAGTTCCTCGTGGGAGTGGCAGCTTCGACAGGTGTAAACCGAAATTGTGGCACAGTGGCGCGCTCATCTGCAAAAATTAGAAAAGTTTTTTTTGCTTTTGTTTAGTTGCGGTTTAGTCGGAAAATAAATTGAAACTTTTTCCCACCAAACATGGTTTTGTTATGAAATATGCTACAAAAATGCAATACAAAAGTTTCGACTCTAAAAAACCTTTTAGCCCATTTTAGAGATAACTTTAAAATCAAGTAACTTTTTACATGTTTATAAACCAAACTCACTTTTTAAATCGTAACCTTAGTTATTATTAATTCAATACTTAAAGTTCCTATGTAACTGCCATTAAAAGGTAAACACTATTAAATTGACTGTAAACGATTGCCATGACCGTCTCGATGGCTCTTCAAATATTTGCGGTTAAATATTTTTTGACTCGCCCATATGGCGCTTGCATGTTCAATTAATTTTTACTGCATTCGCTAAACAAATTTATGCTGATTGCCACTGCATCAATTAAAAGGCCCACAACTAAGCTTTCGAATCAGAGTCAGAAGCCCAAATGCATAATCCACACTGAAATTTCCACAGCGCCACCGACTATATAACTATTTATGTATATACATATAATATATCTGCGCCAATTGGAATTTAATTGAGATTCCAGCACAAATACACGGTGATGACGTCCGCTAAAAGTGGGAAACCAAAATGCATAATATTTGAGTTTTAGATAGTAGACTATGATGTACTCTTTTCGTGATTTCAAAAGATTTATTTCAACTTGCAATTTATAAGAGATTAAAACGAAAATTAATTACCAAAAATAAATAAAAATATAAACAAAAACCTATTAGCTAGTGAAAAACAAACTTTTAAATCTAAAAATAAAACAGAGCCACTGACTTTAATTGAATTAATCCAAAATATAAGTACAAACCGAAACGTAATTATGGTTTATGGAGACAACCCTCTGTGCAGAATGAAGCTGCAATTAAATCGTTTTAAATGGCTCGGTTCAGACAAACTTGTGTGCAATGTTCTGGCCCACATTCCGGCACTCCCACAAAGTCATGAAACCAGTGCAAAAATGGAATTTGCTTAGCCAGTTACGAGTTCCTAAGGGAATGGGCGTGGCATTTGCTGCACTCAAGTGTCGCCCAGCGGTATGCTATAATTTTTTTTCATCTTTTTTTTTACTAAAGCTCCCGCTGCTGCTGCACTTGGCAATTTGCAATTCTGATTTATGGATTTACACAAAAGAGGGAGGTTTGAGCGGAGAAGGGAATATATAGTGCTGTATTAGCCTCCTGTCAATGCGATGACAGGCCGCAAATTGGCCAAACGATTTGGATGACTGCTACGAGTAGCTATATGCTGGAAGGCAAACAGGTGTAAAAACAATTTCCGCTAATTGAAATTAATTTTCATGGCTGCAACTGCACGGCTGAGGTGGGTCTCACATTTTCGGAGGGTCCGGCTTGTCACGAGAGGTGAGGGACGGCAAAGGTGAAAGTCGGGAATAGTTGGCACATGCGCCATAAACAAGTTGTGATTACGTGATTTGGCCAGATGCCAGCAGCCAAAGGAAAAGTGAGGACGAACGGCAAAAAAAGAGTCTCCTATGTCCATTTAAGGTGAGATTCCCAAATTTACATTCCTTGAAGGATTCTGTTTGAGGGGATTTTGTATGATTTTCTTGGGACAAAAAAGGGGTGTACCGCATATGAATATACTTCCTTTATTGATAAGAATTTATTAAAAATCGGTTTTAAACTTAATAAAGTCATTATTAAGCTCGAGTTATTATACTTCACCTAAACGTATGATATTCTCTCTTTTTGATTTTAATTTGAAATAAGTCTTTTATCAATCTGATAACCCCAAGATGTATTTTATTGTCACAAAATACATAATCATCATAAATCATATAAAATATTCAATTTTTTCCTATTCTTATTCCTTTCAGTGTGGATAGGGTACTAAAATGGTGTGCTGCCAAGTTTCTTTTCCCGCTTTGGCCTGTTTTTGCTGCCTGTTTTCTGCCTGGCTGGGTTCACCTGGGCTCACCTTGACACTCGCTCAACTGCAGCTAATGCGGTAAGGATGCGAGAATGTATATCTGTCTCCAAAGCCAAGCCCATTGGCTGTATATGTATCTGTATCTGTATCGGAATCTGTAACTGTATCTGTATCTGAATCCGAGCGAATGTCTCTGTGGCCCGTTCTGTTTTTCAATTAACCGGATTTCGGGTGTAGCTGGCTGCTGCCATGTCGTGTTCATGTTCCACTGGCTGTCACCTGGTAGTTGCATGTTTGCATTTACAACCCAATTGGCCACCTTGTTTGCTGTCTGTCTTGGCTTTGCTTTTGTTTTTGCAACTGGGGAGCTGCAACTCAAATCAAAAATCGCCATACACAAATTACTAACCGCATTTCAATATCAAATTGGATTCGTTGAGGTTGCTGTCAGCCTCTTTATTTATCTCTTCATTTGACAACATTGGTATGCAAATTTTATGGGCAAACAACAGAACGATATTTTGTCATATCCCAGCTTTTGAATATTTATATTTTAGGGCAATTATTTTATTTCTATATGCAAAGCAATCAAAACCATATTTTGCTTTCAAATTGCCTTTGTAATTTTTGGATGGAAAAACATGGAGAAGCGGAAAGATGCTCCTAAGAGGATTTGAATTTATTATGAACTATTCTGATAAACATGTTGCAGTAAATGGTTTAAATATTAAAGTTGGTTGAGTTTTCAGAGATTTATAAATATATATAAAAGCAGATGCAGATGATATTGGTTGCATATTTTATGAATTGATTTAACGAGATTTTTCGCTTTTCTGTGGTAAATGTGATTACTTCATGCAACCTTTAGAAAATGTAGTAAGCTCAAACTTATTGAGCTATTCAATTAATATCCCTCTTAACAAGCCAGCAATGAAAAATTAAATCATTTTTGGGGGATTATGTTGTAAGACAAGAGTCATCATATGAAAACATGTCTGTCAGTTCATACTGAGATCCTGAGGCGTGTCTCAGGATGTAATGTCCTTTGGGCCATGGCAACATAATGAGCTAAAAATAGCAAAAGCCGCCCAGACGCAGGGGCAAGCGAGACAGGAGTGCGGACGAATGGGAGACAGAAGACAAGAGACAAGAGCGCTTTTCATTAGACAAATGTTATTTCGCACACACGCACAGAATGAGAGACAAAGCTCGGGCGTGAAACAATCAAACAATGCAACAAAGCCAAGCACACACATGTATACATACTCACCCACACACACACATACACACTCACACATACAAAATGGTTAACAATTAAACAATGAGAGAGCAACAAGCAAAGCAATTGCAGAAGGAGCAGCTTGGCATAATAAGGAGTGCCGCTGACAGGCTCGAGGACAAATTGTTCGCCGGTCTCGAACTCTAGCACCCGCAGCATTCTATTGTCATAGTCCCGCTTTGCTTAAGTCAGCTCAAGCAGCCAACCCACTAGTCAACCTAACCACCCACTCTACCACCCCCTTTTTTGCGAAAACCCCCTGAACCTCCAGAAAAACCCCCAAAAAGCCAACAAATCAGAGAACATCGCTTGAAATCGCTTCCCTTGTGCCTTTGTCGGGACATTTTCGGCTAAAAGCTTCGAGTGCCAGTCCCAAAACACTTTTCCAATTAGGCTTTTCTAGATAAATTCAGCCATTTATATAAAAAAGAATATGTAAATACAGTGGATGCTCGTAGGGTTTACCATTTTTAGATTTTACTCATGAAAAAAAAAGGGTTTTATTATTATTTTAAATACAAAAAGATAGAAATATGATTAATTAAAATATCTTAAAAAAATTTAAATATTTTTTGTAACCTTTTTTGTGAGTTTATACTGCCTTTGCTCTAAAAATACAATGATGGTTAAAGTAATAATTGATTCACTATCTTACGTATCAAAATTAAATTAACAATTAATAAACCTTATTAAAGAGTCTAAAATATGTTATTCTTGACTTTTGCTTGGCAGATTTTTCACTTCATAAATGCTTGACTTTTTGTAATTTTAACCAAAAAGGAAATTCATGCAAATTCTTAATTCCCAACAAGCACTGTACGAGTATAATGAAAATGGAATACAAAAAATTACAAAGAAGAGACTGTACTGTAATGGCTGCTCTATTTTTCTTTTTTTTTTTGGCAATGGAGTGGTGGTGTGGGTGAAGGGTGCCTGCAAAACCCTTACAAGGACGCGGACATTGTTGTACAACAATCATTTTAATCACTTTTCAGGGTCTGGCGCCACTCTTTGTTGTTCTTTGGCTCTTTTGCCGAATGGCCCACTTTTTTTTTTGTATTTTTTGGGTAGAGTGTTTACATGCACAATTTACTCAAGTGCTGTTAGTGTTTATATCATTAAAAGCACGACCTTAGAATCTCATTTTTGACTAGATTGTTGGATGATTATCTAACAATTTTATTGTCTTTTTTGTTTTAAGTTACAAATTTTGTCCAAAAGAGAAGGATTTTGTATCTTTAGACTTATATTAATATAAAAGAAAAAGTATATTAAACATTAATATTAAAGAATATAAAGAATTTCATTTTGCGAATGTCCCTAAAAGTATGATACGAAATGCATGGATCCTGCCAATGTGCTCATCTGCCTAATAATAAATGATGCCCCAAAATTAGTCCAAATACCCATATGGATGATATACATTTTTTCAAATTACGATTATTCATCATTCATTCCCTGGGTGGATGAATGTGCGTGGGAGCTGACTTATAGTATATTATATTTATATAGAAATATAAGTATATGGGGGCATACGCCATAGACAAGCGGCTCTTTGGCCGTAATCTACTTGGCCTACTTGGGCTAAGTGCGCTTTTAGATAAAGTCGCTACCGAGTCGGCTTGGCACGCACAAGCGGAAAAGGAAAAGAGGCATGGGGATACGAGGGGGGTTTTGTCGGCTAAAGGTTCACTTCAAAATGTCGAAGGACCAAAGCATATGATTGCGGGTGTGTGGGTGCGCCTAATGTTATGCTACGGCATAATTTGTTG